CAGACGGACGGAGCCTCCTGGCGCCACCTCGGCTGGGCCGTCTGGCGTTATTCGTTGTCAGATGATGATAAGATATTTGTGTCACAGTTGGGTTATAAGGCGGATGTATTCACGAACCAGATAAATGGTCTTTGTGGAAAAAAAAGGCAGACAGACCAGTCTTGCCAAAAGCCTTTGCATCGGGTCTAAGCACTTCCACGGAGAGTAGAAATCCCACCACCAGCACGCTTCTGGGGGAAGATGGCCTTCCGCAAAGGGAACAGATGAAGAGTGTGTGGTGTATTTGCAAACTGCAGATATCAAGGAAGTCTGGGAGAGAACTCCCTAAATCTCATTCACGATTTTCCTCTGCAAACCACCGACTGAAATTGCTACGTGTCCCCGCGGCCCCCCGCGTCCGCACAGTCACACACATGCGTGTGCACGCCCCTTCAGCATGTCTGCTACGTGTCCCCACGGCGCCCCCGCCTGTGCACAGTCACACACGCACGTGCGCGCCCCTTTGGCGTGTCTGCTATGCAAACACACTAGTGTGCAAGCTTCCTTCGCGGACTGCTGCGTCCACGTTGTGTGTGCACAGGAGGGTCCACAGGCCAGAGGTCCACACACTGTTGCGGGCTCAGGAGAAAATGATACAGAAAATGAGAGTAAGAGTTAGGGGCTGTGGTGGTCACCTGGAACTGCTACCTTTTTCCTGTGGCTGCTGAAGTACCATCCATAATGGACTGGGATTTAATGGGGAAAAACAGCTCTGACAGGTCTGAGGCCAAGCGGAGGCAGCCCCCTCTGGACTCCAGTGCCCAAGCACAAACGTTTGGGCCGGTCCTGATGACTTTCTCATGGTAACAAAATGCTGCTAAGAACAGCCTTGAGGGGCGCCTGGGGGGCTCAGTTGGTCCAGCCGCTGCCTTCAGCTCAGGTCATGATCCCAGGGTCCTGGGATGGAGTCCCGCATGTGGTTCCTTGCTCAGCGGGAAGCCTGCTTCTCCCTCTCCTGCTCCCCCTGCTTGTCTCTCTCTCTCTCTCTGACAAATAAATAAAATCTTTAAAAAATAAAAACAACCACCTTGAACATACATCTATTCCACATCAGTGGACAATCTTTTAGGTCAGTATCTAAGAGAAGCATTGCTGATTCAAAGGGTACCGACATTGTAAAACTTGACAGGGAGAGCCAAACTGCTTTCGCCAGCGTCCCTGCTCTCCTCCACACTGCGGGCGACTTCTCCTGCTGAGATTCAAACTCAATACTGACTTAATTGGCCTCTGTAGGCTCCTGAGGAGGCTGCGTGTTTCCCGCACCCTCATGGGCCCTGTGGATTTCTCCCGGGCCCCACACATGATCTGGACACACCTGCTGCAGTGTCGATCCCCTCCACCTGCCGGCGCGTCATGAACACTTCCCCCAGCCTGCCATTTCTCTTCATCCTTGTTTACAATGTCTTTTCCTTAGAGACTTTAAAAATGTAACATCCTGGGGCGCCTGGGTGGCTCAGTGGGTTAAAGCCTCTGCCTTCAGCTCAGGTCATAATCCCAGGTCCTGGGATCGAGCCCCGCATTGGGCTCTCTGCTCAGCCGGAAGCCTGCTTCTCCCTCTCTCTCTGCCTGCTTCTCTGCCTACTTGTGATCTCTATCAAATAAATAAATAAAATCTTAAAAAAATATATAACATCCTGTTTGCTGATCTTTGACTTCCACTGCCTGGGGGTGTTTTAATTTTGAACCTTATTTAGGGAAGCCTTTCTCTATGCTTGGGGTTGTTGCAAAGATGAACTGAGGTAATGTGTGCACAGCTGATGGGGGAAAGGCAGTTTGGACTGACTCCCAAACCACTGCTCATATGAAGGTCTTAGAAAATGAGGAGAGATAGCCACCGTGGGAGACAGTGCTATGGGCCACTATGTTCCACTCACGTTACCGGCTGCAGACTACGAATAGTTTCCTGGAATGGAAGTGACTAAAAGTGATCCAACAAGAGGCAGAAAATCCACACAAACAAATCACTGTAGAAAAAAATGAGACAACAGTAAAAGTCTGCCATTAACGAAGTCACCAAGTATGGAAAATTCTTTGGCTGAGGTCTGCCCAACCTTCAGAGGAGGCTGCAAACGTGGTCATAGGGATCCGTAGCTTTCTCTGACACCGTGAGGCAGGAAGTGTGCAGGCCTGACAAGAAAGGCAGTGACTTTAGCCAGATTTGAGGCCCAGAGATGCAGAAACTGCAGAGGGCAGGAGGCATCTGCATGTAGCAGCAGCTCCTCAGCTGGATGGAAGGACGACAGACGGACAGACGGATGAACAGGTGGGTGGATGGGTGGGTTTGTGGATGGATAAACAGATGTGTGGGGCCGCGTATGTATGTGTGTATGGATGGACAGGTGGGTGGGTAGGTGGATGGTGGATGGTGGATGGATGGGGGATGGGTGGGTGGGTGGGTGGGTAGATGAGGGGGGGGTGGTGGATGGATGGGGGTGGGGGGGGGGGGGGTGGTGGATGGATGGGGGATGGATGGGTGGGTGTTGAGTGACTCACTGAAGTACTTGGCCATAAGGCCAGGCTGGCTACAAGTGACCACAATGAGGAGGAAAGACAAGTTCATTAAATGTCGGAGCAGAAGGAGAGAGAGGCATGGTTCCAATCAGAGAAAAGTTCTCGGGCCTTGGGGCCATCAGAGAGGGCACCCTGCCGGTGGTATAGCACGGCAAGGAGGCCGAGGTCAAGAGCAGCAACATTCAGATGTGGAAGGTGTTGCTGGTTTGAGGACAGGAGAACAGAATGGAGATCTGGAGAATGGAGAAGAAACAGAGCCACAAATGCCAAAGCTGCTGGGGTCACCGACTGAATGACAGATGTGAGGGAGGAGGGTAAGGGCAGATGGCACAGCCTTCCAAAGAAACAAGGTTTTTAGTGAACTTGGCAGAAGATGGTCTAGAAGTGTGTCTGACAAACAAGCAATCAGCCTTCCTCTTCGGCTGGTGACCTGGCAGGGGACGGGGACGGCTTTCACTGAGCAGGTATCGAGGCACACTGCCAGTCCTTGTCAGGGCTGTGGGCGAACGACACCGCGGCCACTGCTGTGCGTGCTGCCAACAGCTGGGGGTCCACCAAGCCGTCCCCCTTACTCTTCCTTCTTCCAGAGGTGGGATCTTAGAAGGACAAAGCCTCTGAAACAGCCTCTCCTCCATTACCCTACATGGCAGAGTGGATAGCCCGCTGGGGTCTCCAAGAGCAATCTGAGCTAACTTTACCCATTAGGTCTGGTTTGCTCCACCCCTTGGGTCCCTGGGCCCACAGCAGACCCTCAGCAAGACAGCCGAACACACGCGTCCAATGCAGATTTCCTCAGTGATCGGCACCCTCCCTCCCATAGACACGGCACGCCCTGCCGCTCCGCGAAGTTCTCCCGCGTTCCACTTCCCACTCACTGGATAATTCTACTGGTCATATTCAGGCCAAAACACTAACATAACGAGAACTACTATTATTATCCACGTAGCTGAGCCATGGGAAGTCCTGAGGGTGAAGCACAAGGCCTGGCCTCCCCCTCCCTTCCCTTGTGTTGGGTTGTTAGGGATTAGGACGCGCCCAGGGAAGCTAAGACCATAGTTGACAGAGGAAGCATTTTTTTGCTGATACTTCCTTTGTGGTGCCCTGGGCTTTACTTCTAAAGCTGAGCGGTTGGTGGGTCTGCAGCCCTCCAGCCTCCCCTCCGCTTCTAGACAATGGACAGGAGAGAGGGAATGGCCTGTCTCCCATTGACCGTGGGTGGAACCCCAAGTCCCTCATCTCTGATCATCACACAATCTCAAGGCTCTTGCTGGAAAAGCACAGAGAGGCAGAAGCCATGTAAGGCGAGGGGGTACAGTGTGAGGAACGGGGTGCCACAGGGCAGCGAGGACTGCTGGTGAACATGGTCTGAGAGTGGCGTGGCCAGGGGCTTGCTCTTGGTGCTGAGAGTGTTCGCTCTGGGCAAGGCTACTCCCGGCTGGCTGCACTGACGACCATGCAGCCGTCCCGTGAAGCACATCAGCTGGCCCACCAACACTGCTGCCTCTGGTCCTCTGGCAACAGGGGACCTTGGCTTTGTTCTGGGAGCTGGGTGCCTGCTCTCCACGCATGACTCTACGCCAACCCTTCCAAGGACCCGCTGGGAGGAAGGTGCAGCTCAGCTAAATCGGGACCTTTTCCCTTCCATCTCTCCCCGCAGGGAACGACAGTGTGACTACTTCTCATCAATTGGGAATCTATTATTTCCTTCTTGGCTTATCAAGAGAGGGTGTCCTGTAAGTTCCTGGCTTGTGGAGTGTGATTATAAACGACCGCTGCTGCAGTGAACCCGTGCTGACCACAGCACTGGCAGAGACGCGTCAGTCTGAGCGCCGCCTGCACGCAGCAAATGAAGCCCTGGGCTTCTGCGTCCTCGGTGGCAGCCGGGGCCAGGGCTGTAGGGCTGGACGAGGACATGCCTCTTTCTAGTCTGGCTGTCTTTCTTCGGAGCCAGGGCCCTGAGACACCTCGGGGCAGCTGGGCAGCCACTGCCGGCGGTCTCAGGCCGCGTCCCAGTGGACCCATGGCGGCCATCAGCGACAAGTCCGGGCAGGGGCAGCTGAGAGCACGGTGGCTGTGGCTGCCCCCCCCCACAATGCAGCCCAGAAAGGCCACGGCTGTCCACACAGTATTGTCCCACAGATGCTGCCCGAGGCTCGGGTTCATGGACAAATGCCCCCCCCGCCCCGCCGCCACAGGATGAAGCTCTGCTCTGTGCCTGTGACCCCTGACCCTGGCTTCCCTCCACAAGAGCAGCCACTGTTCTCCCTCCCGCCTGCCAGGGAAGTCAGGCCAGATGCCCCCACAGGGCAACACAGCTTCTCTCCTCCCTCCTCTCAGGCCCCTCCCCTACCCCTTCTAGGGGAGTAGCCCACAAGAAAGGCCTTCTGGGAGGGCCCCCGTCCCCCCGGCCCCCACTGCCTGGCAGCGCAGGCCACGGCGCCCAAACTCACCCAGGGCACGATGGCCGAGCTCTGCACGGAGCCTGTTCCCCATCTCCAGGAGCTGTTCTTTCTCCAGGCAGAGGCGGAGGATTTTTCGGGTGGCCTCCTTTAGTTTCCTCTGGAGTCGGGGCACAGACAAGGCCTGTGGGGGCTGTGGCCCCTGGTCCTCAGTCGCTCTGGGTCTTTGGTCTGTGGGGCTCTGGGAACAAAGCCGCAGGCAGACGGCCCGTAAGACGAGCTGCCCAGGGGGAGAGGCATGAGTGGGTGGGGGGCAGAGCCTGCACCACCGGGGGACAGAGGGATAAGGAGCAGTGGGCTCTGCCAGCAAGACGGGGACCTCACATCACGGATAACTCCTCTACAGTGGGGTGAATGAAGGCCACGAGCCCCTGGGCCAGGCCTACGTCTGGTCCCCTGCAGCCCCCACCAAGCCTGTGTCTTTCTAGCGAGGACGGCGAGGAACCGGCTGGAACCCATGTCGAGTCTCTGAGGGGTCCCAGGGATGCATGAGGGCTGCCTGTCTGACTGGGTCCCCTGCGGGACACCAGGTTACGGGCTGGGTACACAGGTCACAGGTACCGGGTCACATGGTGCAGAAGGGGCTGGCAGAGGCCGGACAGAGCCTGGGGCCGGTGCCTGCCTTCCCCATTTCTCTCGTGCCTGGACTGTGCAGCAGGGTCCCTGTGCCGGGCCACCACACAGTCCCCGGACGGACACCACTCACCGGGACGGTGTTTGGAACGAGGCAGCCGTGGGGAGGAAGAGAAAGGAGAAGACAAATGCATGTGTGCCGGACAGAGGCCCAGGAAAAGCCAGCCTCCAGGGCCCCAAGGGACGCAGGTGGCCTCTTTCGCTGCCCATGAAAAGCTGCCCTGGTCCATCTTGGCCACACAAGCTGCAGCCAGAATAGGAACCGGCCCAGAGTCCCTGGAACAGACCAGCACGTTCTGTCCTGGCCCCATTTCCTGGTGCGCCTTCCCAGGGCTGGTAGACGCCCGCACACGTGGTGGCCACTGTCCTCCAGGTGGCTGGAGCCGTGTGGCTCACATGGGCGCCTCTAACACAGGCTGCAGGCCAGCCGGGCAGGAGGACGGGAGGGGAGGCAGCAGAGGAGAGTGGGAGATGGCTCTGCGCCCACACCCTGACCCCTGACAGAGCGCGGGCCCGCCTGTGCTCTCCTGAGGACCCGGGATGTGACTAGGATCTTCGGGTCCATGGAGGGGCTGGGACAGAGCTCAGGAGGGAGGAGAGAGGCGAGTGGGGACACGATGTTGGGAGTCTCCGGTGCCACTTTAAGTGAGGAACGATACTGAGCACCCCAAAACACGGGAGACAGGCAAGAGAAAGCTCGCTTTTGAGAGCTGACCCAGCTCACCAGGCAGCCCCCCACGCTGGCCCCGTCAGCCCTCGCCTGCTCAGGGGCTGCTCCCAGAATCCTGGCCAGGGGAAGGGGTCCTCGTGAGGGAGGGGTCCGCTCCCAAGGGCGGTGGTAACTGCGCTCCACAGAGGCTGACGGCAGAACATGCCCCAACGTGGGGGCGCAGAGGGGGCCTGCCAGGGCTGCAGCGGCTCTCGTGGGGACATCAGGGATCCCTGTCCTTCTGCAGGTTCCAGGGTGCAGGCACAACCGGTGAACACTGCCCCCCAGTGGAGCCGGAGTGTCCCTCCCGCTGTGCTCAAGGGACAGGGAGGAGCTGTGGACAGGACGAGGGGAGAACCGCAGATCTCAGTCAATCCTCCGGGCTGGGAGGTCACTGGGGACACGACAGACGCTGGTCCGGCAGTGGCCTCTGCTGCCCACTGGGAAGGGGCTCTGAGTCCCGCATGGGCCCCTTTTCTGGGCTGGGCGGTGGGGGACCGGCCTCCACCTGGGGGAACGCCAGACTCGCATGGGAGCGCCAGGATGGTGCCACCGTACACCAGTCCCTCTGCCTCACGGCCACCAGCCCCACGTGCCATGCACGCTTCCTCCTGAGCCGCGGACGGGAAGCTGGAGACATCGTGCTCGTTGACACCTCAGTGCCTCAGTCCGTACTTCCGAACACGGATCTTCTCTTGGTGACCACAGTCACGCAAACCAGAAATCCACGACAGACACAACACTATGACCCAGCTCACAGGCCACACGCATACCTCGCCCACTGTGCAATCGTGTCCTACAGGTACAGCGGAGGACCCCACAGGACATCTGCCTCCCACGTCCCTGCAGGCTCCGATGGGCACACGCTCCGCGGCGCGGGCCCGTTTTATCACATCCCTCGCGGCTGGAGTCGGCAGTGAGGCCGTGAACCCCGCTCCCCGGCGCGGCTGGCTTGGAAGCCCAGGACGTCTTTCTGGCCCAGCATCCGTGCGAGGAGCATGTACCTCAGTGGAGCGGTGTCCGCAGGCTGCACCCTGGGAAGCTGCTCTCTTCCCAACCCTGAGCCGCCCCCCTGCTCCGTGGGAGACACTGAGTCCCAGCCCTGTTCCTCCTCCGTGAGTCAGGATGGCTTCTGGGCGCATGGGCCTGCCATGTCTGCAGACACGGTTCTGGCCAGGGACCAGCCCTCCTCCTTCCTCCCTCTCCCGGTCGGCGTGGGCCCGGGAGTCCCACTGCTCGTGTGGCCGGTGCCTGGGGCCCTTCGGTGCCCGTGTCCTTCTGTCCTGTCTCCATATGTCCACGGGGGAGCCAAGCACCCTGCTTCCTCTCAGCAGAGCAAGAAATGCAGAAACTTGTGTCTCAGCACTGGTGACGTTCAAGGATCCCGGGCCGCCAAGGTGCTGGCCTTCCTGCGGTCAGCCTGGATCGGGCATAGTGACCTGCCACTGGATTTCCTGTGCCTCAGGTCCCCCCCAGGTCACAGTTGCTTCAGCTCCAGCCCATCCGTCACAGAATTAAACATCTTGATTTCAAATCCTGCCGATGCACCTGATTCCCTCTTGCCAGGCGAGCGGGATCTGTGAGCCAGGCTGGGAAGAGAACCCCTGGTGCCACCGACCGCCAGGCTGGGCACGGGTAGCACCTGGAATGAACGCTGGGAACGGGGTGAGGCAGACATGCTGCCCGCCTCCCTGTGACTCAGTGGTCCCACGGCCTCGAGCTCAGGACAGCGGGAGTCCTGGTGCAGGGCCGGGGCTCTGGCTCTCCAGGCCGCGTCCACTTAAGGGCGGTGCAGGCAATTCTGGGTCCCGCCTCCCGGTGACCCCTGAAGGCCTCCCCTCTGCGGCCGTCCTTGACCCATCCATCCGTCTGTCCGTCCCAGGGCCTGTCTGGACCCTCTTGCTGTTCCTGAGCCAGAGAGGAGTGGGCGTCCCCTCCCCTCCGGTCCTTCGGGGCCGGCCGTCGTCCTAGAGCCGGGTCCCCCTTGTGCCGCTCAGCTCCGCCTTCCACACCTGCTGCCAGAGTGCTCCCCATGCCGCCCAGATGCCACGGTACAGTCGCAGCTGCAGGTCGCCACGGGGAACTCAAGTCACGGCAGGTCACCATGAGTAACGCAGGTCACTGTAAGTCACCATGAGTAACCCAGGTCACTGCAGGTCACCACAGGTAACGCAGGTCACTGTAAGTCACCATGAGTAACCCAGGTCACTGCAGGTCACCACAGGTAATTCACCACAGGTAGCACAGGTCACTGCATGTCGCCACAGGTAACGCAGGTCACTGTAGGTGCCACAGGTCACCAAAGATAATCACAGGTGGCCCAGGTCACCACAGGTAACCGACAGAGTAAGAAGCGCACCCTTGACAGCATTTCCATCACAGGCGTCGGTAAGAAGAGAAGCGGCCCGTGCGTCAGATCCGTGGGGACGGCAGCTGTGGACTCTCTGCACAGCTCAGAACCATGGCTTGGACCAGCCGTGGAGCCTGCTGGACACCAGGTGCGGAGGGCCAGGGCCAGGACGGGAGCCCCACTGTCACGAGTGCAGAGGCGGCGGCTCAAACCCTCTGAAAACCCGCACAAGGGTCCTCTCGAAGGAGAAGCCCAATTCTGCATTCAGTTCGAGGGCCCTCCTAGCAGGAGGACTCCCTTTTAAAGGAAACAGAACAGCCTCTTCATACGTGTGGTTTTCCCATGCTGGACTTATTATTATTACTTTTTAAGATTTATTTCTTTATTTTGGGGGGAGGGGCAGAGAGAGAGACTCTCAGGCAGAGGCCCACTGAGCGCAGAGCCTGACGCGGGGCTCCATGTCACGACTGTGAAACTGTGACCTGAGCTGACACCAAGGGTCAGACGCTTCACTGACTGGGCCACACAGTGACGCGGACTTCAAGGGGCAGGGTCCTAGGGCCTGGAGGCCACGGACCAGGCCTGCCCAGGAAAGCCAGCCGCGGGGGAAGCCCGGGACGGCTCCACAGACGGCCACGCGGGGACTTCTGCAGCAGGCCCCGGAGAGGACCACAGCAGTGGTGGGAGTGATCAGCACAGGGCACCTACCTCCCTCCCGAGGGCCACCTCGTCCAAGGTGGGCAACAGCGGCCTGTTCCCGAGGTGCTCCTCAAGCTCAAACACCTGCTTCCGCAGCTCCGAGACCTGCTGGCACCCCTGGTCCACCTCACGGGGAAGCTCGTGCGGGACGGTGTCCACGTCCAGGGGTCGCTGCAGCACCTGGGAGGCCATTTTAGGGGCAATGTTAGGCCGGAGGGCGGGGGGTGGGGAGGGCAGGCGCACTCATCCGTGCTGCAGAACGGTGACAAAGGACGCGCCTGTCAGGCTCCCGCTTTTGGCTTGATGCAGCTGTTCTGCACGCAGCGCATTCACCACAGGTAGCACAGGTCACTGCATGTCGCCACAGGTAACGCAGGTCACTGTAGGTGCCACAGGTCACCAAAGATAATCACAGGTGGCCCAGGTCACCACAGGTAACCGACAGAGTAAGAAGCGCACCCTTGACAGCATTTCCATCACAGGCGTCGGTAAGAAGAGAAGCGGCCCGTGCGTCAGATCCGTGGGGACGGCAGCTGTGGACTCTCTGCACAGCTCAGAACCATGGCTTGGACCAGCCGTGGAGCCTGCTGGACACCAGGTGCGGAGGGCCAGGGCCAGGACGGGAGCCCCACTGTCACGAGTGCAGAGGCGGCGGCTCAAACCCTCTGAAAACCCGCACAAGGGTCCTCTCGAAGGAGAAGCCCAATTCTGCATTCAGTTCGAGGGCCCTCCTAGCAGGAGGACTCCCTTTTAAAGGAAACAGAACAGCCTCTTCATACGTGTGGTTTTCCCATGCTGGACTTATTATTATTACTTTTTAAGATTTATTTCTTTATTTTGGGGGGGAGGGGCAGAGAGAGAGACTCTCAGGCAGAGGCCCACTGAGCGCAGAGCCTGACGCGGGGCTCCATGTCACGACTGTGAAACTGTGACCTGAGCTGACACCAAGGGTCAGACGCTTCACTGACTGGGCCACACAGTGACGCGGACTTCAAGGGGCAGGGTCCTAGGGCCTGGAGGCCACGGACCAGGCCTGCCCAGGAAAGCCAGCCGCGGGGGAAGCCCGGGACGGCTCCACAGACGGCCACGCGGGGACTTCTGCAGCAGGCCCCGGAGAGGACCACAGCAGTGGTGGGAGTGATCAGCACAGGGCACCTACCTCCCTCCCGAGGGCCACCTCGTCCAAGGTGGGCAACAGCGGCCTGTTCCCGAGGTGCTCCTCAAGCTCAAACACCTGCTTCCGCAGCTCCGAGACCTGCTGGCACCCCTGGTCCACCTCACGGGGAAGCTCGTGCGGGACGGTGTCCACGTCCAGGGGTCGCTGCAGCACCTGGGAGGCCATTTTAGGGGCAATGTTAGGCCGGAGGGCGGGGGGTGGGGAGGGCAGGCGCACTCATCCGTGCTGCAGAACGGTGACAAAGGACGCGCCTGTCAGGCTCCCGCTTTTGGCTTGATGCAGCTGTTCTGCACGCAGCGCACCCCGCCCGCCCCTGCAGCATGCCCTGCAGGGCCTGTGGCAGGGCCTGCACTGGACCCAAGGCTGTCCGGGGAGCATCCAGGCCTGAAGCCCACTGCTCCGGAGCCCAGTTCCGGCGGAAACCAGCAAGTGTAGAAAACACTGGTGACCAGGAGGGGGCAATCCAGGGCTTGGGACGGGAGCTGGAGCGGTGGGAGGGGCGAGGCGGCGGCTTCGGAGGAGCTCACTGACAAGCCAGAGAGAGCCCGAGCTCGGAAGGCAGAGGGTGGAGGAGGACGGAGGGTCAGGAGGGCAAGTCCCAGGGGCAGGGGGCCTTGGTCGTGCAGGGTCGGCCGTGAGATCCCCAGAGCAGGCCCCAGGCCAGAGCTCCAGGGCCACCCCTCACTCTGGACATCTGCCTCCTGCTGATGGAAGGAAGGAAAGAGGAGGCAACAGAATGAAAGGTGCCCCTCTAGACTCACTTCCATTTTATTCCCAGGAAGAGGAAATATGTTCCTTTTCCAGGAAGTCCTACAGTGAATCGCTGGTGAATATTTTATTCTTTGAATTTGTCACATACACACCAAAAAGGTGACCACTTGCTCAAGAGATACTGTTAAATAACAAACAAAAACACATCTTGAGGCGAACATTTCTCCCCGTGATAGTCATAGCAGCTATGGTCATCAAGAGACAATTAAGAGCTTGTACTTAAATGTTCACTTCCCGTTTGTAAAGCGCGTGCGTGATGTCCCCGCGGCGGGCAGACTGGGAAGCAGCAAGGCTGAGTGCCCTGAGCCTTCCCCCGCGCCGCGAGCAGACAGGAGCCGCGAGCTCCCCTCCGTCCCGCCCGGCAGCACAAGGCGGCAGCCACCCCCTCCAGCGGCCAGGAGGCTCGGACACGCCGCGCCCAGCGGCCAGTTCTGTTTCATGGAAGACGCAGGGCACACAGGGCAGTGGGATTTGTGTTATTTATGGACTTAAAAGGACATGTGAGAACTTCTTGTTTCCTCGTGAAGAACATTTCTGTGCAAAAGGCAACAGGACGGGATGACACCAAAATTACAAGCAGTTAAAAAAAAAATAGGCAAAACAGGGACGCCTGGGTGGCTCAGACATTGAGCGTCCGCCTTCAGCTCAGTCATGGTCCCAGGGCCCTGGGATCGAGCCCCGTGTCGAGCTCCCTGCTCCACGGGGAGTCTGCTTCTCTCTCCCTCAGCCTGCTGCTCCCCGGGCTTGTGCTCTCTCTCTCTGTCTCTCTCTCTCTCTCAAAAAAGGAATAAAATCTTTTAAAAAATAAACAAAAAAATTTTAAAAATATAAATAAACTGGAAATCATAAAAACTAAAAACATTTGTGCTTTGAAGCACATTATCAAGAAAGTGAAAAGAGGAGCCTTAGCATGGGAGAAAAACTCTGCAAACTGTGCATCTGATAAAGGACTAATATCCAGATTACGTAAAGAACTCTTAGAACCCAACAACAGAGAGACAAACAATGCAGCTACAAATGGCAGAGGATCGGAATTGACACTTTCTCAAAGAAGACACACGAACGGCCAGTGAGCGCACGAGAGAATGTGCCACACGGTTCGCCGTTGGGGCAGACGCAAACCACAGCCATGGCAGCCGCCGCATCGCACCCACTGCACTGGCCACAGTTAAAAAAGAAACTAGGTCACGTGGGTCAGGACGTGGGCTGTGGGGATCCTCACGCACGGCTGGGGGGACGGAAAACGGGGCAGTCGCATGAGCAAACGGCTGGGTGGTTCTTCGGAGAGTGAACCGCAGACTCACCACATGACCCAGCACGCCCGCTCCCGCATGTGTGCCCAGAGCCACAGCGAGCAGGGACGGGCATTGAGGTCCGGAGCCCACGTTCGCAGCAGCATTATTCACAGTTGCCAAGAGGAGGGGACACCCGAGTGTCCATCGGAACCCACACATGTGGGGAACACAACGGGCTATTCCTCAGGTCTCCGAAGGTGCCAAGGATGACGGACGGACCTTGAGGACATGGCGCTGAGGGAAACGAGCGGGTCGGCAAACGGCAGCCGCTGTAGGACCCCGGTCCCGGGAGAGGCACCCAGCCCGCCGGCAGGACGCAGGTCCCCAGTGCAGCCCTGCCATCTCGTGCCCGGCGGAGGGGTCCCAGGGGAGGGGTGTGGGGCTGGTGCTGAAGGGGGACGGTTTCTGTTCAGGTGATGGAAAAGTTCTGGGACTAACAGACAGCGGTGACACAGTGTTGCCAACGGACTTAATGTCGCTGAACATACGCTTGAAAATTATAAGCTTCATGTTTGTATATTTTACCACAATGAAAAAACACTACAAAAGAGAAATGGTGAATTTGCAGCAATAAAGCGTGGGTTGTGACCCAGGCCGCACGTGTAATGGGGAGAGCGCGCGCCCTGAGAAGCAGCGGGCATCGGCCCAGGGCTTGACTGTGGTCCGACCCCGCACAGGCTGCTGAGGCGTGTGGACACGCTCCCACCACGCCCCGCGCCCAGACCAGCCCCGGAGTGTCATGAGCACACGGCCGGCATCATGCTCTGGGCCGCAGCCGCCCAGAGCGGCGGAGACGGCAGGCCCTGTGCTGCGGCACGGCGGCCCCTGCTCCAGACTCACTTCCCAGGCCTTCCCGGGTGCCGTCACATGACCCCACATGACCCCACAATAACCCCTTCTTGGAGGGAAACTGAGGCGCGAAGAGGTCAAGGGGTCCAGCCAGGAGAGCTGCCCGGCCCACGTGTCAAGGGGAAGCCATACCTTCTGCCTGTGTCGGGCCACCAGGCGGTTCACGACACGTGCCCTGTTTCGGAGCCTCCCGAGCGCTAGCCCAACGGGGGCACCTTTGGCCGGCACAGCTCCTCCTGCAGAAAGAGGGAGTCTGTCAGGCTCAGGTCTCCTGAAGCCCCGGAGAAGGTTCCAGTCAGCTGCCCTATCTGGGGAGTCGAGCCTGTGCTGTCCAGGGCAGAGGGCCCTGCTTCCCTGCCCTCCCCGAGGGATGTCCGCTGATCCTGCATGTCCACCGGGAGGTCTAGTTCTAGAGCTGAGTGGAAGGGCCAGGTCCCCACCAGCACTGAGGGCCATGGGGCATGAAATCTCATCCTCGTGCCAAGAAAGCAGCATCTCTGCGGGAAGACAGTGCAGCCTTGCCGTCTGGTCCCGGGGGAGGCCGGTCAGTACCAGCTGCCCCCTCACTTGGGCATTAGGGAAACATTCCTAAACCATAGGTCAAGGAAGGAATCAGTACAGGTTAGAAGTTATTTTGACCTGAATTATCATTAATAAACCGCTTATCCAAACTTCCGTAAAACAGGGCAGCCTGCTGGCTCAGGCAATGGAGCGAGTGGCTCCTGATCCTGGGCTCATGAGTCTGAGCCCCACGCTGGGGGTAGAGATTACTTAAAAATAAATACTTTTTTAAAAAAATTAAGGGGCGCTTGGGTGGCTCAGTCACTTGAGCGTCCAACTCCTGATCTACGCTCAGGTCATGATCTCAGGGTCATGAGCTCGAGTCCTGCTTTGGGCTCTGAGCTGAGCGCGGAGCCGGCTTCTCTCCCTCTGCCCCTCCCCATGTTTGTGTGCACATGTGTGCTCACTCTCAAATGACTCAAGAAATCTTTTAAGAAATTAAGTAAACGTGGGGACCCGGGTGGCTCAGTGGGTTGGGCCTCTGCCTTCGGCTTAGGTCATGATCTCAGGGTCCTGGGATCGAGCCCCGTATTGGACTCTCTGCTCGGCGGGGGCCCTGTTTCCCCCCCCCCACCGCCTGCTTGTGATCTCTCTCTTTCTGTCAAATAAATAAATAAAAAAAAAAAAAAGAAATTTAGTAAACGGGGTACCTGGGTGGCTCAGTCATTAAGCATCTGCCTTCAGCTCAGTCATGATCCCAGGGTCCTGGGATTGAGGGGCTCCCTGCTCAGTAGGGAGCCTGCTTCTCCTCCTGCTTCTCCTTCTGCTCTTGTGCTCTCTCCCTCTCTCTCTCTCAAATAAGTAAGTTAAAAATAAAATAAAATTCATAGGACGATACTATGAGTAATTTTTGAAAATTCAGATGAAATGGACAATTTCCTAGTAAAATATAATATCAAAAAGTGACACAAAAAAGAAAACGTGGATCATCCTTTACTGTGAGAAAGAGTGAATTAATACTTTAAAGCCTTCTCACGAGGAAAATCCTAAACCCAAAAGGGCTCAGAATTGAATTCTATTAGCTGGCTCACGAAAAATTAACATAAGTCTAACACAAAGTTTTTCAGAAAACAGAGAAATAGGGAACATCTCCCAACACATCTGAGGCCAGACTTGTGGTCCTAAAACTTGACAATGGGCATCATGAGAAAGAAAGGGTACAGGCCAAAGCCCCTCACAAACATAAACGTACTAATTCTTGGGAACACATCAGTAAAAGAGTGAATCACGTGTGGAGATTATCCCACAGACGTAAAGCTGGTGTTAACATTCAGAAGCCAAGCGCGCTTGCTGCTCCCAACAAGACGGCGCGTGTGTGCCCATCCCTCTCCTTCGGCGCAGCTCAAGCCTCAAGCGACTGTGAGGGGAGGCCCAGCAGACGGGGGCCAGGGGCTCCGGGGACACTCCGCGCTGGGCTCCATGTCTTTTTTCTTCCTGTATTTCCTGGCTTTGATCCTGAAGCAGCCACAACCCAGAAAGGCCAGGGAGCTTAGACCAAGAAAGGCCAGGCCTGCTCCCTGCAGTGGAAGGGCCTGGAAAGAAAGGCAGAGGCTCCCGTGCACCAGCCATGTGGACCCTCCCGGGAAGAGCATGTGGTGAGGGTTCAGGGGGGTGGGGCAGAGAAAGGAATTCCTTAACTCTGTGCACTAAGTCCCTGCGGGGGCCCCCGTGGAAACCAGGCAGTGTGGATACAGCCAATGTGTTGCGAGCTGAGCTCTGCAAGGCGGGGAAAGCGCCAGGACTAGTGGCCTCGGGCAGAGCGGGACAGCATCATCGCAAAGGCTCTGGTGACCAAGCGGCCTTTCAGATGCAGCCCGAGAGACAGGCTAGGACATGGATGTGCGTCGTGCCCCGGCAAGAGCAGAAGAGGGGTCAGGCTTTCAGAGCACCTGCTTGGTACACGCCTGTCATAGTCCAGGGCCACTCATCGCACCGACAACCAGGACAATCCCAACTGACGGGACAGATGTCAGAACCACGTGGAACAGGGAATCAGTACACAGAGTTAAGGGATTCCACCACGAGGAACAGGGAACAAGGGATTTAAAACAAGCTGATACACTCTTAAAACAATGGAAAAAAAGTTTCAGCAGAGGAATAAAAGAGAAAGAAAAACCAGATGCAATCTTAGAACTGACACCGAAATAAAAGTGCCCCCAAAGGGCTCCAGAGCAGCTCGGAGGGGACCCCGGGCCTGCGAGCTGGAAGATAGACAGAGAAATCACCCATCTGAGACACAGAGGAAACAGATGGACAAAAGTCCCAGAGCCACAGGGACCTGCGGGAGAACAAGCCGGCGCTTCTGTCATCAGATCCCGAAGGGAAAAGAGCAGGGAGTAGAGGAACATGTGCCCAAGTCACGGTTGAAAACCCCCCCAACCTGGCAAAGACAAGAACCTCCGGATTCAGCGCCAAACGGGCCAGCCTAGACACACCACCATCGGTTTCCACCCCGAGCGACAGACGCGGCATGGGGCTGGTCGGGGACGGGGCTCAGAGGGCCGGGCCCTCTCGGCGGGACGCGGCACCACGGCTGTGAGGGCTGGGAGCTCCTCCTCTCACGCCAGCAGGAAACTCCCTTCTCAGACGACGGGAAGCCAGAAGACTCAGCAGCAGCAGACCTGGATGACATGGAACCTGGAACATGGGCCTCAGGAGGGACACGTGCCAAGGGCATGAACCTCCCAGTCCGCACGAACCTCCCAGCCTCTGGCTTTCCTCCCGAGTGTTTCAGGTCACACGGGACAGCTCCAAGCAGGGCCGAGAACACTGCCTGCCGTGGCTCCCCACGTGGGAGAGGTGGGTTTTGTGCTGCGGGGCCTGACCTCCGCCTTCCGCTGGAGGCTGTGCCGCAGGGACGGGAGCTGGCCGTGGTCCTGCAGCCACGGACCCGAGCTGCGCGGGTGACCCATGAGCAAAAGTCACCAAGGGACAGAGAGCAGGAAGGAAGCCGCTGCTCACGCCCCACACTAGGGCCAGGGTGGCCGGTGGACACGTGTCGGTCAGAGACGTCGGCAATGTAGGCTTCAGAAACTGACCCACCTGTGTGCTGCCTGCGAGAGTTGCCTCGAGTGGGGGAGAGGCAGGTCAGAAGGGGAAAGGGACCTGAAGACGTGACAAGCAGACGCTCACCAGGGGGAGGCCGGGCTAGTGACCAACAGCACACGGAACGGACCCCGGGGCAGGGAGAAAGGACCATTCCAGGACCACCGAAGGGTCTGATCCCATCACAACCACGGCAATCCTACACGTCCAATGACAAGGCTTCAAAACACACTAAGGAAAATTGACAGAATCACGGTAAAAAACGAAGATCAGCCTTACAACAGGAAGAGAAAGGAACTTCCTTGCTCTGACCCTGTTCCCCTCAAATCCTTACAAAATATTTAGGAGAAATGCTGAAAATTTTTCTTTGGGATCAGGAAGAAAGCCAGCTGTTATCAACATCATACTGGGGATGCCAGCCAGGAAAAGCAATATAAGAAAAAGAAATAAAAGAGACCAGCTCTGGGGAGCCAGCCAGCTCCCGAGCGGAGACTGGACGACCTGGAGGAAGAGCCCTGCTCCCTCCCTTCTCCTCCCGTAAACCCTCGAGCTGCCTGGCCTGCGTCCATCCCCCTAGTCCCCCCAGGTGGGCCCTGCACCAGGCCAGCACCCCAGCCCGGCTGGTGTGAGAGCAGGGGTGGGGCAGGGAGGCGCCCATACAGAGTGGTGAACGGGAGCAAACACCTAGAGAATGGCCTGACCCGGGGACTCCTGGGGGTCAGGACAGGGGACCTGCAGTCTGTGGTCACTCCTGACCTGTGCATTTGCATTTTGTGACTTTCCGTAGGGTTTATATTTCAATTAAAACAAAGGCAGTGTTACTGGGGCAGAGCGTGCGACAGGACGGGACAAGGACTCTTACCGGGGACATCAGCCGAGGTGTGGACGCTGGGTTGAAAGTCAGTGTAAGAGGAGGACGTCTTTGAAGGATCGAACATGTCTTCTAGTTGTTCTTCCAAGGCTTTAAATTTATGCTTTAGATTTCGTATTTCTGTTTCAAGGACCGTAACGTGATCTGCCCCAAAAGACCCAGGAAACACACAGACACGCACATTTACACGTCCCTCCACCATCGCCAAAGCAGAGGCCCACTCAGGCTGGTGCTGTCTGTCTCCCAGTGCACCCCCACAATGGCCCCCAGCCTGGGTGCTCACTGAGGAGGGCCCCACAGCCCAGCAGACCCTCAGCGTCCCTGCCATGAGCCTTCATGCGCGGTAGCACAGCGTGTCCCGCCACTGGTGGAGCTGTGCCCTCCGCTCACAGCCACTCCTGGGCTTTCTAACACACGTGGGGCACAGCCCACCTTGGCTACAGCACAGGATGCCCTGAGGAGAGGCCTGGTGCCCTCAGCCCTGACGCCTGCCCCTCGAACACGGTGCCCAACCAGCTCCCTGTGCCAGCGGAGTCCCGGCTATAAGTGCCAAGTACACAGCCTTCACCTTCCTCTTCCCCTTTCCCAATGAAACGTCGTTATCGCACACAGAAGCACTGACGGAAGATGCTCTCGTCAGCGGAAACGCTGCTGTCGTTCTCGGACGTCCTACTCTAAAGCGGACGGTTGTTTGTAAGACTCCGAGTGCAGCCCATCTTGGACCCAGTGGAGACCCGTGTCCCCTGCCCTCCCCTCCCCTCTCCTCCTGCTGCCCTCGTGCTTGCTCACCAGGCGCCTCAGCTGCTGCCTCTGGGCTTGGACGGGGCTGCTCTGTGTCGGAGGCCCGAACCCCCGACGGGGCAGGAGGAGGAACGTGGTCACTCAGAGTCTCCATTTCTTTCCTCATCTCCGCGATGGCCCTTCGTAAGCTTCTGTTCTGCTCCTGGAGCCTCTGCACCTCATTGGACGGAAAACTTGCCCTTGTTTCCTCTTCCCGATGCCCGAGGAGCACCTGGCACAAGGGGCAGAGAACACTTACAGCAGCCGAAGGAACCGCGGCTCGTGCCGTCCAGGCCGCTGCGGGCCCCCGCCTCCTGCCGCGGCTGCACTCCCGGCCGTGGGGACCCTCCGCCTCAGCGGACGGTGCGGACCCTCCAGTCGTCGCAACAACGGGACTGCTGCTGGCCAAAGGCAGTTTTTCCCGACAAGTCTGGGGACTCCTTCTTCTCAGTCCCAAAGCTGCCCTGTACCCGCTGGGCGACCGGCGTGGAAAAACCAGCCAGAGCGTGCCTGCGAGGAGGCAGACGGCGCGGGGCCGTCGCCCGCTGCAAAGGCTGCTCGCGGGTGTGGGACGGTGCTTCGCCGTACAGGACAGTCTGGCGGCTCCTCAAAGGGGCACACGCGGAGCTGCCACCCGACCCGCGACTCCCCAAAGACACACGTCCACCCAACACCTCGTGCGTGTGTGTTCACGGCGCTTCTCCCAGGAGCTGAACGTGCCAACACGATTGTCCCCCGGGGGATGGAGTGACAAAGAACGTGACACAATGAAGCAGCACCAGCCACAAAAGGGAACGAGGCCCTGACACACGCCGGCACAGGCCGAACCGCGAGGACGCGGCTGTGCCCACGACCACGCTCCAGGGCTAAAGGAAAACAGGCCCAGAGCAGGAAGAGAAACGGACGATGACTCGAGAAGGACCGAACGGCATCTGCAGAGATGAGAAACACACTGTTTGAAATAAGAAATTCCCCGAGAGGACGACGGGAGCGCAGCCCGGACGCGGCAGGAGGACGGACCGGTGAGCACGAGCACACGGCCGCCCACGGCTTGCCCGGTCCTGCGGCACGCGGCCGCCCGAGCGAAGGAGAGCTACTGCCAAGTGCACGGCCGGGCGGCCTTAGGACAGCAGGTGTGAACGCTCAGCAGCCGCGGGGAAGAGAAGGGCCACAACCATTTACATCGTGAACCGAAGAATCACAGTGACGGAGACACGCATGTCACAGAGGTAGAAAAAGGACTCAAGGTTATACGGCACAACCTGACCTCTGTGAAAATGACACGCGCACGGTGACACGTACAAGACCCGCAGGAGAGGCAACGGAGCATCGCAGCGCAGTGCCTGGAAGGTCCCAGCAGGGGGACTCCATGTCCTCGGCCACCGTGCCGCCCGGCCCCGGCCGATGCCCTGCCAAGAGGACGCATCACACAGACGAAGGAACAGATGCTCGAGTTAGTGAGGTCCGACCCAGCCACCGCACTGTCTCCATGTGGCCCCCACGTGCTCAACCTGCCCCCGCGCCAGGCTCTGGCCACTCATTCATTTCCCACAAAAGCATCAGGGAAGCTGCAAGGGCCAGTCTGCTCCAGGCCAAACGGGAGCCGCGCGAGGTTGGAGCTGGGCCCGTCTGCTTCCGGAGGCCAGCCCGGCGCACCGACATCACTGCACACTTGCTGTGGCCGCACATCACCGCTTCCAGAAGGAAGCTCTTTTCCTACTGAACACAGACCCCAGCTTCCCCTCCCAGTCACAGCCCCGTTGGCTCCGCTCCACACCAGCTCTGCCTTCTGGCCCCGACTCCCCTGCCCCACTCCTCGCCGTGGACCCAGCAGACAGGAAGGGTGGCCCGTTTCCCTGCAAACCCCCAACCTCCCTGTCCCGTGCCCGTCGGAACATCTCCCACAAAACCTCACAGCTGCTCCTGCAGACCCCACAGGAGAATGGGGGACCTGCCGCCAGCCTGGCCCTGCCCAGAGGCTCTATCTGCCGCCTCCAGGGCCGGGACCACCCTCGCAGGGTCTTGGCTTCCTCGTCTGTAGGACGGAATGGTAGCCCAGGCTGCTCCGGGAGCCCCAATCTCGTCTGTGACTTGGCATGGCACAGGCTGTGTGTTCCCCTGTACCCTGTACTGGGATGGCCCGCACGGTGGAGCCCAGGACCGTCCCCGCTGGGGGACTGATGTGGTTCCTGCTCAGGCTCCGTGCCCGTTCACTTGGTACCAGTGGAAGACGCCGCCACACCCCAAGATGCAGCCCCTCGGCTCAGCAGGGATGGCGCCGGCTCGCCTCCCTCTCCACCGCCTGCCGACACACCCCCCTGCTGCTCCCACCCCGTGTTTGCCGTGGCCTCCCCTGCTCTAGTCAGGCGGTCACACTGTGAACCTGCTAACGTCACGACGCCCCAAAGCAGGCAGTCCCACAGCAGACCGGCCGCGTCTGCCAGACATGCTCACAGCATCCTCCCACCCCCAGGCCTGGCTCTAAGCACACACCTCCGACCACGGGGCACGCCGGCTTGTGCCTGCAGACGGCCTTGTGGTGTGGCCCGCTATGCCCACTCGCTTGGCTCCAGGCCCCCTGCACGGACTCAGAGACGTGCGCGTTCAGGGACCGGAGTGGAGTGTTTTCTCAGCGTGGCTGGAGGGACACGAGCAACTTCGTGTGGCTTTCAGGTCAGCTCGCAGACGCTCCGCTTCCCACCTGCTTCAGACACTAACCACAGGGGAAGCGCCGGCCCCGGAGGGCACAGCCAGAGGCTGCGGGGGCCGCCATCCCCTCTGCAACAAGCGTGAACCCCCGCCAGCGAGGACGGGCCCCCAGCAGCCTGGCTGACGGGGATGCCGGGGCGAGCCGGCCCGCAGCTGCGGCGCTCGTGCCTGTGCGCAGCCCCCACCAGGCTGATGTCAGACGGTAGGGAAGAGGCTGCGTTGCTGGAAAGACCCGCTACCTGAACAGCTGGGTGAGTGACTTTTCCTAGAGGGACAGAGGTCAGAGTCCTGACACACGGGCCCTGGAAGCAGGAGGTCAGTGTCCAACAGACCCCCTGGCTCTGCCCTGGAAGCCGCCTCCCCTGCTGGCTTCCCACAGGGGCCTTGTGGGGAGACACGCGGTGGGCTGGGGCTTCCCGTGTGGCTGGCTGTGGGTGATGTGCCTCAGGCTGGAAGCAGACGCTCCCTCGGGGACTCTGGCTGGAACCCTTCCCGCCTCCTCCAGCCTCTAGCGAGGACCCGCCCTCCTCGGCATCCCTCGGTCTGGGGCCACGTCACTCCCGTGTCTGCCTCCGTCCGCACCTGGCCTTCTCCCTGCGTCCCTGCCTTCTACATGCTGTGCTTTTCATAAAGACGCCGGTCACACTGGATCAGGACCCACCCTGCTCCGAGTGACCTCCTCTGAGCTGGTCACATCCACCAAGACCCTATTTCCAAGTAAGGTCACACCCTGAAGAGCTGGCCGTTCGGACCGGAACCTGTCCCTTCGGGGCCAGCATTCAGCCCACGGGCCTCTCACGGTCGCTGTCAGGCTCTGGGCGGCTATCCGTCAGCGAGGACATCTTTGTGCAGAGGACACGGCCACGGCTCTATGTCGGTGTCTCAGACACCATGTGTGGAGACACGTGCCTCTGGGATAAATTCTAGGCCCTTAGTTCAGTCCTTCCTGAGAGCCACAGGCTTTAGTTCCAAGAGGGCCGCTGGCTGCCCCCGGGGCTCTCCTTCCGGTCGTGGGATGGCAAACCACATCCTCCAAGGCCAGCACCAACGCTGACGACACTACCGGGACAGGAAGCATTCCTCACAGCTTTCCAAGCGAGGAAGCGACCCGGCTCTGCGGCCAGTAATATAGCCGTATCACAGAGGGACACTGGTGCGTGTCCCTGCCACCCGCCGGGCCCTCCCTGTGAGCCTTCCTGCTGCCTTGCACAGCCAAAGTTGAAGGAGCCCCCACGCTCATGGACCATGTCCTCCTTGAGGCTGTCCAGACAGGCGCCAGGTCAGTGTCCTCGGTGCTGACGATTCTCATGAACGACCAAGAGAAGGTCATCAATTGTCAGCTCTGGATCTGAGCTGGGACGTAAAACTCCTGACGGAAGCAGCGGAGGTCCTGGGTTGCACACACAGGCTGGGACAAGTTAGGAACGTGTACATGTGTTTTAGTGAGCTCTACACCCAACGTGTAGACGGGGCTCAAACTCACGACCCCAAGATCAAAAGTTACATGCTTTACAGACTGAGTGTGCCGGGCGCCCCAAATTACAAATATCTTAACACTGCTTAGGAGCTGACCTATGGACACGTGGCCACGGCGTCGTCTTGGAGGAAACCTTGCCCACCTGGGTCCCTATGACGAGCCAGGAGTCTGAGCAGCTGCTGCCTTTGGGGTGGGGACGGGGACCAACGGGAAGGAGCATGGGGACCTTTCCGGCGTGACGGAAATGCTCTGTTTCTTGTTGAAGGGCTGGGTCCCACGGGCACATTCACGGCAAACACACTGACCTGTGTGCACTGAAGATCTGTGTGCTTCACCGTGTGTCACACAGGAGCCATTCACAGGCCTGGGGAGTCTTCTGCCTGCCCCTCCTGCTCTCGCTCCCCCGGCCTCACGCTGCCCCTGCCCCTCTGGCCGCGGACCTCGGAGCCCAGCCCGCTCCTTCCAAAGTGTTCCAAAGGGTCCCCGCGTCTTGGGCCACAGCACTGGCCTCAGCATCGGAGGACCCAAGGGCCAGGACACCAAGTCCTTGGGCAGGCCTGGTGCAGGGAGGTACCCAGGCCATCCCTGCAGATGGGATCACGGCACACAGCGACCCCCCACGACAGCTCCACAGAGAAGGCCATGGCAGCAACGTTAACACTACCCGTCTGTATGGCAGAATGTTGGAATGTGGGGTTTTTTGAGATTTCGAGAACTAAAGATGTGCAGCAGTGTCTGGGCGCAGGGTCCCCTCAGCTCCTTCAGGCGCCAGGTTGGCCTCATGGCACCGACAGACACTGGCTGAGAAGACCGACCTCCCGCTGGGGTCTGTGTGGCCCTATTCTCCCACGGCCACCACTGAGGGAAGGCTCAAGGAGCAGGCTGCTGTGTTCCTGGGAGGGCTCCGGGAGGACGGCGGTGGCACTGACCTGCACCTCCTTCTCGGGAAGGAGGCCGCGTGTCCTCAAAGCCTGCACGGCCTGGTCTCTCTCCAGCGTCAAGGCCTTGAGCACCCCCTCCTGGTCACGCAGTGTCCGCTCCGTCTCCTGGAGCTTGGCAGCCGCCTGGGGAGACATGTGGGACTCAGGGCCTGCTGGGAGGGTGACAAGACAGCAGCCGACTCTCACGTCCTCCCCCGGGGAGCAGACAGCAGGCGCACGGGCGAGCAGCCCCCGGGCCCAGGACCACGCGGCGCACGGCCGGCTGAGGGCCGCCCCAGACTCAGGTGTGGCCCTCCCAGCACACAGGAGCCAGGGACCCTCCCCGCACCAGTGACGGGCACAGCTCGCACAGTAAGAGCCAAGAGGCCCTCAAAGGCTGTGGCAGGACAGGGACGCCTTCGGCTGCTCTAATCATCGTTACACGGCACGCTGCTTGGTGACGCTCGGCATCTCCCAATCCCAACGACAATGTGGAGACAGCCCAGAGCCCTCGTCCAGGAGCCACAGGGCGCTCCCAGGCCCTCCCAGCGCACGACGACACCCGACAAGCCCAGGAACGCAGACCTGATCCCGCGCCTCGCTCAGGGCCCGAATCAGGTCCTCGGCCTTGCAGTAGTGGTCCCTCTCCACGGCGTCACAGCGCTGCCGCCAGTCCAGCTCCAGCTGCGCCTTCTCGCGCTCCAGGCCCCGCTCCCTCTCCTCGGCTGTGGACAGCTGCTGCTTGTACCTCAGGGACAGGACAAGCACGGAGGTTAGTGTCTTGCACATGAAGCAAAGGTGGCAGGCGGGGGTAGGGCGCCACACACTGCGGTCGGGCCCCCTCCAGGCTGGCCCATTCCCAGCCACTTGCGGACACACAGCCTGCCAGGGGTGGGGGCGCACAGCCGGGAGGGGTCCCTGCAGCGTGGACACGGAGGGCAGGCTTGGGTTCAGACAGGAGCAGCCAGCGAGGACCCCAGCTCTGAGGAGGCACCACGAAGACCAAACGCAAGAAACACAAGAACCCGTCTGGAAGAAGAGGAGAAAGAAAGCCGACACACTTGGGGGCAAGAAGGAGGAGTGGTTCCAGCAGAGAAATGTGAGAAGGTTTCCGAGTGACCACCGGAGAGCTTGGAGCCGCCGGGACAGAGAGAGCCTCCAGGGCTCAGAGGGCCGACGCCCATCTCAGAGCAGGTCCAGGGAGATCAGATCCGAGCAAGCAAAGGAGAAAACCCAGCGCAACCCGGGGAGACACATGCCCTCGGACGAGACGGGCTCGCCAAGCACTCATCCGGGGAGCCTTATGGAGGCGCACGCATAGACGCCGCGCACAGCGCTGGCCCAGGATAAAAAGCCTCAGGGGAGACAGAGTGTGTGCCAGACGGGTCCCAGGCCTCTCGTCGGCCGCGTGGGGGCAACGCATGGTGGTGGCTCTGGACGGCCTCCCCCCAAGGGTGGCCGGGGTATGCACGATGGGATGGGCGTGCCCCTGACCAGATGAGGCCACGCAAGGCCCCGCCTTGCCCACAGGAGGGAGTTCCCCACCACCCGAGAAGCCACAGTGTCAGGCCCTGCAGACACCTCTGGGGCTCATGGCCACTGGGAAGGCCCCCCACCAGCCTGAAGGGGCCTGGAAGGAAGGGGCGGCCTGGCTGATGTTGTGGCCCCAGCCTCATGAGACCCTGTGCTGGGGACACAGCTGAGCCGAGCCAGACTCCTGACCACAGACACAGAGACAGTAAGTGGGTGTTGTTCATGCCACTAAGTTAGCAGTGATTTGTTCCAGAGCAACAATAAAGTAACACACGACGGGTTCCAAATCCGGCGGAAGGGGCTCCTGGGTCACTCAGTCAGGTGTCTGCCCTCGGCTCAGGTCATGATCCCAGGGTCCTGGGATCGAGCCCCAAGTCAGGCTCCCTGCTCAGCGGGGACCCTGCTTCTCCCTCTGCCACGACTCCCCCTGCTTGTGCCCTTGCTGTCTCTCTCTGTCAAACACATAAATAAAATATTTTTAAAAACCCAGGGGAAAGCAATTTGGAATTTGGGATTCTAAACCCAGCAAAATCAGCACTGACACAAGAAGGCAGAGATGGGACATCCTCAGACACAAAAGCTCAGAGCAGCGGGACAGGGCTTCGCAAACGTGGTGAAAGCCCACTTGTTTATTTCTTTAGAAGATTTATTTATTTTTGAGAGAGAGAAACACAAGCCGGTGAAGGGGCAGAGGGAGAGAGAGAATCTCAGCAGACTCCCCGCTGAGCACAGGGCCTGATGTGGGGCTGGATCCCATGACCCTGAGATCACCACCTGAGCGGAAACCAAGAGTCGGACGCTCAACCGACTGAGCCCCAGGGGCCACCGGGTTGTTTGTTTTTAAATGTGCACTGACGGCCGTAGCTCTGTAGAATGGCAGGAAACGCCACAGTGCTGTCCCGTCACCACGAAGTCCCGGAATGCCTGTGCTCCCTGCACGCGGGTCCCGTGGGGCAGGAGGAGACACAGAACGTGTTCTCTGTCCACAGCAGAAGTGAATTAAAACCAGTAACAGAAAGATATCTGGAAATCTCACAATGACGGGAAACCCAGCAACACATTTCTCAACAGCCGCTGACCGAGGAAGAATCACAAGGAAAATTACGAAGTATTTTTAACTGAATCATACCAAAATTGGTGGACGGCAGCGAAGTAGTGTTCAGAAGGACACGCCCAGCACGAAATGCTTACGTTTCTCAGACAGGCAGAGCCAAGGCCCCGCCGTCGTCAGCCGTGAAAAGAACGTCCAACGAGCGCCAAGCGAAGCAGAAGGGGTAAAGCTGAGAGGGTAAGAGCCCAGAGAACGGCGCGGAAGCTCTCTGAAAAGATCCGTAGAATCGACAGATCTCCAGCGAGACTGACCCAGAACAGCAGAGACGGCAGCGACCGGCTGTGCGCACAGCGGGGAGACAAACCCCAGGAGCGATCCCGGGCCCAGGAAGCCAGCAACGACACGGGCAAACCCCCCAAAAGACTCAAAGTCGCAAACTGACACAGAAACACAGAAAACCTGCTGCAAGCCCGCGGAGAAGCCGGAGGCGAGGTGCCCCCAGATGGCACGTGGAGGGGGGGAGGCTGTGGGGCTGGGGTGCGAGGAGGGGGTGCCAGCCGGCCAGGGCCAGGTCTCAGGTCTCTGCTGCGGGGGCAGCAGAGCAGGCACATGCCGGTCAAGACTCACCGACCGTACGGTGGAAACAAGTGCGTCTCATTACATCTCAGTGACTCAAGAAAGCAAGTGTGCTCTTGGCTCAAGCATTCACTCCACCTGGTGACAGCAGCAGCCGCCCCGGAGACCAGAAGCAGCGACTGTCCCCACAGGACCGAGCAGCAGGAACACTGCCGTGTGCCTGCGACAGACCCAAGCCCACTCCCACGGCAGGGCCTTCTCTGGCCACCCTCCGTCACCCCATCCCCTCGCCCCCCTCTCACGACCCGACGTTCCTCTTCTTCCTGTTTCCTGTCTTTCTCCCTCAGTGGGCTATGAGGCCAGGGCCTGGATTCGGTTCCCTTTTGTACCCCTAGTGCCAGAATGGCACCGGGCCCAAAGGAGGCACGCAGTGGGAAGACCCCTTGGGGAAGCTGTGGGGACAGTCACCTTCCAATGTCCTGCTGACATCTGGCCAGATGTGCCTTGAGTTCCACTGCCTCTGCCTGCAGTGACTGAATCTGGAGGTCCTTGGAGATCATCTCCTTGGACAGCTCAGCGATCTGGGCATCCCAGCCGGATCTTAGAGCCAACATGTCTTCCCGAAGTCTGCACAAAGAAGGGAGGCCGCATGAATGCAGGTGTGGCGCTCGCTCGAGCTTTCTTTTCCACGGTGCCCCCAACGCGCATACCCCCGCACGTGCACGCCGCCCTCGAGGAAGCCTGCACACCAGCATCTCCCCGTCAGGGTGGGGCCTTCTTCACCCAGACGAGGAAACGGTCCTACCCGAGCAGAAGCACCCCCCCCCCCATCCCGCCGACCCAGCTGCCCGCTGAACTCCTACGACACGCTAAGTCCACATCAGCCGTGCAGGGCACACGTGAGCCACGGGGTGGTGTCGCTGGGCTCACCTGTGCCACGCCTCGCACAGCCCTCTAGGTCGGGACACACGTTTGCAAGTTCAACAGTGACATGAGCTTGTACAGAAACCCCTCCTCCACCTGGCAGAATTCCCAAAACTTGGATAATATCCCCAGAATAAAAACCCTAGAGAAGACACCTAGAGCTGCTGCCCAGGGAAGTGCTGACGGCACTGGAGGCCCCTGGGGTTCACTCCGTCTGCAGCCCAGTCATCAAGGAAGAGGCACTGGGCCACCCCCTCCGGAGGAAAGCAAGCCTGGGGGGCAAGCGTCCAGTCTCGGAGGCCTGCTTGCCTGAGGCGTCACAGGCGTCTCAGAGGACGAGGAAGATCCGTCAACACAGAGTTCCAGCTTGACTCTTAGCCACCGGAAAAAGACCATTTTTCTTCATATGCTTTCAACAAATTATTTCTAGTACGATGCATACAAACTCACCCTGACCTTGTACCTGCTCTAATGTCAGGAAGGGCTACACAAGCGGGGCGCCTGGGTGGCTCAGTGGGTTGAGACTCTGCCTTCGGCTCAGGTCATAGTCTCAGGGTCCTGGGATCGAGCCCCGCATCGGGCTCTCTGCTCAGCGGGGAGCTGCTTCCTCCTCTCCCTCTGCCTGCCTCTCTGCCTGCTTGTGATCTCTGTCTCAAACAAAAAAATAAAACCTTAAAAACAATAAAATAAAATAAAATAAAATAAAGGAAGGGCTGCATGAAGTTGGAAGCTTCAGTACACACCCAGGTAAGACGGCACACAGGCACAGGAGCTGGTCTGAAGTGAGATGTAGCTTCAAAATTTAGCGCCCCAAAATGCAAAATATCTCCATATTCATTTTTTTCAGGCAAAAATTACTAGTTCTTATTCTGATTACTTGTTATTGATGCAACATGTGATTGGGTTAAACAGTCCCCTCTCTTTTTGTGTCGTAACTGTGGACACTGCAAAGTGGCCCCACCCGTGGGGCCAGTCATGACTATGTTGCAGGTGATACGGTGACGGAGAACACAGGCGGGCTCTCACAAAGCTTCTCGGGGCCACGGCCGCTCTACTGTGGCACTCACGACCCACTGCCCTCAGGAAAATTATCACAAATACGCCCAAAGAAATAGATCAAAATATGGGGTGTTTTTGTCACTGGTTTTCAAACAACATATGTCTCAGTAGGAGAAGACACAGACTGTCCCGGGCACGGTGGCCCCAGGCAGCACCCAGGTCCCAGGCCACTCGGAGCACCAGTGAGGAACACAAGGACAGACACGTCAAAAGGTAAGAGCAGGTGGAAGGAGGCCGGCCCCGGGCCTCAGGTGAGGAAGTGCTGTAGATGCTGCTGGCAGCCGCGAGAAGGACCCACACAGAGCCTCGCAGCCCGTGCGCCCATCAGACTGTCACTTCTGCGTCTCCAACTGCTGCTCCTTGTGTTGAACAGGTCGAACACCACCGTGCGTCCAATCTAAGGAAAGCTTCCTGAAGGAGCGCCAGCTTCCTGGTGCTGCACGGTTGTAAGAACCATCTTACCCTGACAGAGACGTAACAGGGCAGAGCACCCTCCCTAGAACGCAGCCCGGCTCATTCCCCAAACGGATAGGAAAAGCCAGTTGCTAGGCATGGTGAACACTGGCCAATGGCCGATTTAGCTGGCTTGATCAGACAGTTTCTGTAAACACGGCTTCTCCAAGTATCGCCTCCTCACTGGTGGCCGGGAGACGAGTCCGATCCCCAGTTCTGTTCCCAGAGGTTCTACGCGCCGCCTGCGTGTACACCGTGTGCAGGGCAGAAAGCACATCCGCTTACAGCCATGCCAGGCTGAGACGCTGGGAAGAAAATTCCGGTTAAGAAGATACCAGTGGAGGGGCACCTGGGTGGCTCAGTGGGTTAAAGGCTCTGCCTTCGGCTCAGGTCATGATCCCGGGGTCCTGGGATTGAGCCCCGCATCGGGCTCTCTGCTCAGCAGGGAGCCTGCTTCCTCCTCTCTCTCTGCCTGCCTCTCTGCCTGCTTGTGATCTCTGTCTGTCAAATAAATAAGTAAAATCTTTAAGAAGAAGAAGAAGAAACCAGTGGACTACTACGCAGCCATCAACCCCCCCGAAATCCTGCCTTTTGCAAAGACACAGATGGAACTAGAGGCTGTTAAGCTGAGCGAAGTCAGTCAGTCAGAGAAAGACAGTTATCATATGATCTTACTGATACGAGGAATTTGAGAAACAAGACAGAGCAGCAAAGTGGAAAGGAAGGAAAAACAAAATAAGACGAAATCAGGGGGAGACAAACTGTAAGAGACCCTTAGCCACAGGAAACAGACCGAGGGTGGCTGGGGGTTTGGGGGCACTGGGTGACGGGCACTAAGGAGGACACAGGATGTGATGAGCACCAGGTGTTATGAACAACCGACGCGTCACTGACCTCTGTCCCTGAAACTAATAGTTCACTCTGTTAATTAATTGAATTTAAATAGAAAAATAAAGTTAAAAAAAAAAGAAACCAGTTGATGGAGAAATTGGAATCCTTGTGCTAAACAGTGCATTCGCTGTGAAAACCAGTCTGGCAGCTCCTCAAAAAGTTAACCATAGGGGTACCCGGGGGGGTTCTGTCAGTTGAACCTCTGCCTTCGGCTCAGATCCTGGTCTCAGGGTCCTGGGATCGAGCCCCACATCGGGGTCCCTGCTCAGCGGACAGCCTGCTTCTCCCTCTGCCTCTGCTCCTCCTGCTTTACTCTCACGGTCTTGGACAAATAAATAAAATCTTAAAAAAAAGTCAAACGCAGATTTACCATACGATCCAGCAATCCACCTTCCAGGTGTTCCCCCCCCGCACCCCCACGCTCGTGGCAACACTGTTCACAACAGCCACGAGGTGGAAGCAACCCAAGTGTCCACGGACAGATGAATGGGTACGGACAGTGTGGTCCAGCCAGGCAGCCAGGGAAAGGAAGGATGCCCTGTCACCTGCCCCAGCACCGGTGGACCCAGGAGGTGCGACAGCCAGTGGAATATGCCAGTCGCCACAGGACAGACACTGCAGGATCCAACCCAGACGAGGGACCGAGAATCATCAACGTCCTGGAGACACAGCGTGGACGGTGGGTCCCAGGAGGTGGGGGAGGGGAACGGGAAGGGACATTTGGTGGCCGTACAATGCAGCCAACCGTGCACTTTAAATGGCCAAGATGGTAAATGTCACACGATGCACATTGTACCACAATCGCATACGTCCGCACACATGTACACATGGCGCGGCCTGAAGACGAGACGAGGAGAAGGCGGCCGAAGGAGAAGGACCAGAGACCGAACCCTCCCGGGCCGCGGCGGGCGCCATCAGCCACCGGGCCCTCCCGCGCGCGCTCACCTGTCCAGGGCGGCGTCCTTCTCCCTCAGCGCGTCCCCCTGCCTCCACTCGGCCCGGCGCAGCTGCAGCTCGAGGGCCTCACAGCGGGCCTGCACCTCCCGGGCCCGGGCCTCCAGGGCCTGCAGCTGCTCCGCGTGGGCGCCCTTCACAGCCACCAGCGCCGCGTCCCTCTCCCTGGCCAGACGGTCCAGCTCGTCGTGCCTGGAACACAGGCAGGTGTCACAGCGGCGCATGGCCCCGCTCAGTCCCCAGACCACACATGCCTCTCCTGTGCTCAGGGGCTGCTGTCCTGGGACCTGAGCCGTGGCGCGTCCCGCCCGGCCACCGCGGCAGTGGCCACTGGAGTGCGCGCTGGCACTGCTCAGGCAAACGCTGGCTGAAGGGCTCTTAGAGGCCGGGTCCCTGGGCAACTCTGGAGCTGACGCCCCCAGAAGACAGACGGCAGCGACAGGGGCTCTGGTCAAGCAGTGCCACCAATGCCCCCACCAGCTTTCCTACTGACCCTGAAAGCAGAGCGCAGCTCAGCAGCCGTCTGTCACCCAGAACCCTAAGGCTGTCCCTGTGACTGGGGACCGCAGGACACTGGCTGCTTTTCTTTTTTTTTTTCAAGATTTTATTCATTTATTACAGACAGAGATAATGCAAGCACAGGGGAGCTGGAGAGGGAGAAGCAGGTTCTCCACTGAGCAGGGAGCCTGGCGTGAGGCTCGATCCCAGGACCCCGGTCTCATGACCTGAGCCGAAGGCAGACGCTTAACGACTGAGCCCCCCAGGCGCCCCTTCCATTAGCATTTTTCAGTGAGATGGTGAAGCCTTATTCAACGAGGTCACGTTAACATACTTCTCACTCTAGTTACAATCAGGCTTCACCTTACCCATGTTGCGATCTGCTCCGTGTTTTCTACCCTCCGTCAGCAAACACATGAACGCGCGCTGGCGTCCAGCAGCACAGGCCTTTCCCTCGTGGAACCGGGAGACGTCCCATCGCGACGGCTGGGGAAGGAGCAGACTCACTTTCGAGCTGCACTGCGCGGCCGCTATTCAGTGGCCGACACAGACGCCGGGCTGGGAAGCTGCCCTCCGTCACTGGGGTCCACTGGTGCCACGCGCGTCACTGCACCGTCGCACAGCGCGGTCCGACGCGAAGCATCTGGATGCGCTCTAACGTGTCACGTGTATTAGCACCAAACTGTCCTAACCTAGAGCACTTGGGTACGTTTTACAAGGTGTGCTCTGTGATTCCCAGTGTTTTGACAATTCCTCTCCAAACATGTGCAGACCCGGGGGGCCCGAGATGGAGTGAGAGGCTCTCACAGAGCGCCCTGAGTGGCTAACCGTCTCCCAGCGAGGACGGGCTCTCCCGCACAACCTCCTCAACACTGTCCCTAAACGGAAACTGAATCCAAGATCCCGAGGTTTTAGGGAGAAATGGTAAAGCTTGTGACAAAATTAAAAGCATCTTACTGTATACACATCATGCTAGCAAATGTGTTCTCTGAGTCACAACCTTCCAGTTTCCCCGCTTCTCAGGACGAGGGGTTCCCAAGCTAAGTAGAAGGGCACCAGGTGTACGTAGTTACAGAGTAAGTCTCAGAAAAGCCTCTGATGCAAACTTCAGGAAACAGCGAACATGACTGATCTGCCGACGGAGCCAGGCACCAGCAGCTCTCTGCTCTCACCAGCGGCCAGCAGACATGTGACCTAGTCACGCTGGGGGGCAAGGCCAGCAGGTGGCTCCTGGCACAGAACTGGAAGGTGTTCAAAGCCCAGGGGATGCTGCCAGAGAGTCCCCCAGCTGTGACGAGGTGGGCAGCCACACTCAGGGGCTTGCAAACTGATGTGGGGACCCTCTCCCTTCCGTCGGGGGAGCATTCCTAAGGAGACTTACACTTAATCACTGAATTTTATAGTGTGGTATATTGTTTTGTAAAGTATGTGCAAATAATTATCAGAATACCTTCACTTAGAAACCTTTTAGAGGGGGCGCCTAGGTGGCTCAGTGGGTTAAAGCCTCTGCCTTTGGCTCGGGTCATGATCCCAGGGTTCTGGGATCAAGCCCCGCATCGGGCTCCCTGCTCCGTGGGGAACCTGCCTCCCCCTCTCTCTGCCTGCCTCTGCCTACTTGTGATCTCTGTTAAATGAATAAATAAAATCTTTGAAAAAAAAAAAAAAAGAAACCTTTTAGAAGACTTAAAGCTTTGTGACCCTAGCAAGTTTCATTGTTTTTAGTTTATATAAACATAGGTATTGTTATGTATACATACACACATGTATAGAGAAGACTGATTTCAAATTTCTTTTTTTTTTTTTTAAGATTTTTTATTTATTTGACAGAGACATAGCGAGAGAAGGAACACAAACAGGGGGAGTGGGAGAGGGAGAAGCAGGCTTCTAGTGGAGCAGGGAGCCCGACATGGGCCTCGACCCCAGGACTCTGGGATCATGACCTGAGCCGAAGGCAGACACCCCACCACTGAGCCACCCAGGCGCCCTGATTTCATATTTCCTAAGCATAAAAAATACATTATGGGGCGCCTGGGTGGCTTAGTCAGTTGAACGCCTGCCTTCAGCTCAGATCATGGTCCTGGGGTCCTGGGATCGAACCCCACATTGACCTCTGTGCTCGGTGGGGAGCTGCTGCCTGCTTGGCCGCTCCCCTGCTTGTGCTCTTTCTTGGCTCTCTCAAATGAATGTATAAAATCTTTAAAAAGAAAAAAAGAAAAGAAAAATACCTACTCATTTCACTACGCCATGACAATCAGATTCCTGATTTTGGCTCAGTTCATGACCCCAGGTCCAGCCATCAGGGAGCCTGCTTGAAATTTTCTCCCTCTGCCCCTCCCCCTCATATGTGCATGCTTACTCGCTCTCTAAAATAAATCAATCTTTTAAAAAAGAGTGACCAGTTTTACTTCTTTTCTTTTCTTTCTTTTTTTTTGTTTTTTTGTTTTTAAGAGATTTTAAAGTAATCTCCGCACCGAATGTGGGGCTTAAACTCACAACCCCGAGAACCAGAGTCATGTGCTCCAACGGAGCCAGCCAGACAGCCCTGAGCAGTTTTGCTTCCAAATGTCAGTATTTACAATGTGCTAAAACAGTGCTCATCTGCTACTACTTCAGTTCATGGCTGTGTCGGTGGCACGTGGCTCTTGATCTTGGGTTCGTGAATTCAAGCCCCACGTGGGATGCAAACATTACTTAAATAAATGAACTTAAAAGGAAAAAGGCTCTAGCTGTGGGCATGACGAGGAACGCTGTCTGTCGCCACCGGCCCGTGTGGGTCTGAGCTGGACCACATCATGCTGTGTCCGTGGCGCCCGCGTGTCCCTGGCAGGGGCACAAACACCACGTCCGCCCCCGCTCCCGCAAGCCAGCCTGGCTGAGGCGAGCACGGGCCAATGGCGTCTGCACAGTGGCCCAGAAGGCAGCTCCCAGCTCTGGCCTGACTACGGGTGAAAAGGCCGTAGACAGTCTGTAAAGTTCTTCTCCTCAGGGTGCGCACACCACACAAACATCACAGCCAGAAAACCCAGAAATGCCCCAGACAGCCCACACTCCACCACCCTCCACCGTTCCCGGGACCACGCAGCCTCACAGCCACACCTGTGCTTACCTACAGCCTCGTGCTTTCCAGAAAAGGAAGTGGGCGACTTCTGTGGCAGGTGGAACGGTGCACACTGCCCACCCCCTACCCCGGGGCTCTCAGGGGCCCACCTAACCCCAGGCCAGGGCTGCTCCCAAGGGCACGCGCTCCCACATGCCCGCCCTCCCCCAGGAGTGTGCCTTGTGCCCTCACTTAGCCCCCTTCATCCTGCGGGCCTTGCACGCCTCAGCCCGAACGGGCCACCACGGGCTCTCTCAGGGTCCCCGCCTGGGGGGTGCCGTTCCAGCTACAGGCTGGGCGTCCCGACACCGCAGTGCAGGGCGTGCGGCCGGTCCTGAGGGATGAGCTGAGCATCTCTGCAGGAAGGGGGGGTTCTGGAGAAGGTACAGCCAGGAGAGCAGGAACGCTTTGCCAGGATAATGTAGAAATGAAAGGCGACTAACACCAAAGTAACCTTTGTTGCTACGGTCTGAAACTAATGAACTGATTCATAAAACTGTGTTTTTTTTTTTTTTTTTTTTTCAAAACGGCTCATGCCTGCGCTGAGACTCGGGGAGGGGCGGAGGGAGTCCCAAGCAGGCTCCATGCCCAGCGCCAGCCTGATGTGGGGCTCGATCTCACGACCCCAAGATCATGACCTCGGACGAAATCAAGAGTCACATGCTTAACTGACGGGACCAGCCGGGCACCCCCTGGTTAATAAAGCGTTTATGTTTCAAAGTCTCAAAACACCAGGGTGCCCACTGGCTCAGTTAGTGGAGGGTGCACCTCTAGGTCTCAGGGTCCTGACTTAAAGCTCCACGTTGGGTGTAGAGATTACTTAAAAATAAAACCTTGGGAAAATCTTTAAATAAAAAGTTTTTTAAAGACTAAAAAGCCTAACTACACGCAGAAAATCCTAAACAGAGCATGGAAGCAGACCCAAAGCAGGGAGTTCAAAGGCCAGACGGCCTGTGGCTGGTGGGAGCCTCGGCCTGGCCCTAACCCCTCGCGGCCAGGCTGGGGGCCAGGAGCACTCACTTCCTCCTGGCCACCTCCTCTTCTTTCTTCCTGGAGAGCTGCACACAGTTCAGTCTGTCCTCTAAGTCCTTTATCCTAAAAAGGAGGAAGTGTCACTGGGAAAAGCAGACGAGGGCCCCCCCAAGCCGGCCGACCGGCGGAAGCCCCCGGCTCGAGCAGACAGGGGCAGGCAGGCGCAGCTGCGCACCGGGCATCCTTGGCGGCGGCCACGTCCCTGAGCTCCCGGTCCCTGCGCTGCAGCTCGTCCTCCAGCCCCGCGCCGGCGGCCTCCGCGCTCCGCAGCGACTCCGTGGCCTGGGCGGCTGCCTCCTTCACAGCCACCAGCTCCTCGTTCAACACTTTCACCTTCAAGAGATGAAGAATTCAGGAAGAGGCTGGGCCTGGAACCGAGCGGTGAGGAAGAAACAACACACAGCCGCGTACCGCAGGCGTGGCACGACAGCGGCTCGGTTCTCAAACAAGCTTTCTGGGCTCAGGCTCCGCGGCCGCAAACTGCGGTCCCCGTAAGGGCTGCCGTGCCCTCATCGCTGGTGCGTGGCATCTGCCCTGCCCTCCAGGGCAGCAGTGCAGGGGTCTGGCCCGGCAGGCAGAGGGAGGTGGGGCAGGGCCCATCCCACTGTGGAGCTCAGGACATGGCCCTGCGGTCCCACTGGCCCTCTCCCCACCGGCTCTCACAGGTCCCCAAGGCCTCCTGAAGGTCACTGCAGGGTTCCTCCAGGAGTGCAGTCAGGTGCACTGATGCACGGGGCCAGACGGGGACTGAAAAGATGTGGAGCACTGGTGTCCCTGCCAGGACGTGAGGGCGGGCTGGGAGCTGCCCGGTCCGCGCCAGTCACGGGAACCGGCCAGCGTTCCTGGGCCCTCTGGCTGGCCCAGCACTGCCCTGGGACTGTAGCATTGTGGGGAGGCCGGAGGCCTGTGGGAGGGGTCCTCCCTGACCGAGGGGGCGGGGTTGCTCCTACGGACACCTGCTGGGTGCGAAGCAGCTGCAACCCTGGGGGTGGGGAGGTGGGGCGGTGCCAGGCCAGGAGTCCTCCCCTGCTTCCCCGCACAGCCTCCCACTTCCTCAAAGCTGGCCCTGTGTCCGCACTAAAGTTCAGACGTGCACGCTGCTCACTGCGGCCGGGTGCACAGGCTGCACAAAGGCCCTGACCACCTGCCTGGCCTCCTCCGCTGTCAGTGGGGGACGAGCAGCACCTCCCCAGAGGCACGTTCCCAGTGCTCACAGAGGACACACCAGAGACAGGCTATCTGGATGGGGATGGGGGGCACTTTATCCTGGGAGGGGGGGCCCCTTCCCCAAGGCCGGGGAAACCAGAGCCTGGCACCAGCCCTCCTCTCCCTCAGGAGAAGGGCCATGTAGCAGGCACCACGGTGGGCATAACCCGACCCCAGTACAGCAAGGGAGGCCTCTGTGTGAAGCCCGCCTTCCTGCGGCCCAGCAGCGGCACAGGATGTCTGGGGAGGGAGTGGTCATCGACCAAAGGCCGTCCCCCACCTTGAGCTCATGAGTCAAGACCACGCTGCTCATGCTGTCTGCCTGTAGGCGGAACCCCCGCTCCCGCTTCTGCAGTTCCGACTTGAATTCCAGCAGCAGCTCCTGAAACAGAAGGGGCTGGCGGTGAGAGGAGGCCATCAGCCCCAGCAGAGAAGCTCCCACAACGAGGACCCAGTGAGCAGGCCCGAAGCTGGCAGGACGCCGAGGTCCCTGGAGGCAGAGGTGCCACACGAGTCATGTCCGTGTAAACCTCCAGGGGCTCCTGCAGTGTCCGAGCACCTCAAGGGATTGCCCCCGGGCTGCGAGGAGTATCTGCTGGGCATCCACGGAGCCGCCGGGCCTGTCCGCTGGGCACACACAGATGAGGACCTGCTGGGGACCCGCGACAGAGGCCCCTGGGCCTGCTCACCCTGCCCACGCGTGGGAGCTTTCCGGCTGATTCCGGCCTGTTCCAGTTGGGTGTCCAGGCCACACCATGGCTCCCCGCCCATCTCCCCGCCATCTCCCTGCCAGAAGCCCCATCCCACTCCTCCCAGGATGCTGACCACGGCTCGGAGAGCAGGCAGTCTCCAGAGTTTCACCCCCAGGCTGAATCTACACACCCAGTATGTCATCATGACCATGAGAGCACTCAGCGTGCACCCCCCGGGGAACAGGGACCACAGCCCATACCTGACCGCCCCCGGTTTCTCCTGGAGTTTGGGTTGTCCTCCGACCTCCCCCCCACCTCTCTCTTTTCGGTTATCCTGGGCCCTCATATCCCTTCGCACCATCCACGTGGGCAGCGTGACCCTCTCTCCTGGGGTGCGGCCCCTCCAGGGGCGTCGGCCTCCTCACTGTGGCCTGGATTCTCCCCGGACCACCGCCCAGCAGACCCTCCAGCCGTGCTTCACCCCCCCCCCCCCATGAGCTCCCTGCGCTGCCTGTTCTCTGTGGCTTCTTCCAGGTGAGAGGAGCCTCTGCCGCCCCCCACGCCCCACGCGGCCTCACCGGGGGTCTGGAAGCTCAGCTCTGGCCTGGCCCCGACCCTCTGGCTCCTGCAGGGCACTCTGGGACTCTGAGGCTGGGGCTACTCAACCCTGGGTACGCCAGGGAGTCTGCTCGGCTCAGGCCCCCATCTCCGCTCCCATCACCTGGTTCCCACTGTTCTGAACTCCAAAGGGAACGGAGGCAGCTGAGGGCTGAGCCCTTGGCCACTGGCCAGGCTGCAGAGCACGCTCCAGTAACTTCCGGGAGAGGCCCGCTAAGCCTGGTCTCTGCAGGTGCTCCCCCTCCCCCGGTGTGTGTGGACCCGAGGGCCCTGCGCTCACGCCTCACGGCCGTCTGCTATTCTCCCCTCCCGTGAGTTCCCGGGAGGTCTCTGCAACATCTCCCAGTACCGCTCCAGCCTCTGCCAGCCTTTCGCTCTGACGTCCCCACCCTGAGAAGTGACCAGGCCATTTCCTCCACAGTCGACCCCTTCCTGGTTTCCACTGCATGTTTCTAGAACGCGATTGCTGAACTGAACATCCTGATTTATCCTCCACGTCTCTTAAATTTCTCCTAGATGTTCTTTCTTATCTACATTCTGAATTTGTTTCTTTAAATATACTTTTAATTGTCCAAATTCTTCCTTGTTTTGTGACCAGCCCATCCTCCTAGCACCCCGTTCTTGGGTTATGGAGGCAGCACTCATCTCTGGAGGCCACAGGAAGACCCCGCGACGCCCCCGAAAGCCTGCAACCCACGGCAGCACGAGGTGAGGCTGGCCCTGCCCCCACCCCAGTGCAGACAGGCTCGAGTTCCCACCCGTGGCGAGAGCAGGGGGTCACGGGCTCGCCAGCTCGCCTGCGACGGCTAGACCGGCGCGGACACCGGAGGCCAGCGTGGGCACACCTGCCACCTTGCCCCAGAAATGGACACACAGCTGGGGTCTCAGGGTCACCGACCCGGGGTTCATCAGCCTTTCCGGGCTGTTTTCCCTTAACTCCTGGCTTCTTTCCTACACAGCCGGCGATTCTCAAATGTCTGTCCTGCCTCAGCTGCTATTCGAGAACCCGGCAAGAAAACGCTCGCTGGAACGTCACCAAATTAAATCACCTGCTGTTCCTACGATCCCGCTGAGGAAAGGAAAAGGCTGGGCCCAGGACGGAAGATCGCCTAACACACGAGCGCAAGGACCTGTTTCCGGAGCCACCGGCACTCTTCCACACCAGTACCATGAAGACAGACCATCCACCTTGTGAGAAGGGCAGAGAAAGTGAACGGACACTTCCCCCCAAAAAATATCTTAATGGCCAATGAGCACATGAAAAGATGCTTACGAGGGCGCCTGGGTGGCTCAGTGGGTTAAGCCTCTGCTTTCAGCTCAGGTCATGATCTCGGGGTCCTGGGATCGAGCCCCGCATCGGGCTCTCTGCTCAGCGGGGAGCCTGCTTCCCCCCTCCTCTCTCTGCCTGCAGCTCTGCCTACTTGTGATCTCTGTCAAATAAATAAATAAAATCTAAAAAAAATTTAAAAAAATATTTGTTAAATGAATGAAGAAATCCATCGTCCCATTTCTCTGTCAGTGGCTTCTACCGATACAGAAGAAAGCTTCCCTTAACCCCACAGCCTACAACTCACAGGTACGCTAAGACCCAAACGGACGACTCTGTTCTCATCACCTTAAATTTCATTTTTCAAGAAAAAAGTCACTATAACCATTGAATCAAGTCTCCTTCTGACAAGTCCATCATGGACACCAGAGCTTCAGAAACAAGAGACAGGAAACCAGCCCAAGGAGAGCAGGAAGTCGGGGAGCACGCGGGAGCCTCGCTCAGGCACTGTAAGAGCAAGACGCGGGCAGCGGAGCTCAAGCAAGGGCAGGCTGGGCCCCGAGAACCAGCGTGGGCTCACCCTGCTCCAGAGCCGTGCCGGACAAGTGCCACGCATGTTTCCAGCAGCCACTTCGAGTAGACCAGCAAAGCCGGAGAGTCTCTGTCCTCCCAGAGGCAGGGCTACCACGAAAAGCAACGTCCCCCATGGCTGTGAGGGGCTCCTCAACGGATGCAGGGGCTCAAAGCTGGAACCAGCCCGAGTCACAGCAGAGACTGAGTGTGGACAGCCTGGGAAGCCCCAATGGCCTGGCCCAGCCACCCCAATTCCCCGGAGGTCACTGCTGCCTCTGAGGGTCACTGAGACCCTGGTTGCCCGGGGCCCTTCTGACGTTCCTGCAGGAGTGACCCCGGTGCTGCCTGAGGAAAGCTCAGTGCTACCCAGCAAGCCACAAGGATCCGGTGGTCACCCTGCTGCTCGGACCCCACTTAGTGCCTGCCAACTGGGGCTGTTCCCAAAAGGCCAAGCTGCCCATAACGGACGGGACTCATTAGTTCTGGAAAAGTCTGAAGTCCCCTGCAGATTTCAGGAGCTGTCAGGGTGCTCTGAGCAGTGGCAGCAACCCAAGAATGAATGTGGGGCTTCCCGAGGGGAAGGAAAGGGCTGTCTGTGGGGCCTCGGCCTCCTCGCCTGTGGTCAGAGGACAGTCATGTCCCTGGGGTCTTTCAACCCTGACCTGCACAAGGCCTCTCAGGAGACACGGTTCTGTCTCAGGGGCTGACACGGCACCACGGGGCAGCAGGCCAGGCGGCCGGGCCCCAGTCCACCGGCAGGACAGGTCTGTCCATAATTGCTGCCCCAGCACCTGGAGCAGAGCCAGCACGGCCAGGCACACCATCCGATCTGCCCCATGGCACAGTCACCAAGAGACAGGGAACAAGCCCGGGGTTCGGTGCTGTGAGAACAGGCAGAAACAGGACACAGCACAGGCTGACTTGCGGATGAGTCCTTCCCCCCGTGTCGTGAGCAGGAGTCTAAAACTATGATGGGAGGAACCGGGAAAGGGTTCAGGAGCCCCCCAGAAGGTGCCACTCCGGCACACGGGCTGTTCTGAGCTGAAGGCGCTTGAGATCCCGCAGGCTCCAGAGAAACTGTCCTGTTCTTAACCACAGAACGATCTAAACTGGGCGTGTTTCCCAGAATAAGGGTCGTTAGTGGAGACAAACGTTTTCTGAGTGGCCCATCTGTGTGGTGGAGCAAACATCTTTTTCTCTTCTACACACACACACACGTCTAGATACGTGTATGTTTTTTAAGTAATGTCTATGTCCGGCATGGGGCTCGAACTCATGACCCTAAGACCAAGAGTTCCACGCTCTACCGACGGAGCCAGCAGTGCACTCCGGGCAGAACCAACATCCTCCTGCCCCACGCTGGCTCTCCTCACTGCCCCGAGGGGCCTGCCTTCCCTCTCAAGTGCCCGCCCCCGCCCCTTCTCCGCGGTTCCGACTGACATACAGACCTCACTCTGCCCGACTCTGGCGTTTCCACAGGTGGACTCCCCAAACACGCACCTAGTACATCTGATGTTCTCCCGCTCGCCCGCCTCACAGCGATCCGACTCTAAGCCCAGCTAGAAGGACCTCCGAGGGGATGCGCTCTTGCTCCCCGACAACGGCGACGCGGGGCCAGGGTAACAGCGGCTCAGAGCCTACACACTGGGCGCCCAATTCCGTCTCTGCCATTTCCTGAGGGCATCTCGGGCACGTCACCTCATGCCCCTGGGCTCGGCCCCATCTGGGAAATTCGCATCAACACTGTGTCTCTGCTGTGAACGGCACAGGGAGCTCCCCAGAGGCAGTTTCCACAAACGCTGTGGCTGCTACGGAGGACGCAAGGTCGTCACGCGCTCGAAGGAGCCAAGGGGGCCCTGTCGCCCTGACCCCGCACTCACACGGCTCCCCCACACATGGACTTGGCCACAGATGTGAGCGGTACCCTTCGACCACTCCCCGCACGCCCACATCCGTCACAAGTGCAGGCCGAGTCTCAGGGTCCGGGGGCCTCTGGCGACAGGTTAGGCACTGCCTGCAGGCCGACACGTCTACACAGACACCCAGGACAGCTCTTTTCTACAGTAAGTAACTCAAATTTTCATTTTCAATACTTTCTCCTGAAATAAATAAGGTAGAAAACATGGACCCCTTGTGAGGAGAGAGAACATTGAGGGAGTTTCTAGAGACGGAGGTTTAGACGCCCACTGTCTCCCTCCAGGCCACCCCAGAATGGACACCTGCTCCAGCAGCTCAACTGTGATCCCAGGGACACCGCACAGTTAACAAGAAGGCCGTCTTCTCCTCAACAACTCGGTTTCCAAGTGGCGGGCAGGGCGGGCACCTGAGGGGGCGACGCCAGAGCGTCCTACCTGCCTCTGCAGAGCTAGCTCGCCGTCGAGCTCCGCGAGCTTTCTCTCCAGCTGCCGGTTCAGGCTTTCGTACTGTTGCCGCTGCTGGTGCGTCTCGCCGCTCTTCTCACTGCGCAAGCAGGGCGGTATGAAGACGAGTCAGATGCGTCTGCGGGACGGGCCCTCGGGAGGCTCCAGTGGGACCTGCGTGCTACGTCACACAGGCGACTGTCTGCCGAGGAGCCTGAAATGGGGTCCAGAGTCTCCCAAGGTAATTCCCAAAGTGCCCAGGACACCAGCCCAAGTCACGGGTCACACTGAGAGCAGGAAGGTCCCCACCCAAACGGGAAAAGGCAGTCAGCACATGCTAACACCAAGACGCAGACACTGAGCTTTTCCAACCAGGGTTTTAAAGCAGCCGTTATGTAAAACTTTGGTGCACTCCTAAATAAAAAAAATTAGAAACTCTCGGCAAAGGAAAACTTACAAAGAATCAAACGGAAATTGAGAACTAGGAAGTACGACAACCAGACATAAGCCTCACCAGGGTGAGCCCAAGAGCAGGACGAACATGTCAACGTGACAGACCCAAGAGTCCGTGAACCTGAAGCCAGAGCAACAGAAACAGCCCCAGCGAGTGACAGAAACAACTGAAAACCAGGAGCAGGGCCTCAGGGAGCCGTGGGACAGTCACAGAAGCCGAACGCTCATGCCACTGAGCCCCAGCACGGGAGGAAAGAGAGGAGCGCTGATGCGTACTTGAAGAAGTAGCAGTTGGAAAGGTCTCAGATTAGGGAAAAGTAGAAAGGGGGGCAAATGACGTGAGAAGACACTTGATAAGAATGATGTAGAGCCCTTTAAGGTCTCTCCAACACAGCTGTGAGGACGAAAACCAGTATCCCACGAGGGCAAGCTGGCCCACATGCCCCAGCACTGCGAGCACCTGCTTCGGACCCGCCACGTGCATCTCAGCGGGGGGCGGGGGGTGAACAGTGGAGCTGGGGAGCGGCCAGGATGCCAACACCCCTCCTGTGGGGGAAGGTCATGGAGCCCCGTCCCTGCTCCAGGCGACGCTGACCTTAGCTCAGCTCTGTACCGTCTTCCCTGCGCCCTGGGAGGGTGGCATGGGGGGTGAATGCCGCCAGCCACACTGCTCCCAGAAGCCACAGGCTGCCCGGCATGGGACCGGCGCCGTGAAGAGCTCGGGCTTCCAGGCTTCCTGAGGACGGTGGCACCCGGGACCCGGGAGCTGGGCCTGCACGCTCTTACAGGCCAGGCCGGCGGGGCGGAGGCTCAGAGCCGGGCTGGTCCCGCGCCCACCCGACCACTCCAGCGCGTGCCCGGCCCGCCACAGGAAGGCTCCAGCCACAGAGCGGCACCACGCCAGCAGGCCCCGCAAACCCAGAACGGGGCCGGGTAGCCATTCAGAAGGATGTGGCAGGGGCACCTGTGTGGTCAGTGGGTTAAAGCCTCTGCCTTCGGCTCAGGTCATGATCTCAGGGTCCTGGGATCGAGCCCCGCATCGGGCTCTCTGCTCAGCAGGGGGCCTGCTGCCCTCTCTCTCTGCCTGCCTCACTGCCTGCTTGTGACCTCTGTCTGTCAAATAAATAAATAAAATCTTTAAAAAAAAAAAAAGAAGAAGAAGAAGGATGTGGCACAACAGTGCAGGGCGCGAAGAAAAGCCGCCCCCGTGGATGGCAACTGCCCCAGCTGCTGTCGGCCGCGTCTACGTAGGCACAAAAGTGAGCCCTCCGGGGAGAACCCAACACACCCCTCAGCAGCTTCTCCCTTCACCGGGCCGCCCTCAGGAAACAGTGTCGTCCACAGGAACACCGTGGCCGGCGACACCTCCCACCGGCGCTTCGAAGTGCACCTTGACAACATGAAACCTCAGGATCCTGCTCTAAGTGCAGGACGCCCCCCGCCGCTCCGACGTCTGCACTCACACGCGCTCACACGCACAGACGCACAGACACGCTCACGCACGTGCACACGCACAGCAGAGGGACCCACCCCGACAGTTAACGTGACATCATGAACACACACGCGGAGATCGGGGCGAGGACAGCAGGACAGTTTAAATGAAGCCCATGTTCTCTCTCATCACCGGGGAGGGCGCGTGTGACACGAGGGCAGCCGTCCCGTCGGGGGACCCAACAGGACCCTCGGACCCGAGCCTCAGGCTCTTCGCGGGCCTGCCTCACCAGAGCGCCCTGAGCTTGGGGACGAACAGCTGTTTTGCATGATTCGAACAGCCGTGGGCTCGGGTGTCTTCGTGGAAATGCTACGGGTTCGGACTTCGTGGAGAAAAGCCCCGCCGTGGGAGCCCCTCCCTGCGCCCCCACCGCCCCGGCCGCCCTGCCTCACCTGTGCGCGCGCTGCAGCTCCCGCCGGTGCTCCTGCAGCTCCCGCCGGTGCTCCTGCAGCAGGTCCTCCCGCCACCGGGCCTCTCGGGCCAGCGCCTGCCGCAGCCGGGCCACCTCCACCCTGAGCTCGCTCACCTCCACCCGCTGTGCCTCCTCCAGCCCCTGGGCCCGGCTGAAGGCCGCGTCGTAGCGCTCCAGCTCGCGGTCCCGCTCCTCCAGCACCCGCAGGTTGTGGACGAAGTCCTCCCGCAGGCTCCGCAGCTCCCCCTGCGCCTGGTGCAGCTGGCTGTGCGCCTCCTGCAGCGCTCGCCGCTCCTCCTCCTTGCGGGCCAGCAGCGGGCTCAGGGCCTGCTCCGTGGGCGGCAGCATCGGCGCGGCTGCAGCAGGGGAAGGTGGGCGGCGGGCCCGCAGTTGGAGGCTCTGGCTGTCCTTCTGCAACACCCGCCCCAGGTCTCCGTCCTCAGCACTGCTGTCACCAAGGGGGGCACCCTCTGTCTGGTCACACGTTCTGAGGGCCGCAGGGGGCCCCCAGGGCGAGACCTTGAGGGCTCTGTTTAGCCTGTCCTCACCCAGCAGCAGAGGAAGGAAAGACAGGAAACCGCGGGCTCACCGACAAGAGCTGGGTCCTTCAGAACAGGCTCCCGAACGGATGAGGAAACGTGGCCGCGAAGGATGCGAGCGAGTGCTGGAGCCCGCCAGCCTCCGAGAGCCGCCGGCCCGACGCGGCACCCGCCTCGGCGTCCAGGAGATTCAGCACTCACGAGCCGCTTCCTTGCCTCTTGATCTCCAATCCACCGCGGACTGATACTTTCCTAAAACAGCAAAAATAGAGTAGTAAAGGAAAGTGAAATCAGAATACAAACATAGACAGTACACAAGCCCAATTTCTAAATTATTTGACTCAACAGCATAAAACTACTTTGTCAAACTGCTAACAAGCGTCTGAACGCTCCCTGCTCCTACGTGTCTGCCAAGGGTGGGCCGCGGGAGTGTGCACGGGGGCGGCAAGCAAAGGCGGCCAGGTACGCCAGAGACCCGTGGCCTGGGCACGTCCCCTCACCTGGCAGACAAGGGGTGGCTTCTGACACATAAAACCATGTGGTGCTCCGGGCCCTGACCTACGCAAACAGGCCCAAGGCCACACGGCAAGCCCAGACGGCAGGCAGGCTGGGCCCAAGGGCCACGGTCATCCTGGGGGCAGACGCTCCAGGGGCAGCCACAGCGCTTCTCTGAGAGCCCCGTCCCAGAAGGGGGGGGCATATGAGTCGGGCATCCGGCAGGCACATTTGGATATCACCGTCATCCCAAAGAATCTAAAATGTCTGATTCACGTGAAGTGGGTCTTTTGTAAGAAGAAGAAATCCCAGGTCACCAGGGTGGCTCAGTCATTGAGCGGCCAACTGTTGCTTTCAGCTGCGATCATGATCTCAGGGTCGTGGGATCAGGCTCCACAGTCAGCCAGGGGTGGCTTCCCTCTCCCTCTGCCCCCACCACGTGCGCAAGCTCTCGCTCTCTCCAAATACATGAATCTGAGGGAGGAGGAGGAGGAGGAGAGAAAAAGAAGGAAAATTCCCACCACCTCACGTCATCCTGACTCACTTCTTCGTTTGTGGTTGGGACCGGGGGAGACCAGTGGGCGGGACTCGAGAGCCCTGCAGGGACACTCTGAAACGGGGTCACAGAAGTGCAGCGGAGCCGCTCCTGAGGGGACCCCCACAGCAGCCACCTTGTCAGCAAACAGCAAATACAGACAGAGACTCAGAAACCAGAGCAAGAGGAACTCAGGGCTCCTGCTTTGGCGTTCTTCACGCTAACTCGAGAACTCTCCAGTAAGCGGCCACACTCTGAACCGGCCGTACGACGTCTTGAGGGACGTGAAGTGTCGTTTCACTCCTGAAGTTACTGATGAAAACCACCAACAAAAGATCATCTATATACTGAAATCCATTACTGCGACACTTTGGTGATAAAGTCAGAAACCGAAACCAACAGTACGCGCAGGTGCGGGCGGTGTGCTGTGAGGGCAGGTCCCCGCGGACGCCACGTGGGACTCCGGCCCGATGAGTGGAGTTTGCTAGTCACCCTCACTACAGGTTTTTTAAAAAACCAAAGGAAAGGGGGGGGAAATACAAAGTAAAAGAGAAATTGTCAAAAAGGCCTGGGCTGGTATTTGGAGAATCCCAAAACACTGTCAGGAGCCCCGAAACAATGATGAGCATTTCAGAGGATGTGCGCTGTGCGCCGAGCTGCCCAGGAACGGAGGACACGCGGCAGCTCTGAGCTCAGCAGAACAGCGCTCAGACCGGGGGCAGAGGGCACACCTGGGGGGCTCAGTCCGCTCCGTGTCTGCCTTCGGCTCGGGTCATGATCCCGGGGTCCCGGAATCAAGCCCCGAGTTGGGCTCCGGCTCCTGACCTCTCCCTCTTCCCCTCCCCCACCCGTGCTCTCTAAATAAATAATCTCAGAACACGGCTACAGTAGAAGAGGAAAACATCGTGTGACAGAAATCAGGGTCGGGCAATGGAGGCCACGTAACCGCCGCCCTCAGGCAGCGCATCCCGCCAGAGGCTGGAGGCCGGAGCGCTGGGAACAGGCCGGAGCGCAGTGGCCAGCATCTTCGTAAAGAAAAGGCAAGGCGATCTGTCAGGTGGAGCCAGTATTTTCTTGGCATCGGCCATCGACCCGAATGAACTCCGTAGGCGGGGCAACCTCTACAAGAGTAAGGAGTCCCGCAGCACAGGGCCTGGCCGACTCCTGCTGCAAAGGCAGCTGGTAATTCCTCAGGGCTCTGTGGGCCATAGGGCCTGTCCCAGCTCTGCAGCTCCGCACAGAAGCAGCCACAGAGCGTGGAAGACGCAGGCTGGGTCTGGCCCACGGGCCTGCTTTGCCGAGCGCTCCAGCTCTGCGCAGGGGCACTGCCACAGGTACCATGCGGCAGCCTCCAGCGCTGGCCGGCCCAGGCCCTCAGGGCTCACTTCTAGCCTAGCCGGTCTGGGGCTGACTGGGCGCTGGAAAGGAGCAGCAGAGCGCGGAGGAACAACGGCGCCAAGACCTAGAGCAAGAGGCTGAAGCAGAGGAGGGTCTGCAGAGGCTGTGGGGACCGCAGGACCTTGCCACATGCGATATAACGAGAAACACAGCGTGGCCTTCGTTCTCAGTTCCTGGCACACGGCTCATAAAACCCTCACGACCCTACGGGGCAGCTTTTGTTCCATTCAGTGTTTGTTCCCAGGTTCTGAAATAACTTCAGGTGAGAGGGTATCTTCTGTCTTTCATAACAAACCTGTCAACACACTTGAGTTTATGAGGCGACTGTGGAAAGGCCCAGAAAACCGTGGGATGGAGCTGGCTGCCAGGGGAACCGACGCTGGGATGACAGGGTTTCCTTTCCTGCTCCCCCGCCAGCTTCCCCCGGGAGGCAGACTCGATCACCAGCGGCCAGTGGTTCCATCAGTCATGCTTATGTGCTGACGCCTCCACAGAAATCCCTGGCCAAAGGGTTCAGAGAGCTTCTGGGTTGGTGAACATACTGGGGGAGCCCGAGACAGCACGGAAGCTCTGCACCTCTGCACCCGTCGCCCTGGGCATCTCCTCCGTCCGGCTGTTCCTGAGTTATAGCCTTCCATGATGAACTGGTCATCTAGAAAGCGGAATGTTCTGGGAGCCCATGGAGTGGGTCGTGGGACCTCTAATGTCTGGTGGGTTGTCAGCAGCACAGGTGACAACCCAGACTTGCCACTGGCATCCGGGTGGGGCCAGTCTTGAGGGGCTTCCCCCAGCAATGCATCGGAATCCAGTTCCACCGCAGACGGTGCCTGGCGGAGGGAAAGCCGCGTGCCGCCCGAGGCAGAGCAGAGCGGAGTGTGCCCACAGAGGGAGGGAGGCCTGGGAAGCAGGGGCCCGCTCGCTGGGGGCAGCAGAGCTCCGGCGGCCTGACCGCCACGTCCTCCCCAGGGCCGGCCCTGCCCAGGGGCAGCCCCAGGTCCCCTCCCTGCAGGGGTCTGCAGAGAGGCTGTGCTCCTCCGCGGCCGGCTGCCGCCAGAGCCAAGGAGCCTAGAACCAGGCTGCAGCCCTAACCCTGCGGGCCTCTCGGCCTCGGCCGGCACACCGCGTCCCCCCACTCCGCCGTGACACACCCTGCCAGGCACCTGCTTGCCATCCTGAGTTGCACACCGCCTGAGCCCAGCACCCCACGCTTCTGCCCCCAGTTTCCCTGGCTCCTTCAAAGGCAGCCCTCTCTCCAGCTCCCAAGCCACACGCGCGGGGTGAGCCTTGCCTCCCAGCTGCCTCTCAGCCCCGCACCTCAGCCGCCATCATCCCTGAGCTGCGGGGAGTCACCACGAGGGCCCCGAGCTGTGCGCTCACTCGAACACCACCGAAGGGGCCTTCTAGGAAGGGAAAAAAAGCCTAACTCCCCAGGGCTTCCCATTTGGGGACACGTGCAGCCATCGCACGCCCTGGAGCTTGCCACCTGCGGCCGTGGGCAGGGTGGTGTCAGGCCTCCAGGCGGCTCCATCATGGGAACAGGGCACCCCGTTTGCTTCCTCCCAATGCAAAACACCCAAGCACCCCACACTGCAGTCGCCAGCCCTCACCCCTCCAGATCCACGACGACTGAAACTTCAGACGCGTTAGTGGATGGATGAATCGCAGAAAAACGAGAGACGTTTACTTCTGGAAGCGTTTATTCAATGAGAAAGGGCGCCCTCGGCCTCAGGTCCAGTCAGTGACTTGTCTCCCCCAAGCAGACAGCTGAGATGCACGGAGGTCACTCAGGCTCTGTTCTGAGCCCAGGCCCCAGCACACAGACGGTGATGACAAATGTTTGGCCCGCGCAGGAGCAAAGCCCTGCAAAGGCCACATTGCCGTTAGCAGAAAGCAGCAAAACACCCCCACGGACACGGCGAGCTTCCTAGAACCCTCCTCCGCTCCTCCAGCGAGAATTTATTCCACGGTTACCAGGCGCGAGGGGCTGGGTGGCCTCCTCTGCAGGCGGGCAGGTAAGGCCCCTGCACCCGTGCGCCACCACCCTGGGACGAGACGGAAGCACAAAAGAAAACGGGCAGAGGAGGCAACTCCGCATACCAGCAGAGAGACTGGGCCCTGGGCTGCCCGGGGCAGAGGCCAGGGAACCCTCCACCCACTGGCACAGAGCACGAAGGGGCCCTGCTTGGCCTTCAGGAGCCTTACAGGCCCTGCCTGGGCCACGGTCTCTGCACCAGCTGCAGGGCTCCCGGGACCACTGAGAACCCGGGACAACGGCAGGCCAGGCAGGCCGCCCAGCCCAGCAAAAGCCCGGGGGTGGAACCGGCGACCTCCACGGCTGGGGCTTTGCCCACACTATCTGAGTATCTACTAGCTGCCCAAAACCCCCAAGGTGCACGCACCCCACTACCAGCCAGCGGGGGAGCTGTGCGCGTGGCCCAGGAGCTCCGGGGCAGGCCCAGTTTGGTCAACAAAACCTGGCGCTCGCACAGGCCACCCACATGCCTGTGCCCACTCGCAGGGGATGACTCGGGACTAAAGCAAACACACACCACCACATGAGGCCCCCGCTACTGCGACCTCTGGTGACTCAGACTGTCGCCCGAAGCGCCCATGAGTCATCACCACGGTCCTTCGCAGAGAACACACCGACGTCTGCCAGGTCTACGGGCCCCCCCTCCTCCGGGGACCGCTCACGAGCGCCCTGTCCTGTGCCAGGCACCCTGCCACCAGCTTCGCCTCGTGAAGGCTCTGGTCACACCGCTACCCACAGGGGTACTCCCGTAATCCAGAGAGCCGACCACGGGATACCATGTCTGTACGGTGTCTGGACATGGCTCTGGCCATTCTCAAGGTAAAGTTCAACCTGTTTGGGACAGTATTCGGGGAGTCCCGGGACAGCTCCCTCCTAGGGAGCGAGCAGCTTAGATGGTGCAGTACCCACTGGTAACCGCCCTGCAACGGCGCACACCCCTTCCCTCATCACAGAGCATCCTGTGCCCTGCTGCTGGGTGATCTCACCAAAGGATGAGCCTAAAAGCCCCGAGGCTGACAATAATCGGCTTTAAACGTCACAGAGTCAGATGGACCCAACAGGTCGGCCAGCGGATGTCCCCAGCAAGGGTCCAGTTTTCAGGAGGGATGGCGTGAAGCTTCTGGGGAAACTACAGACATCCCACTGAGGGGAGAGACGCACCGTTACCCTGGCTTTGTGCATGGCGTTCCCAGTGTTCTAGGGGACCGGGGGGTCAGCAGGGGATGGAGCAGGGCCATGCGAGGCCACACCATCACTCTGACTTCTGTGTGTGTGAAACACGGAGCTTTCTAACCCTTATTTCAGACCTAGCGCCTGGAAATCGCCAGGGTCAGGAAGATGGAAAGAACGCCTCGTGAAAGCCAAGGTCTCCCCTGCACGGAAGGCTGCAGCCCCCATTTGGATGTAGGCAGCAGCGGCCCCGTCTGGAAGATGACCTCAGGCAGCAACACACACAAAAGCATCCCAGGGGCCGCCAGGAGTGTGGAACGGCTTGGGGCTCGCTCACCCGAGCCTCGCCAGCGGCCTGCAGCGGGTGCACGACGGGAGGGGCAGCCTTGTCGCAGGCAAGGTGGGGGCAACACCTGGGTCTTGGCGCGCCTCGCACAGAGCGCAGGGTGAGAGAGGCTCAGAAGCGGGCACTTCCCGACAGTGGGAGACGCCGACGAGTCCTAGCAAATTCGGGGGGAGCCAGAGGTGGCCAGAGCCGCCGGGGGAGCCCATGCCAGGTGTTCTGACAGCTGGCGCCACGGTTAGGAGGACAGAGCTCGAGACAAAGGTAAGTCCCAGGGAACCACAAAGAACCACATGGGAGGTGCGGAGCTTCCCAAGCACAGGGGCTCTGCAGGGGGCATGGCGTGTCCTGGAGCTGTGCCCAGCCTTCCTGCGCGGTCTAGATGCTGGACGAACAGGGAAGGAGTAGGACAGGGTGTTTCTGTCCCATGGGTTAATCTTACCACTCACCCAGGGAACCAGACCATCAGAGTAAAACCCATCAGAGATGAGCCTGCAAGTTACCCGATGGGCAAATATGACACTAGAATTATTCGCACTGCGGGGCTGAGCAGATTTGGGGCAATTTGTTTTACAATAAACATCTGATGAGTACTTAACTGGGAAAGCGTTGCTCGAATGACCGCGTTACAGCATAAGCACTTACAGCCACTACAGCTTACACAAGGGAACGTCTGTGCAGGGGAAAGCTGGTCACTAGACGCTTACGAACAGGACGACTGGGCACGCTGGCTGAGCAAAGAGCTGTCCAAAGCAGGGTTCCCGTTCACCTCCTTCCTGAGGACTGCGGCCCCGGCTGCGTTAGGCTCTGGACTCGGCCACTAGTAAGATGAGCCCCGCCACTCCTAACGTGGAAGAACCCAAACGGACCTCATTAAGGAGTGTTCCCTCATCGCTCTATAAACACAGGTAGTGAGTTTAATTTGCAAGACGTTTTTGTGGAACTTGAAGGAAAGTGCAGAGGTGGCTCATCTCTGGTTCTGCACCCAAGCTGGGACGCAGCGTGGGCTATCTGAGCTGAACTCCACACATGGCCTCTTCCGGCACATCCAGGGCATGAAAATCATGGGCCTGTGACCACAAGCCTTTCTTCCCATGCTTCACTGACTGCCAAAAATAGTCCCACAACCATCTGCAAAATCGGAAATAAGAGACAGGAGCCAAAATGGATCTTAATTCCACCCGTGGCACTTGCTGGGGTCGGGGGCACCACTAGAGTGGGGGGGTGGGGTGGGAAGTGCTCTGTTGTTGGCACGTACATCTGCCAAATCTCCTTGCCAACAATAACAGAAAACAAGTAAAAACTGAGTAAATGAGAAATAAAGTGGAAGGGAAGTTGAATCAGCTTACAGTTAAAAGCTGTTGACGTTTCTGTTGTTTATTTACATATTTAAGTGCTCTCCACACCCAGCGTGGTGCTCAAACTCATGACCCTGGGATCAGGAGCAGTGTTCCCCGCGCTGAGCCGGCCGGCAGCCCGGGGAGCCACTGGCTTTCAGAACAACACGGTTCACAAACCGAAACTCCAAATCCATAAGGGCTCACAATGAGAGATGAAGAGAAAAAAGCGAACCTAACTTCACGACAAAAGATTAACATACATGAAAAAACCCGCGTACGTGCACCAAAATAACTTGGTAAAAACATATTTGGACTCTATCTTCTAAGGATAAAAACAAAACAACTGCATGCAAATACTACATTCTAGCTAACGTGGTTTTCACAGAAGTACGGATTGGCGATTCCGAAATTCCCCCGTGTGTAGTCCAGGATTGAGCATGTAAGTAAACACAGTGACAACAGGAACCAGATTTAAAGAGGAAAAAGAACATAGAACGAACCTTGGGGTAGCTGACTGGAGATAGCAATATAAACTCACAGCTTTTATTTTTTATTTATTTATTTTTTTAAAGTCATGTAGTGCCGCAAGGCCTTTCTTCTTTCTTTTCTTTTTTTTTTTTTAAAGATTTTACTTTATTTGACAGAGAGACACAGAGAGAGATGGAACACAGGCAGGGGGAGTGGGAGAGGGAGAAGCAGGCTTCCCGCTGAGCAGGGAGCCAGATGCGGGGCTCAATCCCAGGACCAGGGATCATGACCTGAGCCAAAGGCAGACGCTTAACGACGGAGCCCCCCCGGCGCCCCCAAACTCACAGCTTTAATATATACACAGATCTACACATACAGAAACAGATGCGGATGGGTCTGATTTCCTGGCTTTGCCCACCGAGAAGGCCACAAAGCAAGGCCACCGCAGTCAGCACACCCACAGCCTGATGCTGGTTTCCAAACGCGCCTTTCAGAACGAGGAGGAGCCAGAGCCCCTCACAGAAGTGGCCGATTCAGGCCAGGACCAGGGAAGCTGGAGATGGGCCTGAACATCCGGTAGTGCTGAGACATGTTGGGGGACGCGCTGAAAGTACACAGAAGCCCACTGGACGGGGTGCCCAAAGCCCACATCTGGAGAGTCAGCAACACAATACAGCAATGGATTACAACAAATGGAATAAAAACAAAATAAAAACATCTATACAACACGAAGAGACAAATGGGGAGAAGGGAAGGTTTCTGGGGCACCCAGCTGGCTCAGTCGGCAGAGCAGGTGACTCCTGATCTCTGGGTGCTGAGCCCATGCTGGAAGCGGACTCTACTTAAAGAAAACTGTGGGGCAGAAGGTTCCTCTTACAGTAGGATTCCAACCAATGTGTACAAAGAATAATGGAAATAGAAAGTCTTTATTTGGTAAATAGGACTAATAATTGTCTCAGAAAACACCTGTGATAGAAGTGCGGTTATATGACCTCCCTGCAAGGTGAACTACTTGCGAACAGAAAAATGGTAAGGATTTTGTAACGGAGACACAGCTAAACCACTTACCCAAGTGTCCCCCGTCATGGGACAAGCTGGCATCACGTGCCTCTGGAGAACAGCGTGATGTCACTCTTGAGGTTTCCTTATTAAAAATGCCTAACTTGGGGCACCTGGGTGGCTCAGTGGGTTAAAGCCTCTGCCTTCGGCTCAGGTCATGATCCTGGCGTCCTGGGATCGAGCCCCGCATTGGGCTCTCTGCTCAGCGGGGAGCCTGCTTCCTCCTCTGTCTCTGCCTACTTGTGATCTCTGTCTGTCAAATAAATAAATAAAAATCTTAAAAACAAAAAAAAAACAGATTTCTTAAAAAAAAAAAAAAAAAAAAAAGCCTAACTTGGGAGAGGTGCCCCGCTAGCTCAGTGCAGGTGTGGGTTCCAGCCCCAACTGGGGGTAGAGTCGACTTAAAAACCTTTTAAGAAATGCATAACCTGAGGGGCACCTGGGTGGCTCGGGTTAAGCCTCTGCCTTCCCCTCAGGTCATGGTCTCAGGGTCCTGGGATCGAGCCCTACATCGGGCTCTCTGCTCTGCAGGGAACCTGCTTCCTCCTCTCTCTCTGCCTGCCGCTCTGCCTGCTTGTGATCTCTGCCTGTCGAATGAATGAATGAATGAATGAATGAATGAAAGAAATGCATAACCTGAAACGAGTCATGAGGAAACATCAGACAAATCCAAATTGAGGGGCATCGTACAAAACAGCTAATTCGCACAAAGTCCAAGGAGCACCGTGGGACCGATCCAGATGCGAGAAGAGTGGGGAACCACGCAGGTCCCGCATTGGACGCGCGGGGACCGCGGCGGACATGAGCCCGGGCTCCGTGGAGGCGCTCAGGTCCTCGGCTTGCTAACCGGCCGGTGGGAGGAGAAGGAGTGAGCGCGTGCGGGAGCGGCAGAAGCCACCATCCCTGCTCCACCTCTGCAACCTGCGCACAAGTCTCCGATAACCGAAGACAAGACAAACCCACAACAAACCACTGGACCAGACCACGGGGCTGGAATCGGTCCACGCGGACGGCGGGGCTGGGGCTGCCCACCTGCTACCAGGGCCGCGGGCGCCCGCACCTGGGGACACCTGCGGGGGGGAAGGGGGAGGAGAGAGGAAGGGGTGACCCGCACGGGGGGGGGGGGGGGGGGGCCCGCGCGAGGGGGGGGGGGAGGGGGGGGGGGGTGACCCGCACGGGGGGGGGAGAAGGTGGGGGGAGACACCCGCCCCAGGGGAGGCGCCCCCACCTGGAGGCCGGACCCATCCGGCCCGAAGCACGGCGCCGCCAGCCCGGGTCCGCCGGGACCCCCAAGAAGAGAGAAGAAGCCAGTTAAGGGGGCCCGAGACGGGGCAGTGAGGACACCCCCGCTCCACGCCAGCCCCCGCCGCCGCCCCCAGCGCCCAGCGCTCGCAGCTCACCGCGCACGCCAGCGGGGAGCGGCCTCCGGGCCCGCCGCGTTGCCATAGTGACCGGAGTCCGGCCGCCGAGGTCCGGGCGCGCTCAGGGCCGCGCTCTGCTGCCACCGGCCGGAAACGCGAGCTCCAGCGCAGGGTTCCGGCCTCTTCTCACCCGCCCCGCGCGCAGGCGCCAACGGGCGAACCGAGGGTCCCCGCGCCCAGCAGCGCCGGGAGAGGAGGACCGGCGGAGCTCGTGGCGGGCCGGAGCGTAGGCGACCGAGGCTCCCCAGCGCCCCTCCCCGAGCGCAGCCGGCGCGCGGCCGTCGTTGCTGCCCCGATGGGCCGGGGCTGGGGTCCGCTGGAGGAGGGCGAGCCCCCACGCCCCCAGCATCCCGCTCGGGACGGGACGCGCAGCCTCGCGGGGGACGCGCGGTGGGGGGGGGGGGGGCTGGAGCAGAGAAGCGGGGGCCGCGCGTGCACCCGGACCCGGTGCGCCCTTCTGTCCGCCGTCGTGGTCACCGGGCCGGCCCCTCCGTGGCCAGCCCGGCTCCCCGACCCGAGGGGACCCGCGGCCCGCAGGGAGGCCGGGCACTGGCCGCGTCGGCCCGGTCCCCACGCCCGCCCTGTCGCGACGGGTTGGAAAGGTTCTGCCCTCGGAGGCAGCTCCCGGGCGGAGGCCGGGGGTCATTAAGGATCGAGCAGATCAATAGTTCAAGCCTCATGAAAAATGGAGGATTTCACATCCCGCACAGAAACCAAGTGACCGTAGCGGGGCCGGCCTGGAGGCGCTGGAGAGGGTCGCCAGTAACCTTTAACCTACCTGCACCCCGCGGCCCGGGGCCCCTTGCTGCCTCCAGACCAGGCTGACCCGCAGTCCCAGGGCCGGGGCTCAAATCCCAGCCCAGTCCTGTCTTCCGTCTTTGCAGGACTGTCTGCCTCTCCACGCCCCGGGGAACACGCTCCCTTCCCGGCTGCTTGGAGGGTCAGAAACCACGCTGAACTGCTCAGGTCCTGGCTCAGCCCCTGAAGGGGCCCCAGGTGTGTCTGGGTAGACAAAGGGGTATAGGGGACCTGCCTGTTTCAAGGAGAACAAGAGCTAACCACAAGCTCCGTTCTTGCCATCCTAGGCCCCCAACCCTCATCTGTAGTGACCCCAACACTAAGCCCTCCCCAGGCCTGAACACATGATAACCCCAAGGCACAGCATGGCCTTGCTTCTCGTGGGTAGGGCCAGCTCCTACCGCCCTTTGGTGGGACACACTTCCCTGCCCCTTCAGGACCCCAGCGACCCCAGAACTTCTGACCTTCTCACCAGAATCCCAGGTAAGGCTTCTGGGGCCCCAGGTCCCGAAAGGGGCTGTACTCGCCTCCCCCTGCATGTGACACAGCCAGCGGGATGGCGGAGGCTGGAGTGGGCCCATCCAAGAGACTCTTCCCATGTGGCCAGTCCCCACACCCACCCCCCAAGGTCTGCGAGGCAGCCTCCCCAGTCTCCTTATCCATGCCCCATGCCCAGTAGCCCAGTACACGCCTATGGGGAGATGAAGGGACATCCTGGCCACCAGAGTCAGGCCTGCAGAGCTCTTCTGAAGTCTCCGGCCCGTCTGCCGGTGCCCCTCTCAGCAGTGCCCACCCCTGCCTCAGGCCCCTCATTGCCTCATCCCTTACTTATCTAACCAGCATTTACTAACCACCTAGCCAGAGCCCACCCACCCTCCCCTGTCCTCCAAGGGCTCCAGCCTCCTAGGCCCACCAAGGATAACATTGGCACACGGCGACCTCTGCAGAGGTCCACAGCGACATGGCAACCCCCGGTGAGGCCAGCATCGGCACACGCGGTGACCCCTGCTTTCGCTGGGCCCCTAGCACTGAAGCCCAGACTGCGTCTCAACACTGGGAGGCAGGCTGACTCCACGGTCGGGTGTCGTAGGCCAGGAAGAGCTGTGGCTCAAAGGGCTGGGTTTGGGCTGTGGCTCCAGGATCCTGGGGTACAGCCTGACTTGGTGGCCAGAGTGGCCCCTGGGTGGACAGCCTGGCCTGGAACTATACTCCCTCCCAGGACAGTGTCCCAGGGAGATGCAGGGAGCACCAGGGGGTGCCCAAGGAGTCCCCATCCTGACGGCCCAGGACTCCTGGTCCTTCTTCCTATGCTGGCCTCGGAGCTGACCTCATTTTGGGATGTCCCTTGCCTGCCTCCCATGGGGTCCCACCCGCACAGCAATCAGGGGTGGGACTGGTGTGGGCACAAACCTGCATAGCATTGAGCAAGTCACTTCCTTCTGGGATTAGGAAATGCCCTGCCCTGTACCCCTCACCATGTTTGGTCCACAGCGACTTCCCCATTTGCATGCAGGGCCTGGGGGCAGGGAGCCCTGGGCTGCCACCGGTTGCAGGAGCCTCTTCTTGGAAGGATGCCTCCAGACGGGGTGGGCGACACCCCGATGGGAGGGGGGGTTAGTGGGAGATGTCCTCTAACCCCCAGTGTGTCCAGCTGCTGGACAGCCAGCAACATGGTCCCTGCCCCCCCCAAGACCAAGGAGTGCTCTGTGAACCTGAACCAGGCAGTAGGCTGGGGCAGGGGAGGGGCCCTCACGGCCCCAAACCGGGAAGGGACTCCAGGGGCAGGATAGTGCTCCCAGAGGGACAAAGGGACCAGAGGGCCCTATGTAGTTGTTTCCCAGAGGTCAAAGCCCAGAGGCAGACACAGCTGTCAGATGTCGCCCCCAGGGCTCGTGTGAAAGGGCCATGCTGCCCAACAGGTGGGCACCAAGAGGGGCGTGCCCCGCCAGGCCAGCCCCCAGGGCTGTCTTGACCAGGGGGTTGGCGTCCACCTTCCTTTGCTGTCCTGATTACTACACAGACAGCAGCCTGTGGGGTGATGCCCGGGGTTGGGGGACCCCATGGGACTGGCGGGTTCATATTGTTAATCCTGGAGACTATAAGGTTCACATCTCTGGGCTTGGAGATGATGGAAGCCAAGAGGCTTGTGTGGGCCACACACAGCTGGGACAGGACCCGGCCCCTCCACGCCCAGGGGGAACCCACCTGAGGGCTGGCATCCCTGCGTGTGGCATGGGACTGTGCACCTGCTGTCAGAGTCCCCGACCGCCTCCCACTCCTCTCCCAGCCCCCCAAGTGGTTCTGCCTAGCTCTCAGTGCTGACTCACCAAGGAGGGGGGACTGCGGTTGGAGCAGGAAGGTGGGGCAAAGCCTTCCCCTCCCCGCAGGCTGGAGGAGCGCTCATGCTTGGCACACAGCCCAGCCCCACTGTCTCAGCCCCAGGCCAAGGCCTGGCTGCCGCCCTCCTGCCCTCCACTCTGGCCTGCAGAAGACTGGGTACCTGTCCTTCACCCGGTGTCACTCTTCACGGTACCTCCATGTCCTCTGTCCCCTGGGCCCGGAATGCTCCACACTGAGATTAGGGGGACTCGCAGGGGCTGTGACGTCAGGTCAGCCGAGCTTGATCCTGGACAGCAGGATCAAGGAACAAGGTGGGCTCGCACCCGTGCTGCACTCAGCAGGGACACGGAGCCCAGCTGAGTATAGGGTCAGGTACTCGGTGTTGGGGCTCCATCAGCCAGGCCATCAGGCAGCCCTCCTGGGCGGATGAGACATGAGTGGTGGCTGAGGCAGAGAGGGCGGAGGCCCAGCCAGGACGCCGGACCATAGGGGTGGGTGGTTTGGGGGGAGGTTCCCTTCGGCCACTGCGTGGGCAGAGACTGGACCAGGGAGGGACAGGGCTGGTGGCTCCACTGGTTTGTGGGGGCGCTATCTCCCACGTGTCCCTCCCTTACCTGCATTCACGGAGCACCCGCTCTGTTCCAGGCACTGTTCCAGGCACTGGGGTAGGCGGAGGCTCTACCAGCCTTGGCGGGCCGTGGCCCGGGCAGCAGAAGCCCAGCATTTGCTCGGGTCTGCCTGTCAGCACAAAGGAGAGAGAGGGACCCAGGGGGAAGCCTGACGTGCGGAGGGCATCAGCGGGGTCAAGCAGGGTCACAGACGGAGTTCTGCCCAAGCCGAGAGGTGTGGGGTCCCGGGGAGCCTGAGCTCCAGTGCTTCTCGGGGTCGCAAGCACGAGGAGGGTCTTGCGGGCCCTGAGAGTGGACAAGGCCACACCCTAGCTGGCATGGAAGAGCAGAGGTTGGAGGCAGGGGGACCCTCAGAGCTGCAGGGGGAGAGCCAGGCAGAGGACCCCCGCGGGCTGGGGCCTGAGAAGTGGCCACCGCATTTGGGGGTCGGGGTTGGGGGGCCTGACAAGGAGCAGGGGGCAGCGTGCCTTTCCCAGGGGCCCCCTGCCGGCGCGAGACTCTGTGCGCAGTCAGGCTCAGCCAACTGGTCGGGATGGCCGAGCCTCACCTGAAGGACAGGTACAGCTGTAGGCGTGGCTTGGCCACCCTTGGGCCAAGCACAGGCCATGGGGGCAGCCCACTGCCAGCAGAGGTCCTGGAGCCCCCAGTTTCTGCTGGGACTCTGCGTCCCTCAGGCAGCTAGGATGTGCAGGGCCAGGCCGGGGTAGGGGATGGGCCCCCAGCCCCTGCCCGCCACAGGTGGTGTCTGAAGACCCTCCTGGATGTCCCACTGCTCCTTAGCAACAGCTCCCTCCGCCAGGGTGGTGGTGGGCGGAGGGGGCAAACAGTTGCAGGCAAGGGAGAAGGGTCACGTTCCATAGCCACTGCCTCTGGGTCTGGGGCACAGGGAGGAAGGCCAAGACCTCAGGCAGCAGAGGAGCTGTCTACTGGTACCTGAACTGGGGAGCCTGCAGGAGCAGGGACCACAGGGACCAAGGCAGGGGGACCTGGAGGGCCCAGGTCCAGGAGGACCCTGTGGGAGGAGAGAGGCCAGCAAGCACCAGTCCCAACCTAATTTGTGCCCCTCCCAAACCTGCTCCAGTCCCACCCCCCAGGGCCCTACAGTTTGGGAAGAATGGAGTCCCACAGCGCCTGTGGCGTCCATGAGGTGGAGGGCAGGAGTAGTGGAGCGAGGGGAGGAAAAGCATATGTGGGGCTGGACCAGGGCCTGGGGGACAGCAGGTGGGGCAGAGGAGCCTGCATGCTTGGGGCTGCTTCCTGTCCAGCCTCCAGGCCAAAAGGCTGAACTGTGGGGATGGGGCGGGGGTGGGGGGGGGAAGCCGGGGCAAGAGGGAGGAACTTTTATACCTCCAAGAGCAGTCAGGGGGCTTCACCGCACCCACTTCCCAGACAGGAGACCGGTCCGGAGAGGTGCCGGGGTTGAAATCAGCCAGGCTGCTCAGGCTCTGCTTTCTGCTGCTTCCTTTTCCCCAACTGGAGCAGAGTCTGGGGCACACCTGCCCAGGGATCCAACGGACCCGGGGCTGTGAATGCTCTGGCCGCAGTGCTGACCCCCACCCCAGACACCCTCAGCCTCCAGACACCGCCACCCACAGACACCCTCAGCCTCCCCCAGGCACCCCAACCCCCAGACACTCCCAACTCCAGATACCTACCTCCAATCTCCCTCCAAACACCCCCAATGCCCCAGAAACTCCCAGTCTCCCCCAGATACGCCCAGTGCAGACACCCCCAACCCCCACCCCTGCAACAGACACCACCCAACCCCCATGCCCAACACCTGCCCTGGGTGGGGACTGCAGGTGAGTCACGCCAGGCTGGGCTGGGGTCCGGCCTCTGCAGCCTATTTCCGCCTCTGTTCACAGACTGGGCTGGCCAAGCGGTTAATGTGTTTATTTTTCTGGGAGCCTGAACACATCCCAGGTAAAGGCCCTGGGGAGAGGGAAGGGGTGGGAGGAAAGTGGTTAGAAAGCCCTGGTCTTAGGCCAGCTGCCCTGCTGGGCAAGGGTCCCCCCCCCCGCCCCCCACCCCGCCTCATCTGCAAAGGTGGCCTCTCCACCCTGGAGTGGGGGAGGGTGCGGCTGCAGGGAGTGGGGACCCGCTGTGCGGCCAGGCCATCAGCTCCCCGAGGAGCAGCCCAGGTGTCTGTCACGCGGTTTGGCTTTCTTCACCTGCCCTGGTCCTGTCCGTTCGGCGGGTGGCATGGCCTGGAGTCCAGTGGTGGGTTCGCAGGACTTGAGAATGGCTTCATCAGCAGCCTGGTGCCCCAGATCTGGCCCCAAGCAGGAGCGGGAGACCAGTCCTTCACCCTCCCTGTGGCCACTGCCCTCCAAAGCCTCTCTAGGTGTCCAGGGTCATTTCTGGAGATCAAGGCAGAGCCTGGCACCTGTGTCTGGATGCACAGGGAAAATGGAGATGGGACCAGCAGCAGACACACTGAGCAGACAGCCCTCCTCTGAGTCCATCTCCAGACAGCAGCTCAAGAAAGGCGGAGTGTGTCCCCTGGGAGCTGCAGCTGGCTGGGCAGGACTGGGGACAGCCCTGGAGGCCCCTCTGAGCACGCTGCAGGGCGTGATAGGATCCGAAGCGGTGCCTTGCAACAATGCAAGGAACTGGGAGCCTGGGAGCCAGGGAGAAGGGGGAGGTAGGGTCAGGGCCAGGTCAGGTCATCAGGGAGTGCCCCTCACCTCGTACACAGGGCCATTCTGTGGAGTCACCCCCTCGCCAGGATGGACCTCCCTTGGTCCTCCGCTCCCTTCTGTTCAGAAAGGGGCAGCCTGGGCTGTGGGGCCAGCCCAGGGCCACTGTCAGGGAACAGGCATCGGAGCCAGGTCTGGGGTGGGTGCCCTTGGCCTTCTCTGTCCCTCCCAGAGAATTGCAGCCAGTATCGCCTGCAGAGCACACGGCACCGTGGGGCTCTGTGCAGGATGGAGTCTGGCCACCCGAGACCCTCCCAGTGCTGGGCAACTCTGTTGGGGCTCCTGCCCCCCCACCGCAGGGCTGGTCCCCATGAAGCCCTGGGGAAAGACTTCCCAGGTTGTCAGCACTGCTTCCCATGGAGAACCATCTCTCCCACACATATCATTCTGCCAGCATCCCCCCCAGTTGAAGCCCCCTGCCCTGGAATGCTCTGCTGGGGGCAGGGGACAGGAAAGCCGGTGTCTGATCAGCCTGCCCTCTGTGCCTCAGCTCCGAGGGTCCGGGAGGACAGGCAGTCTGGCCCCAGGACACACACCCAAGGAAGACCATGCCTGCGGGGCTCTGAGCCTGGGAGACCGTCTCCTCTGTTCTCAGGGCTCCTGCAGAACCAGGTGTCCCCGGCTGACCGCCTCCAACTCTCCTAGCTGGACCCCCAAGGCCCCTTCCCTCCTAGGAGCGCAAGTGCTGAATCCCAGGTACTCGCTCTGATCACTGGGGGAGGTGGGCGTCCTCCCAGGTCTCGGAGCTCAGAGAAGACTGAGCCATGGGCTGAGGGAAGCTGGGAGAGAGCAGGAAGACCCCAGCCATCCCCAGCTGTCTTTCCCTGTTGGCCCCTCTGTGCTCTTCAGTCTTGGGTTGGGGCAGGGATGGGGTCGGGGCTGAAGGCTGCACAGCTTCTACCCAAGAGGTATCTGCAGTCTTCAGGGTGGGGTGCACTAGCCCCCAAGTTCCAAGAAGACGGGGAGGCATCTGGGTGGTGGCAAGAGGGACTCTGAGCTGGGCAGGGTGTGTGTCTCAGTAATCTGTGGCAGGGGAGCACGGCGGCCCACACTCCAGGGGCTGGAAGTACCATCCCAGGTGGGGGGGCTCCTTTCTGCAGCTGCGCCCTGCCCCACGAGGCCTCGCCACCCCCTCGGATACCCTCCCACATGAGGGTACCCCCGCCTCCAGCCTGTGGGTTGCACAGCTGCTGGTGTAGGCAAACGGGGGTAGTCCCTGAGGCTGGGCTGGACTGTGGGATCCTGAGGGCACTGGCTTCCCCTACGTGCTCCTCCAGACACTCAGGATCCAGGCCTGCATCCAGGAGCCCGAGGACCCGCGCTGGAGGCCTGGGCTCTGCTCACCTTCTCACGGACGCGTGCTTCCACAGCCGTTTCTTCAGCAGTTTGGAATGAGGGAGGTGGAGCTGGGAGCCACAAGCAGGGGTGGGCACCCGCCCAGCCTCTGTGAGTGCCAGGGCTCTTTTCACAGGGGACACGTGGGGTGTGGTTTCTCAGCACCCCAAAGGGAATGCAGAAGGTCTTGGTGGACGTGGCATCTCAGAAGGGGTAGTCGGGTGGTGGACCCAGCCAGGAGGCCCACGCTGTCCTGCGAACTGCCCGTTACCTGGGAGCCGGTGACCCTCACTCATGCTGGATGCTCACTCTGCTCTCCGTCCCCATGGGCCCAAGGTCGCCAACGTGTCAGCCTCCTGTACCCCAGGAGACTTGGAGTGTCATTTCAAAGTCTCCTGGGTGGAAAGTGTTCCTGTGGTCCCCGCGGGTTGGCCGCCACCAACAGCCACACTCCCTGGCACAGCCTCAAACTTGAGCTAGCTCCTTCTGTGTGACAGATGCGAAAATGGGGCTCCAAGCACTTACTAGGGAACAGCTGGGATCCGCCAACCCCGTGGGCCAGGGGCGGACGGTGTGGGATGGGGGGTGCCCCGGGACTGGCGTCCACCCCACGGCGGTGGTCCGGTGCCGGGCGCCTGAGAGGAGGGGCACCGGCTCTATCTGGCTTCGCGGGGCGCGGAGCCACAGGGGGAAAGGGAAGTTCGGGGAGGTCGCCTGCCTGGTCCGCGAACCCCCCGGGCGCAGGGTCCCCGGCCCGCGGCCCAGCCTGGGAGGAAGCCGAGGCTTGGATTGGGCGGGGATTCCAGGGGGCCCTGGGGAGGGAGGCCTGAGCGCCCCCGAGCTGAGCCGGGAGGTGGGAGCCCCACAGCGTCGGGGGTGCAGCCTAGGGTGGTGGTGGGGGGGAGACCCAGGGGCTGGCCCGGGGCGTGGCGGGACGAGAAGGCGCACCTCCCTCCACTGCCCGGCCCCGCGCGGCGGGGGCGGGAGTCCCTCAGCGCGGCGGGAGCTCGGGCGCCGTCGGGAGCTCTGGGCGCCCCTCCCGCGCGGCTCGGGGTCCGGGCGGGGCGGGCAGGGGCGGCGCCAGGCGGCGGTGACGCGCGGGGGACGTGCGGCGCGAGCGGCCGGAGCTCCGAGTCCCCCCGCGCGGCGGCCGGCAGCCAGGCGGACAGAGGCGCGCGGCGGCCGAGCGGCGGCAGGTAGGCGCGGCGCGGATGCTCGGCGGGGCGGGGCGGGGCGGGCCCGGGACCCTCCGCGGAGCCCGCGCTCCCGCCCGCAGCCCCTTCCCCCTCCCGGCTTCGGCGCCCCCCTACCCCGCGGCGGCCCTACTCCCCCCCCCCAGGGTTCCGGGGAGCCAGCCGCGTCCCCGCCGCGCCCTCGGCCCCGGGCCACGTACGCCCCTGCGCGCCCCTGCGCCCGCCGGCCCTCGGGCTGGGCCCCGGCCGGGAGGCGGATGCGCGGGGCCGCCCAGCGCGTCGCGGAGAGAAGAGCGCGGTCTCCGGGGCGGGCGGTGTTTGGTGGGGCTGCCGCCGGCCCGGGCCCTCCCGAGGGCGCGGGGTGCACGTGCACTCCCGGCGTGGCGCTCCTGGCGCCTTGGCCTGCGGGCCTCGGTCTCCCTCACCTCCTCCCGCTTCTCGTCGCGCCCAAGCCCTGGCCGTCCCACAGCCGCCCTGGGGCGATGGCTCCCAGCGCAGGCCTGGGGCAGAGAGGGAGGGGGCTCCCTCTGAATCAGGCTGGACGCCCTGGTTCGAGTCAACCCCTCCTCTCCTGCCAGGCCCCTAGCCTGTGGGAAACCTGGCGGAGCCTCAGTTTACTTGTCTGAAAAGTGGGTGCACAACACACCTTCCGGGATGCTGGCCAAGGCCAGTGGCCGGCGGGCTGTGAGTGGAAGGTTAGCTGTCAGGTCATGGCCACTGGGAGTGCCTGGCATCCAGGTGAGGGACAAAGAGGTAGCCCAGAGGCCAGAGTGCTTTTCTGTCCCAGAGGCACTGAGCTGCACGTCCAGAAGTGCACTCTGGGTGTGAGGGACAGAGAGAGACGAGTGTGCCATCGAGGCTGGACCTGGCCTCTGTGGGTGGGCAGTGGGACTGAGGAGTTGCTCTCAAGCCGGGAGGCTTAGGGCACAGGTGGTAGTGCTGCGGCAGGCGCAGAGGCTTCCTGCCCTGGGGCCTGTGGTGTGGGCTGGGCCTGGGATGGGCAGTGGGAGGCCTGGTCCCAGAGCAGGCTTTGTAATGACTTGGTGTGACCTTGGGCAGGGCATGATACCCAGGAGACAACCTGGCTCAGGCGGACTCCAGCCAGGACCTCAGTGTGGAGCGCGGCAGCAGAAGGGGCTGGTGCTCTCCAGGAGAGTGGCTGGGGAGTGTGTGTCAAGGGGGGCTGTGCTGTCCCCGGGGCCGGGCCCTACTTGCTCCAGGGTGGGTCCCCGTGGTGGCCCGGCCAGCGTGAAGGAGAAGGGCCAGTGCCACTCCAAGGTTGCGAGTCCAGTAGGGTGACGACTGCCGCACAGAGCGACCAGTCCATCCGAGGCACCCTGGATCAGGCCTCAGGCGGTCCGCGAGCGAAGAGGCCTGGGGCTCCTCACAGGGCCTCCGGGCAAGTACAGACCTTGGGGCTTCAGGCGCCATCCGTGAAATGGGCGGGGCGGGGCAGCCGTCCTGCAGACCGGCCGGCTAGGTCCGAGCTGCCTCCACACGGCCGGGCCCCTGCGGAGGGAAAATGAGGTCGGTCCGGACCTGGGCGGGGCCGCAGGATCTCTTTGGGCCGGCAGCGCTCGGCAGCGCCTGGGGCGGTTCCGGGGCTCCCTGACCCCAGCGGCCCGCGCAGCGCCCTGTACGGTGACAGACGGGGAGAGCGCCTACTCCAGGCAATACGGTGGCGGCTCCTCCCTTGGCGCGGTCACGTCCCCCACGTCCCTCGGCCCGGCGAGCGGGCCGGTGGGCGGAGCTTGCTCCCTTCCCACACCCCTCCCTGTCCACCGCCCCAGCCCCACCAGGCCCAACGGGCTGGGGGTGGGAAGGGCCCTTCGGGTGGGGCTAGCTGAAGCACGGACCCCGCCCTGGCCCTGGCCCCCTGGCTTTAGCGTGGGGGGCGGCTACAGCCAGTCCAGCAGTGGGACAAGGTGGCCATGTGATGGGCAAGCCAGGTAGTGCCAGGCTGGGCAGGGTCCAGGGCTGGAGGGGGCTGCTTTGGGCCCGCTCCAGCCTCTACTGCTCCCTGGCCCCTTTGAGCCTTCTAGAGGAGGGTGCCCTGATGGGTGAGCCCACAGCTGTCCACAGGGCCACCCACGGGGCCCATGGCCCCCTCCTTGTCACAGGTGGCACAGGGTTGGAGAGGGCTTGGCCTTAGTGCAGTGTCCAATCTGACGCATGAAGCCAGCATTTTTGCCCCATTGGCCTCTTGTGAGCCCACCCGAGATCTGAGGGCACCAGGCATGCCCTGGGGGCTTCGTGGTCAGTGGAAGAGGGATGGAGGGCCCAGGCTGGGCGTAACAGGCCTGGATCATGCCTGGGCAGTGCCCAAGGCCCACCTCCCTCCAGCCCCAGCTGTGCAGTCAATGGATGGGGGGAGCAGCATCTGGGGTCCTGCGCAGGCCCTGGGAAGGGGACAAGCATGCTGACCAGTGGTGCTTTCTGAGCCCTGGGCGGGCAAAGGCATCTGGATATGCTGTTAACCTGTTTGCACAACAGAGGCAGTGGGGAAAGGAAGCAAGGGGGCCTGGGAGGCCCTCCCACCCCTGGAGGCGTGGCACTCCTATGTCCATCAACCAGCCCCTTATGCTCCAGAGACCCTCGGGGCTCAAATGGAGCCAAGCACTAGCCACAATGGGGCCGATCTCCCAGGCCTCCCTGTACAGAGGGAGTCCAGGAAGGAATGCAATTGCCCCTTCGTGCCCCGCCCGCCTGGAGCTGGTCTCCAAGGACTGCAAGTCTGCTTAGATAACTGACCAGTCTCCTCAGAAGGTGAACCTACAGGGCGCCTGGGATAGGCCACAGGCTCTAGAGTCAGAGGCCACCTCACTGAACCCAGGGAACATGGCGTGCCCCTGCACCTGACAAACCCAAGGTGGGTGCAAGGACGTCAGGCACGGGGGTCTACTGGGGGCATGCCAGGGTGCACTGGGGACGGCAGTGGGTCTACAGCCTGGGGTGAAGCTGGCAGGAGGCCAGGTTGGCTCAGGGGCTGGGGCCTGGAGTCCTGACCCCAGCTGGGACTCAGCCAGCCAGTGGACTGCTAAAGGGGAAGCTGGCAGGCGCCCTTGATTTGAGAGGGCACAAGGGCCCCGGCCCCGTTGACTGTGGTCTGCTGCGTGTGGGCATTCCAAGGGATCCCCATGCTCAGCTCCTCCTTGGACCCTCCTCCCCTGCTCAGCTTACAGCTGCCTGGGGTGGTGGTGGGACCTTTTCGGGAAGTGGTCAGGGGGCAGCTCCCAGAGCCTCACCTGACCCGGAAGCGGGTACACGCGCCCCACCAGGGAGATCAGCTTTCTGAGGCCTAGAGGGCGGGTTATTTCTGGGCTGGGGACGTGGTTTGCATGCTTCCCTGGGAGGGTAAATGTCATCACAAGGCCAGCTGGCTGGTGTGTACCCACAGTTGTGCCGGTGCCACCTCCTCCCAGCTCCCAGAGGGGACCACTCCTCCCATCTTGGGTTGTCCTGGGAATGTTGCCAGTCTGGGTCTCTGCCGGGCTTCCTCCCCCCAGGCAAGCTGGGCTGAGAAGGCCATTTCCTCTTCAAAATCCCAGCGCCTTCTCTACTCCCCCCCCCCCCTGCCCCCCCCCTACAGTCCCTCTAAACCTCGAGGTCCCAAGCATTCCCTTTCCTTGCTGAGAAGCCTCACTTGGAGGACTAACCTGTGTGGGGAACGGGGAGGGCAATGTTTTAGCCTGGCTGGTACCCCAGGCTGGGGGGTTAGCTGGGAGGAAAGGGAAGAGCCTCTGGGGCCGCTAGGACTGGCTGGGAGGGACGACCATGCTCCCCACGTGGGTCTCCTGTGGCCCACATAGGTCCTGAGCCGTGCCGTAGCACCTGCCCCTTGCCCTCCTGGGTCCTAGCTCAGAGGATGCCCTGGGTCCAATGGGTGTTCAGCATCCGTCTCCTGAAGACCAGGGAGCCTTGGGGGTGGCCGGGGGTCCAGCCTGGCGGGCAGATGAGCAGAGAACGGGGCAGCAAAGGCTGGGGGTCGTGTTGTGCTGGTGAGTGCCGGGTGTGGCTGGTGCAGCCACGGGGCTCTCAGAGGGGCCCAGCTTCGCCTGAGACCCAGGGGCATGGTTAAGAGCTGGGGCTGACTTTCTGCTTCAGACACTCTCTCCTCTTTGGCCTCTGCATGCCCATTTAGTTTATTTTTAAAAATCAATGAACGTCTGTAAACCCACAACGCGAGAAAAGCCAGGGTTGTGGGGACACCTAGCCCTTCAGGGCCCCCACAGCCACCAGCCCCGTCCTCTGCCCTGGGTCTGGGGTTTGTGCTTTCTGCCCTAAACAGTGTCACCGCACCCTGACGCGGTCCTGAGACGGGTTTGGGGGTTTTATTAAGTTTCCCTGCTGCCTGTACTTTGGGGACCTTTTAAGCTTGACGCTAACAAAGGGAAGGGATACCGCAGCTTGGTGTCCCCACCGGAGTGTTCTGGCTGCAGGGCAGCGTTTGCCCATGTCCCGTCCCGGCGTTGGGCACATGGCTGCAGTTGGGCAGGGATCTGGAGGACAGAACCCAGGGGTGAGCCCAGACTGCCCAGGCAGAGTCCAGTCCCAGGTATGCCTAGGATGCGGAAATGGGACACCTGGGGGCCAGGTCACAGGGCTGTGGGCACATCTGCAGGAGGACTGGGGGTTCCTCAGCCTGGGTGCCCCCCCACCCACCCAGGGGCTGGGGAGCCCTTGGCCTCAGGAACACCCTGCACCTTGCTCTCTGGTCCACGAGCCTTCTGAGCACTCAGTGCGGGGGGCGGTGCCAAAGGGTACGGGGTCTGAGAGCCCAGGGAGAGAAGAGGTTGTTCTCTTGGGTTTCCCAGGAGTGCTGCCCATAGCCCTGAAGCCTGGCCCAGCCTAGGGTGGGGGCCGGGGCCGTGTTCCGCTCCAGTGGGCCGTGTCAGCCTTGCCATCAACCAGGCGGCCAGCCGGCTCCTGGAGGTCCGTCATCTAACAGTCGTGCTCGTCAGCAACTGCTTGGAATCACCCAGAAGGTCTTCGGCAAACACCCCTAACACATGACACACCCCTGAATCAGAGTCCAGACCTCCCCCGGCCCAGGCTCCTGTGGCCATGATGCTGGGGGCAGGGGCAGGGTGGAGGCTGGGAGGGGGGTTACTTTCCACATCACTTCTCCCCGTCCACAAACCCTGCACTCACTCCAAAGTCCTGCCCCACGTTCTGTCTCCGGCTTGCATACAGAAAATGGGACACCAGGGGGCTTTGCAAGGTCAAGGATATTGCTGGAAGGGGACAGGGGGTGGAGCCAGGCGGCTGACACTGGGGCTATTCCATCTCCTGGTTGGGACGTTCCTGGACATCACTGGAGGCGGAGTGTTCCCAGCACAGCACTGGCAAGTGCTCCCCATCAGGGCCTCCTTCCCCCAGAGCTGGTCCTCCTTCCCCCAGAGCTGGTCTCTGCACACCGCTGGTGGGGGCCGCGGGGCTGCAGCAGGCCGCGGAGTGGGCTGGACCCCAGAGGCCCAGGCCCCGGGGGCTGCCCTCCCTTCCCCGCACCTGCACCGGGGAGGCACTCTTCTGGGAACAGCCTCTGTCAGGTGAGGTGGGGGACCAGCCATCAGCCTCGTCTCTGGGATTAGGGGATTTCTGGCGCTAAGATCAGATGGAGCTGAGGGACGGAGAGGGGAGGCTAGGGTCTCCAGCTGGACGTCTGGTCCCAACATTCTAAGTTATTGTGCCTCAGTGGGGCTAAGTTGTGGCTTGGAGAGGGAAGCGGGCCCAGGGCTGCTGTGGGGTTTCGGGCCGACACTGGGTACAGGCAGCCCTCTCCCCGCTTTAGCAGTCTGGGGGCTGGAATGGTTTGCTCCAGTGGGCTGCATGGAAGCCTACCCCTTAGTTCAGCCCTGCCGCCCACCCTGGGATCTCCCCTTCCTTGATCCGTGGAGTATGGACAAGTGGGTGGGAGGAGTCGGCACCAGCTCAGCAAGGGGCCCTCCTTTGCTGGTCAGAGGGCACGGGGTGGGGGGGATCCTCTGTGTAAGGACCGTCTGCTCCCTGACAGTCTGCAGACCCCTGCTGGCCGCCCCCGACTCCGGCCCACACATCAAGCCCGTGAGTCTTCGCCCCTTTCTCAGGCTCTCACCTGGGGAGGGGAGGTGTGACAGAGGACAGAATCGGAGTCCTGCTCCCCTGGGGGTGGGAGAGCACGGCTGACCACAGCTAGCTTAGGTCTCAAGGGACACCACCCCAGGTGGGGCCCCAGGCCCCCTTCTCACAGGACCCGCCCCCAGGCGGCGGAAAGTGCAGCCTGTTCCCCCACACGGCTGGTCTCATGTCCCTGCTGGGGTCTGTTCTCCTCAGGAGGTAACCTGAGACTGTGCCCAAAAAAGCCACTGCCCTTTAGAGCCAGCTGGGTGGGAGCAGGCCAGGCCTGGGTGGGGGAGGGAGGAAGGGCTGCCGGCCGCCCAGACAGGCCAGACGCAGGTGAGGGCCAGAGGTGGGGCTGTGAAGCGGCTCGGGCCTCCGGACCCTGCTGTGGCTGAGGCTGGACAACTGAGTCTGCTTCACTTCCTTCCTCAGGGACGCACAACCTGCCCTCCTGGCCATGGGTGGCGCCGTGGTTGACGAGGGCCCCACGGGCATCAAGGCCCCGGACGGAGGCTGGGGCTGGGCCGTTCTTTTCGGCTGCTTCGTCATCACGGGCTTCTCCTACGCCTTCCCCAAGGCGGTCAGTGTCTTCTTCAAGGAGCTCATGCGTGAGTTTGGGATTGGCTACAGTGACACGGCCTGGATCTCCTCCATCCTGCTGGCCATGTTGTACGGGACAGGTAAGGGGCCGTGATGCCCAGTGGTCGCCTCTGGGGTTCACCAAGGCCGCTCTGGTTAAGAACCTCACACACCAGCAGGAAGGGTGGGGGACTGGCAGGGGTACCTGGTGTCTGCGGCCCAGGTTCCGGGGCGACTGCAAGGGAACCCCGGAGAGGCTTCTGCTCAAAAGCCGTGGCTCCCCACACGGCCACACTGGGCACACGTCAAGTCTGTCCAGGACATTTTGCTGTGAACTGTGCTTTGCTCAGGAAGCCGTATCCCAGGCACCTGGTATGTCTGCCAAGCCGGGGCGGGGGGTGTTAGGGGAGGGAGGGGCCGTTCCCAGCGGCGGCACCAGGCCAGGTCTCTCGGTGAGCGTGGAGAGACTGGGCCCAGCCCCGTGTCCCCACCCCCCCACAGGCCCGCTGTGCAGCGTGTGCGTGAACCGCTTTGGCTGCCGGCCCGTCATGCTCACGGGGGGTCTCCTGGCGTCCCTGGGCATGGTGGCCGGGTCCTTCTGCAGAAGCGTCATCCAGCTCTACCTCACCACTGGGGTGATCACTGGTGAGTGGGGCCCGTCCGGGAGCGGGGCAGGCTGTGGCCTGCTGGGCCCTCTGAGGTGGGGGGCAACAGCTCGGGCAGTGGGGGTGCTGGGGCGGCGTGCCCAGAGCAGGGCCTCTCAGGAGCGGGCAGCTGTGGACGACCCCCCAGGCCTGGCGCCGGTCTGTCCCCCGTTCCCCAGCGGTCTCTGCTGGCATGTCAGTGGGCGCCCGCAGATGCCCACCCAGAGCCGCAAGGACGAGGGCGCAGGTGGGCTGGTGTGACGCCTCTGCCGCCTGCCCCTCCCGCAGGCCTGGGTTTGGCGCTCAACTTCCAGCCGTCGCTCATCATGCTCAACCGCTACTTCAACAAGCGGCGCCCCATGGCCAATGGGCTGGCGGCCGCAGGCAGCCCCGTGTTCCTGTGCGCCCTGTCCCCGCTGGGCCAGCTGCTGCAGGACCGCTACGGCTGGCGGGGCGGCTTCCTCATCCTGGGCGGCCTCCTCCTCAACTGCTGCGTGTGCGCGGCGCTCATGAGGCCCCTGCGGGCGCCCGGGCCGGCTCCGGGCCCCGCACCCCAGCGGCCGCCCCACCGGCTGCTGGACCTGAGTGTCTTCCGGGACCGCGGCTTCGTCATCTACGCCGTGGCCGCCTCCATCATGGTGCTGGGGCTCTTCGTGCCCCCCGTGTTTGTGGTGAGCTACGCCAAGGACCTGGGTGTGCCCGACGGCCAGGCCGCCTTCCTGCTCACCGTGCTGGGCTTCGTCGACATCTTCGCCCGGCCCACTGCCGGCTTCATCACAGGCCTGGAGAAGGTGCGGCCCTACTCCGTCTACCTCTTCAGCTTCTCCATGTTCTTCAACGGCTTCACGGACCTCACGGGGTCCACAGCCGGCGACTATGGAGGCCTGGTGGTCTTCTGCATCTTCTTCGGCATCTCCTACGGCATGGTGGGAGCCCTGCAGTTCGAGGTGCTCATGGCCATCGTGGGCACCCACAAGTTCTCCAGTGCCATCGGCCTCGTGCTGCTACTGGAGGCCATTGCCGTGCTCATCGGGCCCCCGTCGGGAGGTAGGTGCTGGGACGCACGCATGAGCGAGCCTGCTGGGGGGGGGGGGCGCCATGGGAGGGCTCTTAGCTGCAGGGACCCCAGCAGGTGACAGCAGGTGTCAGGAGCAAACACTGGCCATGCCCACTTCCCGGGCCAAAGGCTGGCATGTAGGGGAATCCCGAGGGCGGTGCCCCTGCACCTGGGCCAGCCCAGAGCCGAGGCGGGGATCAGCTTTGGTCACGCTGGATTTTTGCTCTTCTTTGTGAAGGCTGAGAAAATCCTGGGGCGTGGGCTAGGCGGGCAGCCTGGCCTGGGTCTCTCCAGCTCACTCTGTAGGCCGCCACCCACGGGACCCTGCGAGCGCCAGGGCTGTGCCTCATTGTCCTGGGGCCCTTCTGGGGCCCTAGGTGGTTCCTATGAGGGCCACGGGTGACAAGGCCTCCAGCGAGAGACAGTGAGGTCAAGTCACTCACCCGGAGACTCGGCCTCTTACACCCGCTCGGATCCAAAGCCTCCCTCAAGCCCCCTGGTCTGGGCTACCTTGGGGGGCGGGGAGGCTGGGACAGGGTGCCCCGGGGCTGTCCCCAACAGCACAGTGGTGCACAGGTAGCCAATGACTGTCGGGGTGACCTTCAGCCCGGGCTGACGCTGTCACCCCTTTGCAGGCAAGCTCCTGGATGCGACGCACGTCTACCAGCACGTGTTTGTCCTGGCGGGGGCCGAGGTGCTGGCCTCCTCCCTCGTGCTGGTGCTGGGCAACTTCTTCTGCATTAGGAAGAGGCCCGAGGCGGCCGTGGAGGAGGAGCGCCGCAGGCCCCCCGCGGACGTGAGCGCGGACTCCCGGGAGGCGGAGCACTTCCTGAAAGCAGAGCCCGAGAAAAACGGGGAGGTCGTTCACACGCCAGAAACGAGCGTCTGAGCCCGGGAGGCCAGCGGGCTGACAGAGCCGGACAGAGACGTCAACGCCCACGTTTATTTCAGTCAGGACTAGCCTGGCTGCCCGCGTGTCTCCGGGGAGGTGGTGGGCGGGGAACCGCGTCATTCCACACTGTGGTGAAGCTGAACCGCGAGGTCACGAGCCGTCTGCCCTGGGGACCCAAGCCTGCTGACCCCGGAGCTGCCCGGTGCCCACCACTGAGCTCAGGGACCTAGAAACCCACGCTTCAGAGACAACATGGCAGGCATCCGAGGGCGGGGCTGGGGAGAGCCCGCAGAGTGGCACCGATCGGGAGGGGGCTTCCCCACGCTCGTGGCTGCGGCCTAGCCTGCCCCTCGCGGGGTGCCTGGGGGACAACACTCCCTTCCCGCACCCCTGAAGGTCTGAAATAAACGTGCGTGTGGGAGGAGCCACTTTGGAAGGAACCTCTTCAAGGAGTGGGACGTTCTACGTGGGGTAGGGGTCTGACCGTTCACTCCAAACTCATTTTCTCAACCCTCTGGTGGTTTTTAGAGTGGCTCTGGCCCCGGCCAGGCGGGTCACGTTTCTAAGCGCTGCTGGTTCTGAACCCTGCCCTGCTGGAGCCCAGACAGCTCAGAGCGTCCACGCAGGGCCCCGGTGGCTGGCAGGGAGGGGGCCGTGCTGCAGGCGTGCGGCCGTGCCCGGCAGCCCGTACAAGGCATGTGCACTTAAGCTGAGACATACGTGTGGTTCTTGTTCACTGTGCGTGTGTTTAAAGAGAATGATCTTCCTGCCTTCCGTTTATTCACCCCTCGGCTGGCGGGTCGTGGCCCTACAGCGCCCAGCGCAGGCGTCTGCTCCCGTCCTCCTTGTCCAGCCCTGCTCGGCCTCGCCCCGGGTACCTCACACCCACCTGCCCTCGTGGCCAGTGGTGGCCTGTGTGGCTGGGAGCCCAGTCAGAGGCCGCTGGGGCCGCCTCAGTAGGTGGTGCGTCGCGGGCGCTGGGGACGGCAGCGGGCACCCTGGCGGGCCGCGTGCAGCCGGAGAGATGCCACGTCCCTGCTCCTCTGCAATGGAAAGCAAGCGAAAGCTCACACCTTGTCCCACCCGGAGAGGTCACCCCCGAGGGGCCTGCTGCTCCCCCTCCTGCACCTGCCCATCAAGCTGTGCGGAGGACCAGGCTCCTGCCGGCGGCGCTGGCCCGCAGCCCCGGGGCCCTGGGCACGCCCCCCTCCCCACCAAGCCCTGCCTGGTCTGCCTGGACCCTGTGCTGGGGCCTGGGCTGTGGGGGTGCCAGCAGTTGCGGGGGTCGAGGCAGAGCCGCGCAGGGGCCCTTCGCTGCCATCTGAGCTCCACTTGGCCGCTGCTGGTGACACGGAGCTGCTCCACGCTTCCTGGACCTCATGCTGCCGTGTCCCTGACCTTCACCCTCCTCGCTTCCCTGGTCCCGGCCAGAAGCGACAGAAGCGTGTGTCCTCGCCTGTCTCTGTGCCTGTGTGCAAAGGCCTGGCCCAGTCTGGGGACACTTAATATCAAGCAGTCCTGAGATGGTCAGCAGGTCAGCGTTGCTCCCACTGAGGCAGGACGCACAGCGGGCTGGGGGCTGGGGTCCATGTAAGCCGGTGTGTGCCCCAGGGTGCGAGTTCTGCCATCCTCCCTTGGCCTCAGGAACACGGGCCCGTCTGTCCCTCAGTTGGCACTTCGGTGGACATGCTAGGTGGACCCAAGGGCCTGCCCGCCACAGTATCAACAACGCCTCTGCCCCAGACTGGAGGCTGGGGTTCGAGGCCCACGGGTAAGCAGGTGGTCTTGTCTGCCTAGGTTTTGGTTCCAGAGGTTTCCAGCTGGGCCTACTTAGGAGAAAGGAAGCTTGCTGTCCTCAGAAAGCTGTGGCTATTGAAAGCTGAGGCCTCCTCCCTCACAGGAGTCTAGACCAGTCAGTGATCAGGGGGCCACGGATGGGGCCTCCCCTCACCCTCCGGCATCGCACAGGAGGCTCATGGCCAGCACCCTTAAAGCCCGTCCTCCCGCGGACCGATGCGGATGCCTGTGCTGCGCCCCGCTCCGCGGGTCCGCCCGCCTTGGGCCCTCCTCGTAGGACATGCACACATCACCACAAGCCACCCTGGGCTGCTGGCCGTAGCCTGGTCAGACCTGGGGGCACCTGCCACACACACATACACTTGGAAGGACCTGTGCAAAGACCCTGGCACACGCACGTGGGCTCCAAACCGGGGGGTGCCTGGGGGATCTGCCAGTGATATTTTGGGAGGCAGCTGCCCAGGACCTGCAGGGGCCCACGAGTGGGGGTCGTGAAGGGCTGTGCAGCCCTTGCCAGTATCCAAACCATGGCCTTGAGGACACAGAGCCCAGTGGACACTCCCCTAGGACCTCAAACACAGCTGTGTGGGCACAGCAGCACGGAGAGCGCTGCTTCCATAGGCTCCGCCAGACACAGGTGGGAGCAGGACAAAAAAAGGGGGTGTAGGAGTTTCCAGAAGGGCTTCCCAACAGCCCTCTGGGCGGGGGCGGGGGTGGAGGCGGAGCTGGAGGCGGCACAGACTGCTGAGCGCGGAGCCCGCCATCCAGCCCCGGGTTGGGCCCTGAGTCAGGAAGATGGGGGGCAAGCCAGGATGCATCTCCCAGCACGAGGGACCAAGGAGCAGGACAGGCAGGCCCTGGGCAGAAGTCGGTGCAGCGGTCCCCATCCTGCCTGCAACCCCTCCCGGCAGAACAGGGGACGGCAGCTTGGGGCTCGTGCCTCTGGCCCTTTGGCTGGGCGCAAGGGTTGGCAGCTGGCACGAGCAGCAAGGAGTCTGGGTGTTGCCTTCTCAACGCTGGGAGCCAACTGAGAAGGGCTGAGGGCCAAGGAAGAGCCCAGCCCGATTCCAGAACCTCAGAGCCCACTGGGCTCAGTCAGTGGCAGGAAGGGGAGGGCCTGAGCAAGGGGCAGGAACTCAGGGCCCACACCCTCCAGGACACCCCCAGGCCCCAGGGGCCGAGCGGCAGGGAGCTCAGAGCACACGGGCCGGCCCCGCTCTGTCGTGCAGCTGGGGCTCCTCGGGGCTCCAACAGCTCAAGCAGGAGAGGGAAGCCAGCCCTCGTAGAAGGGACAGACCCACCCAGAAGCCACGGAGCTGGGGGTGGGGGCGAGGATGGGTGGGCAACACCAGAGAGCCCCAGGCACAGGGCACGAGTGCCGGCCTCCTCGGGGATCGGGGCCGACAGGCCGGAGCCCCTTGGTCAGGCAGAGGCCCTGCTCACTTCCCAGAAGGCTCGAGGCAGGCGGGGGACTTCCTTCCGGGCTGCACCGAGGCCCAAGGAGCTCAGGCGCCTGCTCCATGGGTTAAGCCAGGGGAGAAGGGACTGGCGCTTGGGGACGGCCTGCACGGGTGTCCGCTCTGGGAGCTCGGGCAGGGGCAGCCCATCCCTGTGGCCGGCAGCCGACCAGCCGGTCCGGACAGCACTGCCGGGCCACAGGAGGACAGACAGGAACGCCCCTTCGCAGAGGAGTCTTCACCGGGTTCACCTACATACACCGACCTCCCCGGGACATGAAATAAAGAGCAGCGCAGGGCGGGGGGAAAGGTAAAAGTCATCACGGGTTTATTTACACGGTGGTTAAGCACATAAATGCAGCGATCACAGAAACGAGCCAGGTCAGGGACCGGCCACCAGTACACAGGTTGACACACACGTTGCAACTACGTTTCCCGCAGCGGGAGGGCAGCAAGTGTGCACGGACGGACGGACGGACGGACGGCTGGCCGGCCGCACCGCTGAGGGCCCAGGCTCTGCACCCACCTCTCAAACCCAATCCAGCCATTTCAGGTTGAAGCCCTGACAGGGAGCGAGGGCAGGCCGCCCCCGGCGGTCTCCGGCACTCCAGCGGCAGCGGCGGCTGCTAACAACTCACCCACAGGGGCAGGGCCGCCTCCCACCTCCCGAGGGTACTGGGTCACGACAGCCCCCCACCTCGCCCGGACCCGGCCCGGCTCGCGCCGCACCCCCAGAAACACAGCCCCACTTGGCCAAGTCCCCGCTCGGTACTCACAAAGCAGCCAAGAGCCATGCTCTGTGCCACCCGCGCACACCCAACAGGCTGTCCCGCAGACCCACGCTCCCGTGCTCGGGGCCCGAGGGGGCCGAAAGCGGGAAAACACGGGCATGGACGCTCCGGCCCCTCACTTGCTGTGCGCGCCCTGGTCTCCAGAGCACCCTGCGGTGGGGTGGCAGGAGGAGGGGTGGGCGTACCCACAAACACCGATGATCGCACCTGGTTTCCCACAACGGGGGCTCCCGGCTGCGGGCTGCCACCACCGCCTGGGCCGCTGCCTGCCATGGAACGAGGGAGTGACCAGGAAAACCACCAGGAGCCCAGCAGCCCCAGTGTCCTTCTTGCAGGACGCAGCCCCGCCCTGCTGCTTGAACGCTGCGGGGTCCGCTCCGGCCCAACAAAGGTCGTGGAAGGAAGCGTGCAACACCGCACCCTCCTGGGTGACTAGGTTGAGTCGCCAGCTTCTTGGCACTTCCGGGTGGATCCCCTCGGGCCGAGGCTGCCGTGGTCACACCTGGCCCAGCGCAGACGGCCGCACCCTTGGCTCTGAGCACACAGACGTTAATGCACATCGAGGGCCAATCTACACCGATCACGTTTACAGTCAGTTTAGAGAACGTCCCAAATTCAAAGACACTGAGGCGCTGCCACCACCAAAATAACCACACGTGACCCGGAGGAGGGGCCGATGTCTCTCGGTTTGAAATCGTCTCCCGAGGGACCAGCAACGCCCATGCGAAAAGCCTTGGCCTCCGAGGTCTTCCGTGCTCGGCTTCGTTCCGTGCGTCCGGGGCACCTAGAGGACCGCATCGCGCAGGCGTTCCGGCGAAGGTGGGGAAGGGACGGGGACAGCCAAAACCAGCGTAATGAGGCCACAGGACACACGGCACACGACACACACAGATGCACACATGGCACTTACACACACGTCTACACGGACAGCACTTCTGGTGAGACAACCCCTCTCCGCAGCGGGCCACGCGGCGAAGGGACCACAAAGCAGAGGATGGGCGCCCGCGCGCGCTCTGCTCCCTGACTCGCTCGGCCTGCACAGAGACTCCACTCCAGCCTTCGTTCCAGGGCTCGTTCAAGTCAACACCGGTTTTAGGACCACAAAAACAGACGAGAAAGAAACAATAAAAAGACGGATTTCTTTACACAGATTTAAGCCAGTAATTTTTAGCAAAATTATACAAAACTGTCTTAACCAAGTAGAAGGTCGGTGGCTACAGTGGGCTCGTCAGGGAGCAGGGCGCACCGCCACTGGAGGGGAACCGGAAGGCTCTGGAGCGGGAGTTTGGTTCTCTCTGCAAGTGTCTCTCACACTCTGCTTTTCTTCCCAGCCCGCGACAACCGAGCCCACGTGGGGGGCCCTCGGTGCAGCCCCTGCGACGGCAGCGCTTTGCAGTCTGTCCGGTTTAGTTTGTGTTTTGTGTCCCCCACGGGCGTCGCTGGGTGGGCGGCCTGGAGAGCTCCCGGTGTTAACGTTTCGGTTCTAGACCGGGGGGCGCGTCACTAGTAAAGCCATTGTAACAGAGTAGATCAGCCATGCATTGTCTGCCCTTCACAGCAAAAAGGAGAGTTCTCATCGGTGCACCACAGACTGAAGACCACTGGAAGCCACCCGACCGGGAATCTGTCGGAGCCAAAGCACAGGAGAAGGTCAGCATGAGGCCAGGGGCACGGGGCCGGTCGGTCAGGCTCGGGCACGAAACACCAGTGACGGCAAGGGGACACAGACGCTGCCCAGCCCTCTGCTGGACGCCCACACCCCGCCACTCTGGATGGCCCCTCTGCGGCCAGGACACGTGCTCAGCAGAACGAGTGACAGGAAGATGGAAGGAGGAAGAGGCATGCAAGCCAGGAGGCCGGGTGGCCACGGAGCTAGAAGCCCAAGACCGATCGCACCAGACAGTCCCAGCGGAAAGAAGTACTCGCTCCCAGCACTCCTTCCTGGAGAGTAACGGGTGTTCTGTAAAGCGAGGACCAGGCGCTGTGTGGGCCCTGGGGGTCCCCGTGGGGGGAGGCATGAAAAGCGGCCCCTATCGAGGTGCCCGAGAACGCAGCCGCGCCGGAGCTGTGGCCGTCTCCTGGCGGCAGCAAGCCCCGGCCGGAGGGAGCCTGGCTCGGACGCCCAGCCATGCGCCAACGGCAGGGGAGCAGGCGGCTGTGGCTGACGGGTTAATACAGACGGCAGCACGGAAGGGACGCTGAGCAGAGACCGAGCTCGAAAAGAAAAACAAACGAGGACAGAAATAAATGCGAAGGAAGAGAGTGACAAAGCCAGGGCGGCAGAGACCACCAGGAGACTCCCGCAGCGAGCGCGCAAGAGCCCCCACCCAGCACGGCCGCTCAGCAGAGCACGACACGACACACGCCCCGCACCACGGACTCCGGGCCAGGTGGCTCGAGTGTCCTGGGACCCCTGGAGCCAAGCCCAAGTGCAGAGCCCTGGGCTCCTGCTCCCGCCACAGGCCCCGGACTCTCGAGACTGCTGCAGGGCCAACGGCCAGCCAAGGGTGGGCAGGGTCCTGGGGCCGCCCCCGTTCGGAGACGCTCTGGTCTGCTGGCCCCCCGACTGGGTGGCCGAGCGCGGCTGCTCTGGGCTCCACATGAGGAAAAGCACTGGGCAGAGGGACCGCACTCGCCCTGCGGCACACCTGGCATGCAAGCCCAGTCCCACCTGCGCACCCCCGTGGTGGACGCTGGGGTGGTCAGCGCCCGCCCCGCCCGGCGCCGGCTGTCTGACAAGACCCAACGCGAGCACACTCACCCGGTGCTGCCTTCCAACGGGGAGACGTGCAGCTACTTGCCGTGGTGTTCGAAAGGAATGCTATTCTGAGGTGGGGGGAAAAGAGAGCTGTTGGTAAGGGCTCTGCTGCCAACGGACACGGAGGCCTTCCTCACCTCGCTTCCGCCAGGTCCACCACTGGCTGTGCCGCCTCACGGGGACCCCAGGGACCTGGCGAGTGGTCCCCAAAGGAAAGCAGCCGCTACTGCTCCTCTAGGCCGATGGGCTGATGAGGCCGACTTGGGGCCAGGCAGACCCCTCCTCACTCCTCAGGCAGTGTGCGAACCGACATCCAGACGGCGGCCTCTACACAGGCCCCTCCCGAGGCTCTGCCTGCTGCTCAGCACGGTCTGCGCTGGGGCCGGGGGAGGACCGGCCGCGAGAAGACCGAGGGGCTGCAGGCCTTGTTTCGGGAGCATGAATGCAGACCAACCGACCGAAAGGACCGACTGGCTCAGAGACTGGGTCCCCTTTTACCAAGAGCACTGGAGCCAGGAGGCCTTTTCTTCTCGAAGAAAAGATGCTGACCAGATGCTCTTTGGGCTCCGTGCTGCTCTGGCTGAGAAGCCAGACTCACACTTGGGGTCGGCAGCGTGGGGACTGGTCTAGCGTAAACCGCCCTGAGAAGGAAGTCAGGGCAAGGGGCAGCCACCCTCCGGCACAGTCTGAGTGCACCATGGCTGAGGGGTCAGAACAAAGAACACCGGCGTCCACGGCTCGCCCCGATGCCTGGCGGGAGGGTCAGCGGGGTCCTGCCATAGGCCGGCCGTGGCTCGAGCACCTTCTTGCTGAAGGCTGAACTACTCCCTTGGTCTTGAACATCTACACAGGACACAACATCTCCTCCTCAAAGTGCACAAAGAACCCAGAGCAACGGCAGCCACGGGGGAAGCTGGTGGAATGTGGCCTCAGCCCCAGCGCGGCAGGACCACCCACACCAAACAGAAGCATCACCGGCTCTGCCTTCACCGCGCGTTCTGCGGGAGAAGTGCCACCGCAACCTACAGACTCGAAGACGCTGGAGCAGCCCCGCTCACTTTGGAACTTCCAACGTCCCGGGGCAGGCGGGGTGCGGGTCAGCCCCTTGCTGCGAGGCTCGGACAGAGCCTCCTGCTGCCCTGTAGAGTGTCCTGAGAAAGCGTGCTGGTGGGTGACCAGGAAAGCCAAAGAAGGAGCCATCCCTGGGACGGGAGTGCATCCGGGACACCCCCCGGGCTGTGTCCTCAACGTGAAGATCCTTAAAAACCACCGAGGGTGACCAGAGCTTCCTTCAGAGGGAAAACGCCCCCAAATCACATCTCTGCAAGCCCTTCCCTCCCGGCCAGCCCCGTGTGCTTGTCCACACGGAAAGCCAAATCAGGAGCAAAGATGCTGGACCCCTGGGTGCAAGCCCGCCTCAGCTAAGGAAGACCGCACAGGAAGGCTCTGGGGCGAGCAGGCTGAGGCTGGCCACGCCGTGGAGGAGAAGCTGAGCTCAGACCCAGCGTTTTCCTCAGTGGTCCCCAACCATCCAGGTACTTTCTTTTCTCTCAAGGAGAATTAGGTTTGCCCCTTCCCTTCATCTCTGCTGGAGGCCCCACACCTGGATCCCGAGTCCAGACAAACCCTGACTGTCCCTGACTGGGGTGTTCGGGGCCCCAGAGCAGGCCGCATGCCTGGGCTCTGGGCCACGTGTGGGCAGACACTGCCCAGCACACGTTCCCGGCTGCTGATTCATGGATTCCAGGGCCCATGGGAGAAGCCATAGCCCTTTCTGTGTCCTGCAGGGAGGGAGGGCTAAGGCCTGGGAGCCATAACGGGCCCAAACTCTTGACCCTGGCCAGACTCCTTAAGCCTCACAATTCAAACTCCCTGCACCCTTAGTCTCTTCGGCAGAAAATTACCAAACAAACCCACCCCACTTCTGACCGAACCACTGACACACGAGAAGTGTGCAGAGTGAGACTGTGTGTTCTCCTGATGAAGCAAAGAGGCCAGGAGCAGCCTCTGCCCGGCTCCCGCCGCCTGTCTGCCGGAGACCAAGCCGACACCGAAGGACCACGGTTCTGGGCGGTTCTCACAGACCCTGTGCCCTCCTGACCGGCGTGCTCTAGCCGCCCACCCACCCGGCGCCAAGCACTTGCCGACGGCAGAGCCCAGTGCTAACTCGCCGCGAGAGCCGCCACGGTGATCCAGAGGGGTGCTGCCCGAGTGCAGAGTCCAGGACGCGGGCTTCCAAGGCCTTCCCGAAACCAGTGCTTGTCCGCCCAGCAGACACTACGGGGCACGGGCAGCCCGGAAGAGCCCGCCACAGCAGCAGAAATGCCCTGTGACCCACCAGGGCCCTGAAGGCTACACGAAGAATAAAGTCCGTGTGTGTGGGAAGAGCTCATCTGCGGAGTGCACGTGCGCGAACAGAGAAGAACCACGGCACCGAAGCCAGAGAGGGAAGAGGATCGAGTGGAGGGGACCCGCGTGGCCCCGCCATTTCCCTGAGGACACCTGCCCTGTCAGAAGGAAGGCAAGTAGGCAGGGACTTCAGGAGACGGGAACCCTCACCCGCGGCACATCGCCTGGCGCCAGGCTCCGACGGGCTGGCCCACGCAAACTCACAGGGGCCGCCAGCCACCCCCCACAGGCTGCGTGTGCCCGTGACGGACGCGGTAGGAGCAGCCAGGGCACTGCCAGTCTGCACGGGAAGACGGCCCGGCCTCCAGGGCTGGCTCGGGGAGGGGGCCGGGGCCGCAAGGACGGCAGCAGAAGAGAAAAAGCCCCATCGCCTGCTGCGGTGCGGCTGGGGAGCCAAGCCCTTCGCCCACCCAGCCCACCTCAGGCTCCCAACCAAGGGGCTGCCCGGCCGCAAGGGGTAGAGTGTCCCTCTCCAGGTAAAACTCAGAAATGGGGGAGAAAGGAAAGGAGGGAGGAAGGAAGCCCTTCAGTACCCGCTCCCCAGTCTGCTTGGTGGCCTCAGAGCAGCCCAGACAGAGAGGCCTGTGGCCCGCGGCGCCTGACCTTGGTGAGCCGGGAGTGGTACCCGTGCGGAGCGCGTACCTGAGAGGTGGACATGCGGGAGGTGTCTTGCCGGCCCGTGAGATCAGAGGACGAGATGTTGACAGGGGCGCCGCGGTGCAGCCGCATACTCACTTTCCGCTCTCTTTCCACACCAGACACGGGCCGAGGAGAGGTGTTAGCTGGAGGGGGAGACAGGAGGGGCGGTGAGGGCTCGGGGCAGACCCCTGACCCAGCACGAGGGGGCCTCTCCTCAGCGGTCTCGGCATCCAGCACCCCAGGGGGGTGGGCGCTGCCACACACCACCAGATTCCAGGGGCGGCAACAGGCAGCTGACCCCTAGCCGGCCTGCACTGCGAGTTCGAGGTCAGCAGCGGTGGGCAGGGCCCGCGGAGCACTGCCGGATGCCAGCGTGCTGGCCCTGGGGGACTCTCCCAGGAGCAAGGCACAGGAGTCCAGCAGGAGGGCAGCCTGAGGCCCCCATGCTTCCAGGGTCGATCACGGAGGCGATGGAGGGGCGGGTATTGAGAGGCTCGTAGGGAGCAATCCGTGTCATGAAAAAGGGAAACGATGGAGAAAAAGAAAGAGACGTCCCCTGGCCGGCCAAGCCTCAGAAACCAGAGTCTACCAGGACCAGAGGCACTCAGCCCCGCCCGCAACGCATGCCCGCCGTGCGCCCACCTGGGGCCCTGTGGCTCCAACAGCCAGAGCGGCCGACACACAACCAGAACCCTCTGGGGCCTGCTGGGGAGACATGGAGCTAGCCCACTCACCAGTGTGTGAGGTAGGGGTGAGGGGGGTGGGCGGAGCCACTTCCTGGGTGCCGCGCAGGCGGCCAGAGGCCGTGGAGGGGAGGCCACGGGCGGCTGGGTTTCGGGAGTGCCTCAGCCGCTCCTCTCGGTCCCGGCGCTCCCGCTCAGCATCGTCGGCGGCCCGGCCGGCTCCCTGCAAAGGAAACAGCATAAGACCCAGCTGAACGGGGTTTGGTGCAAGACAACCCCAAGGGCCCTGGCTGTCCCCTGCTGTCAGAGAAGCCATCCAAGGTGATGTAGCTGGTTGGCACGAGGCCTCCCTCCCTCGAGGACAGAAGCCTGCCCTGGACCCTGGGAGTGTGCGGACGAGGCCTTCCCAGCATTTCTGAACCCCAAACACGGACGGCAACTTGGTGGCCTCTTCCCCCTGGGTATCCACACAGGGACGGGAAATTGTATGAGGACGGGTCAGCGGTGGGCCTGAGGTGCTGGCATCTAGGGGATCCGAGAGGCACGCGGAAGCGGTGGCATCTGGTTGGCAGGGGCCCAGCCAGAGCCTGGGCGGATGTGGGGCCAGGGCCCACGTGACAAGAGTGCAGGCAACCATGGCTAGTTCTACTTTGAGCAAACGATGACCCAGGAGTGGGGGCGCGACTCCGGGGCCGCTGCAAGGAACAGCGCTGGGACGCATCTGTCTGCAAACCACGGCCCACGAGCTGAATCCAGCCGGCGGTTTCTGCCAAAGAACCTTTACTGTCGCAGCCGCACCCACCGGTGCCCGCTCCACCCGCGGCGGCTTCCCAGCCGCAGTGCAGCGCCGAGCACTTGTCCCACCACATGCACACCATGAAGCCCAGGAGATTCATTCTCCGGCCCTGCCCGGGGAAGGGTGGCCAGCCCCACTGGGAGGGCGATGATACCAGAAGGTCACCCTGACACTGGGTGACCGGTGATCGCACAGCCCGAGCCACCCGCTGTGGGGCACCTGGCTCTCCCCTGCAGGGCACAGACCCTGCACAGACACCCTGGCACCTGCAAAGCCACAGGACAAGCCTTTCTGTCTTACGCCCTCTGAAGAGGAGGTTCCACTCCTCCATCAGATCTTGTCACTCTGGAAAGGTCCCAATTTCTGTTTTAAGCTAACTAAACAGGAAAAATTTGTATTGGAAAACGAAGTAGAAGTTCCAAAAAGACCCTGAAACTTCCTGGCAACAGTGTCTGAAAACTAATTAATGAGACTCATACAAGAGACTCGGATGGGCCGACAGATTAAAAGAAGGAAAACATCAGGTGTGTCTGGGTGGCTCAGTGGGTTAAGTCACTGCCTCCGGCTCAGGTCATGGTCCCGGAGTCCCAGGATCGAGTCCTGCATCGGGCTCCCTGCTCGGTGGGAGCCTGCTTCTCTCTCTGCTTCTGCCTGCCGCTCTGCCTGCTTGTGGCTCTCTCAATCTCTCTCTCTGACAAATAAATAAAAAAAATCTTAAAAAAAAAAAAAAAAAAGGAAAACATCAAAGCTCGAGGCCTGCACGTATGCCAACAGCTGCACCCATTTAACAAGCCGGCAGCAAAGCCCACCCTGCTCGCTTGCCTGCACGGCTGGGTCAGAGGGACGAGGGGCAAGAGGTCACCCCACCTGGCCGGAGACCATGGCCTCGGCCATACCCTCCTGCACGACACGCACTCTGGAGCCACGCTGACAGCTGTCATACATGTACCTTCCAATCACAGATTTATCAGTCGAGAGTGAGCCGCAGTTCCACGCAGACCTGCACTTGGGAGACCCACTCTGCTGGCGCCTGGGGCCCAGTGCCCATGTGGCTGCCTCTGCTCTCCCTTCATGGGGGCTCTTGCTTCTCAGGGCGTCCCACCCTGGGGGGGCCCCACCCGGGCCCCTCGGTCCCCCAGTGTGGTGGACGTGCCTCCTAAAGCCTGCCCCGCGTCCGGCGGAGCCTCTGGCTCACTTCTGTGCTGGGGGTGAGCGAGCTGGCGCACTTACGAACTTGAGCATGTTCCAGTCGAACACGTAGTCGTAGGAGAAGCCCTGGCGGTGGAAGAGGTTCCTGAAGAGCTGCCGCAGGTAGGAGTAGTCGGGCTTGTCGTCAAAACGCAAGGAGCGGCAGAAGTTCAGGTACGTGGCGAACTCAGCTGTGAGACAAGAGACGTGGTGCTAACCAGCACTCCCTGACTGGGTGTCCGGCGACATGACGGCCACCATCCACTGTTGCACGCTTAGGATGCTGAGACATGGCGTCTCAAACACTGGTCACACAGGACACGGACGTTTGAGAAAAGCACCACAGAGCACAGCTAGTGCCACCCGCGGCCTTTCTCCACACGAACGAGGAAACTCCCTGGGTCATGGCCCCAGAAGGTAAAGGAGCAGCAAGGACAGAAGGCTGCCACCAGCTCAAGGACACTCTTCACTGTCTGGGACCCAGCCTCCCCGCACCACCCCCACTGCCACCCCAAGACCGCGGCCACCCGGCGCCTGCCCTCGGGGACACGCACAGGGGTAGCTTTTACACAGCACTTCGATGGGAGTGGACATCTTCTTCTCGCTGATCCGCTCATACTTCTGCCTCTTGGTGGCGGCCTTCAGCCCCTGCCAGGGCAGAGAGCCCAGATTGAAGTACATGAGCACATAGCCCAGTGACTCCAGGTCATCTCTCCGGGATTGTTCTGGGAAAGATGGAAACGGGTCAAGGACAGCATGTACGCGCCTGCAGCCACAAAGCTAAGACCCCAGGCACATTCTGACTGTAGAAGCGAACTTGTCAAACCACAGAAAAATAGTCTTGGATTCTGTTTTACCGTCAGTTGCCCCTGATGTGCCCCCAGGAAACTGTGACAGCCCTGGATGAGTTACACCAATGTTACAAGGAGTGTCAGGATGTCCGACCACTCATTTACCCGCCGCCACCAAACCTCCCAACGGGTTTTCCAGAGTCGGGAGAGCTAGACTTTGCTACAAAGGTTTGACAACAGCCTCCATGCCAAACGTGCTGACCACTTCCCCAGGGTCCCCCAAGAGGCTGGCCTTTCTCTTAAGAGATGGCCATGCCCAAGGCAGCCTAGTGACCAGGGGCACGGGAGACCCCAGCACCCACAGGCTCACCGATTCCAAGGTGCGTGTTGATAGAGGCGTACCGCGCCGTCCCAGTGAGGTTCTTGTTCTCACGGTACGGGATGTGCTGGTGGGTCCGTGCGTCCCGGTACTTCTTGGCCAGCCCGAAGTCAATGATGTACACCAGGTTGCCCTTCTTCCCCAGCCCCATGAGAAAGTTATCTGGCTTCACGTCCCGGTGGATGAAATTCTTTGAGTGAATGTATTCAATGCGACTGATCTGCAGGCAGGGAAGTAGTGACCAGAGGTTGAATTCCAGCAGCAGCCTCGGGAAAGGTCCCTGCTTGGCAGAGGGACGGCTGTGCCCTCAGCTGCACATCCTGTGGCCCTTGGTCAGAGCAGAACAACTCCACAACCAGGGAAGGCTGCTCAACAGACCATCTTCCACACCCCTGCATGGCCGGGGCAGGTCCCCTCGTTGGCCCCCTGGGTGGGGGTCGAACGACAGCAGCCTGACAGGACCACCCCTCCCTGACGAGGGTCTGTACCAGCGGTCCCTCCTACAGGGACCCGTGGGGAGCCACCCGCAAGTCTCCAAACCCAGCCCCCAGTCACAATCCTGCGGCAAAGGTGACTGCACCCCCACCCTCTCTCTGGGCACTAAGAGGCACAGGAGGAGAATGGCACCCGAGCGTGCCATCAGACTGTTGACTCACGCCAAGCCATGTCCTGAAGGCCCAGGCTCCCTGTCACCTCAGAGACACGATTCTTACCATCTGGTCAGCAAGCAGCAGGACAGTTTTGAGGCTGAATTTCCTTGAGCAGAAGTTGAACAGATCCTCCAGGCTTGGCCCCAACAGCTCCATCACCATGACGTTGTAGTCCCCCTCCGCCCCGCACCACCGGATGGTGGGGATACCAACTGCAAGACAAACCCGACGCGCCTGTGCTCGCACGCAGGGGCACAAGGGACACGAGAGCCAGGAGGGCAGTGGCTGGAAGCAGCACTGGGAGAGAATGGGAGAGCGTCCCAGGCGGGAGGTGAACAGATGCCAAGAAAGCTTCCTACAGGCAAGGAGCGAGCTACACGTCCCAAACCAGGAACCCGCCTGGCTCGCTGTCGGTAACCGAAGTCCACTCTGCTCAGGTGTCCTTGGTTTTCCTGTCACACCCTCTCTCCACCCTGGTCGTCATGTCTCCCAGGCTCCTCGGGGCCGAGCCAACTCTCACATCCCTGGTTTTGGGGGACCCGGCAATTCTTGGCGGGGGCGGGGTTCTGGGGCCATCCCTCCGTCGGGATCGTGTGAGGACGGGTGACGGGTTTGGGAAGACCGCAGAGCTGAAGGGCCTTCTCATTGCCTCACATCAGGGGTCTCTGTTTTCAGTGGGACTTGTCACTAAGGACGGGGCCTTGACCCCAGGCTGGGGTGTGTTCATTCTCCCCAGTGTGTGTACTGTTCTCTCTGGAAGGACGTCACTCCGTGGAGCCCACACTCTGGAGATGGGGGGGGGGGGGGGGGTCATGTTCTACTTCCCGAGGGCAGAGCACCTGCACACAGTACTCAGGTTTGTCTCTTCCCTCCATATATTCACTTACTGATTTTTTAAAGATTTTACCTGTCAGAGAGAGAGACCACAAGCAGGGGAGCAGCAGGCAGACGGAGTGGGAGCAGGAAGCTCTCCAATGAGCAGAGAGCCTGATGCAGGGCACAATCCCAGGACCCTGGGATCATGACCCAAGCAGAAGGCAGACGCCTCACCAACTGAGTCACCCAGACACCTGAATTTTATTGTTTTTTTATTAAATCTTTTTTTAAAAATATGTATGCTGTATAGTACTCCCTTTGGAGAAAAGGTCACAATTCATCTGTTCTTTCATCTGGACTATCTGGGTTTGCTTCTACTACAAACGGTGCTCCTAAGTATACCCTTATTTATGTTCATGGGTGGACATTCTTACACACGAAATTCTTGTTCACATCCAGCCTCCCCGGGCACAAGCCTACAAACACAGAGCATAAGCTGTGTGACTATGAGGTAATGTCACCTTGTTTCCCAGACGGGCCGCCCACCCCACACGCCCAGCAGCAGCGAGTGGGTGCGAGACCACCTGATTGCCTGTCATCAGCCGAGGGCTGTGAGCTAGCGGCTCACTAACTCTCAGCTGGGATCTTTCATCCGTAAATTTACTGGCCACACGCTGTTCCTCTCTGAAATGTCTACCCTTGTCTTTTGCCAATTTTCTTATCAGGGAGACTTTTGTCTATTTATAGCCATTCTTTAAAAATTCTGGGTACTAAACCATTGTTGATTTCATGTGAGGCAATTTTTTTTTTCTTCTGGAGCCTTTTGATGACAAATTTTAACAAAGACAAACATCATTCTTTTCCATTATGAGGAATGTTTTTGGTATAAGAAACCCTGAGTCAGAAACAGACACTATTATTATCTTCAAAGAGTTTAAAAGCTACTCTGTATCAAACAAGATGGACTGACAGGAGCCCAATTCCCACTCACATCGGCAAAGACCAGCAGGCTGGAAACACAGAACATGTGGAAAAATGGTTTCTAAGACATTAAACGGGAGGCAGCGAAAACACTCAGAGCTGAAGGACAGGACAGAAGCCACGTGGGCCTAAGACTGCCCCTTCCTCCCTCGACTATCAGCAGAAACACAAACACTGAACCGAGTAAAGTAACTTGACTTCACCCCGTAACTAAGCAGAGAAAGAACCTGAGCAACAGAGCAGAACACCAAGCACGTAGGCAAGTAAAACTCATAAGGTCCGGCATCTAGAGACTTGCAGGGATGCGGAGCAGAGAACATCTCTACTGAGGAATCATCGATCACCTGAAATGGGTTCAGATGCGAGAATGGGCACAGGAGGACAGTAAGAGTTACTACAGGGGCAAGTGGGTGGCTCAGTCAGTTCAGTGTCTGACTCTTGATTTCAGCTCAGGTCATGATCTCAGGGTCGTGGGATCGAGCCCCGAGTCTGGCCTGTGTCTGGCTCTGCACTCGGTGGGGAGCCTGCTTGAGATTCTCTCTTTCTCCCTCGGTTCCTCTCCACTCCGTGTGCCCTCTCTCTCTAAAAATAAATGGACAGGGGCACCTGGGTAGCTGAGTTAGTTAAGCATCCGCCTTAGACTCAGGTCATGATCTCAGGGTCCTGGAAGTGTGGGCCCACACAAAGGGACGGAAAGCACTGGAAGTAACAACTAAGTTCACTCGTAAGAGCTTTTAACATTACTTCAATCCCTTTAAAAGCTGTGACTGTTTAAACAAAAATAACAATGCGCAAACGTCCGTGCTGCAAGACTGCATCACAGGGTTCCGCAGCGGGAAAGCCACGTGTGCCGTCACAGGCCCGTCTGCTCCACACCAAGCGCGGAACGCGGCAAGGACACAGCACGATTTGTTCAAGACGACGTGATAAACCCTAACTCAGGCACTGAGGTAACAAAGAGGTGCTGGTGAGCCAGCAGAGGAGCAAATCATAAGAAAAATCATTAAGAAATGTAAATAAAGGGGCACCTGCGTGGCTCAACTGGTGACTCCCTTTGGCTCAGGTCATGACCCCAGGGTCATGGGATCGAGCCCCAAGTCAGGCTCCCTGCTTTGCAGGGAGTCTGCTTCTCCCTCTGTCTCTGCCTGCTGCTCCCCCTGCTTGTGCTCACCTTCTCTCTCTGACAAATAAATAAAGTCTTAAAAAAAAAACTATAGATAAAATGATCAAAAAGAAGGCAAGGGAGGAGGGGAGACAAAACCAGCAGCAAGATGGTCAACCAAACCCTGGCGGGTCAGGAACCACATCAGGCGTCCATCCTCTCAACACACCACACGAGGTGCGTTTTCTCAGATGAGAGAGAAACGTGCGCCTTTTCCACACAGGCAGGTTGTCAGAAGGCCAGCGAGGGACACCAACTTTAGACGGAAGGGGACAAGAAAGCCAGGTCCGCACGGGACGCGTAGGCTGCGGAGAGTGTTTCCAGGGACGTGCGTGTTACAAGGATAAAGCACCAGCGTGTCCGGGAACGCAGCTCCACGTGGCCCCCGGTGCAGCCTCAGGACACACGCCGTGGAACTGCGAGCGGACGGACACGCGCACAGGCCGACAGCGCCCTCAGCAGCCCCCGGGCAGCGGCGCCGAGGGCTGTCAGCGGACAGAGCCCACAGTGGACGGAGACGGGCCTGTGCCCTCAGACGACGGTGGAATTCGATCGGAAGTGACAGGGAGCTCCCTGGGAAGCCCCCAAATACAGAGAAGCTGCATAACCCACTTCAAAATAACCCACGGACCAGGGAGCCATCGGGAGGGGAACAGAAAGCTTTCTCAACTAAATGAAAATGAAAACACAACACATCAGGGTTTATGAGACGTGCTCCAGGAGCACCTGGGGGAAACTTATAGCAACAAAACGCCTGTGTTAGAGAAGACAGATCGATGATCTCAGAAAATAGGAAATTAAACCCGAACAGATGAAATACAAACGATCACAGCAGTAATCAATGAACCAAGACACAAAGAGAGAAAAATTACAGAAACCAAAGCATGTTCTTTGAGAAGATTTCTGGTAACCCTCTCACCAGGCCGGCGGGAGAAAGAGAGAAGGCGCAGGGAGAGATCAGCCACCAGCAGGTTCCAAAGCCGCTGAGAGGCTAGCGGAGCAGCACTGCAAACACGTTCCACAGTCAGGTCCATCGCTCAGGCGACAGGGATGAGCTGCTGGAAAGACACCAACCGTCAAAGCCGCTAACTGCCGGCAAGGGTGTAAGGGACAGCCACCTGGAAAGCAGCTGACTGCGTTTCAAAAAGGAAAAGTATTCACCTACTTCTGATTCTGCCATTCCAGTCCTAGACACTCAGCCACGACAAAAGTAAGTGTCCACGCAAATACCCACACAAACGTTTAGAGCATCTTTGTTTGAACGCCCACGACTCGGGGAGGGACGGAGAACCTGCTGGATGCACCCAGGGGCCACTGCACGGTACTGTGAGGATGACTCTCTCAGGGGCCAGGCCGGCTTCCTCAGGCTGGCCGGAGGTGAGGGCAGAAGGGTGCTGCGGCCGCTGCGGTCACAGCCATCGCTCCAGACACACCTGTTGCTTCTCACTGTCCCAAAGAACTGTGCCCTGGGGCCCACATTCTCAGGCTTCCAACTGCCCTGGTCACGCACAGATGGCAGATCTTGTGCATTCTAACTCTGCTCTTGATATAAGCATTCTTCTGCTTTATGTTCCCGTGTACTTCTGCATGATGCCCTCTTTGTGCACTGGGCTCTCGGGGCAAGGAGACATTCTGGGGAGGGAGCAGGCAGCAGCCGCAGGGCTGTGTAGCAGAAGACACTCTGCCATCTCCCCAGCGTGCAGAACTATTTGGAGTGCACAGAGCACCCCACTTTTACCGGGGCAGCCCAGGACTTGACCTCTCCCTCCTATAAGACTCAGAGTTCGTCTGAACAGGAAAGCTGGCATACAGGTGTCAGGAGAAGGTGCTGAGCGGAAGCCACAGCTGGGGGAGGCTGGTCTAGACCAGTGATGAAGGACTCCTATTCTGGACCTCCAATCTCAGGACATGGGCTTCCTTCACCTACCAGATCCCTCACTCGCTCAGTGGCACCTGAGTGGTGTGCCACCTTAGTGGCACCTCTGGCACCCGCACCACAGCACCTACCAGTGCCACAGGGTTCCTGCGTGTCTCTGAAAATAGTCAAGCTGGTCATGACAAGTTGTAAGAGCCTGAGCTCCCCTGGGTACCATATGAACCAAAGACCCTAACCCTTAACCTTGAACCATGCTGGGTTTTCTTGCCTTGGCTTGCAGAGACCATGGTGTCTGGGGCCAGCACCCTGCCCTGCCACAGCAGTGGTTAGTGCCATGGTGGTGAGTGCAATGGAAGGCACTGGACCAGCCATGCCTCATCCTGGTTTCGAGCTGCCCCCTTGGATCACTGTGTCTGCTGGGCCCACAGCACTCATAAGCCGCTGGCTGGGTGATCGACAGGCAGCCTAGCTTGTATAAACACGAGCTCAACTTTCTCCATGTTCCTCTGGGGTTTTATCATTTACCAACTTGTTTTCCTACTGAGAGAAAAACAGCCAGAGGCTGACAGAAGGCTTTGTACCAGGCAGATCAGAAACCCAGCCCTGAGGGACCCCTTCTTGAAGTTTGTGCATGCCCGGGGCGGGGAGGGACAATCTTAAGCCATCCTTTCTTGGTGCCCCCTTCACCTAGTTCCTATTTTGGGCCAGATCTGTCCTGAAAACTTGCCTCCTACCTTATTCCTTCCTCTATACTCCCAATCCCCCGAAAAAGCTCAAACACCCTTACATTTAATTTCTGGGGGGGGGTGTCTCCACAATTCTTAAATGGTTTGTGTAAAATTCCGAAGAAGCCGGCAATAGTCCGTGCCTTGTTCCGAACGCCCCAAGTCAAGGCTGTTCTTTGACACGATTCAGGCCAAACACACTGCTGTATTTAGAGGGACCAAACCTGCCTCGCTCGTCTCTAATCCTGGGAAGATGTGCTAGGCTGGGGGGCGGGGGGGGCTGCTGGGAGACCAAGAGGGGAAGATGACTGAGCCTCCAAGCCACTCAGGAGCATCTGTGAAGATACAAGACACACAAGTCAAGGGGCCACAAGACTTCAGTTCCATGTTTAATGCAGGAAACCAAAGCTCTGTATGGAATCTTGAATTTCTGGGGAAGGAGGGAGAGGAGGGAAGCATGTGCCTACCTGCCCTCTCCCAAGCTCCAGGAGGCTGAGCCCCCAGGTTCAGTGACCCTGTCCCTGGACAATACGGATGTGATAGCTGGATCTGCTAACACTGTGTAACACACGCACCGACCCTTTCCACCCCCCTCAGAAAACATAGTGAAGAAAAAAACGCCCTTAATTTTTAATACCCCTTGTCTTGTGTGCTAGCCAAGGCACCCCATGCCACACTACCAAGGGATGGTGATGATGAGACCAAGAGGATGTGGCTCCAACAGAAGCCTAGATGCCGCGCAGCTGGGACAGAACGGCCCTGCAGGCACGTGCAGCGCTCGACGGCATCCTGCAGGCCAAGCACTCGTCTGCTCCATGAAACACAACTCCACTCTCAGGCGGTGCGCCAGAAAAGATGTCTGGATGCCATCGAGGCACCGTCCCCAAGAGCAAGATGCCAGAGCAGGAGAGAAGTACTGCTTATGGAGATGTGAGCTTACTTGACGCAGCCGCGTTGGCGTAGGGGCGCCCCGGGAGCACGCGGGGTCGAGGAGAGCCGTGTGCTACGTGGAGACCAGACGCACGGATTCCGGGGTGGCGTACGTCAGCCAGATGTGCATCAAGGACTCACGACGTCTGCTGACACTGATGGGGTGTTCTGATGGTGGCACCTACTTTTTCTAGTGGTCGACACCAGCACGCCTTACCACCCCAGCATCAGGGAGCAGGCAAAATGCGGTCAAAGCAGAGAGCCCTGCGGTGAGAGTTCTCTGGCCAGAAGACGCTAAGCTCTCTGTGTAGCCTGCTTTGTCCCGAGCGGACTGTCCGGAGAATCGAGGGGTGAGACCCAGGAAGCAATCGGCTAAGCTACCCACAGGCTTGTTCCCGCTGTCTGTCCAGACGGCTCCTCTGGGGACGGCAAGAGCAGGAATCGGAGTGCACGCCACTGCGGGGCCCATGCAGGAGGAAGCAAGGCCCATGAGGCGAGACAGCGGCGACCAGCACGCTGCCCCCACCCGTGTGCCATGCGGATGAGGAACTGGGTCACCTGGCGCCACTATGTGTCGCTCTCAACGCCTGAGGGAGTCCAGCGACACCAAAACCTACACTTGGGAGTGAAAAACTAGTGAAAGACTAGGCAAAAGTGCTTTTCATTTTTACTTACGAGAAGTTTCAATATTCAACATTCAGGCAAATACAGATTTTCAGTTTTTGGCAACTCAAACCTGAACCAACTGTAAACCGCCAAACCTTCTGACAAAGCCACTGGATTTTTAAAAACAAATCTCTTATGGGTGACAGAGAAACGACGACTTAGAACAAACTAGGCAGGGATGTCGGGGGTAAACTCTGGACCGTGGCTTCTCTCCCAGAGCGCACTGGGACTGACATGAGGGCGTTCTGGGGGTCCCTACCGCCACTCAGGCAGGTGGGAGCAACAGGCATTCCATTTAGTACGGACCCCCACAGATTACACACGTTCTTGGCTACCGTGAACCATTTCTTAAAAAAAGATAGCGACTGTCCAAAATACAGCATGGGAACTGAGCAGGACATAGGACGAGAGACGTGAACGTGGGGACGCCGCCAGTTTCCACTGCACGGGCAGGTGCCGGCCCACCCTCACTGCCAGCCCGGACTCCTCACACGCGGCCCACGCGGCCCACTCACCCCTCGCACACGCCACACCTGTCCTGAGCCTTGACCAGAAGCTCATGTTCTTTACTGAGGGGTCACCAAAAAAGGGCTGGTCCAAAGCCACCGTGGGGACATGAGGATGGGAAAGAGCAGTTAATGTCTGGCAGTCCACCGCATTTTGAGAAGAACCTGATGTCTACCCAAGTCACTCCCCAGCACAGCTAAACAAGACCCATCCCTGCTACTTCGCGTGTTCCATCCTGCCGGCACCCTTGCGGCAGGTGGAAGCATCTGGGGTGTGCTCCTGACCGCTGGGGAGGGCAGTGGCACGCCTCCCCAGGAGCAGAGCTGCTGTGCAACAGTGACCTGGGTGCCATGATGCTCAGGTTCAAATCTCCGTCGTCTGGGAAGTTCTGCATCCGTGTGTGCGTGTTTCCTCATTCCGGACACGAGGCTGGCTGACACCACTGCAGAGGACCGTACCGGCCGCAGACATGCCAGGGTCTGTAGGCGAGGCGGACTCCTCCCGCAGGTGGCCGGCCCGCCTGAGCGCGGCTCTCTCAGGCCAGGCTCAGCAACACCACCATCGTCCAGAAGACTCTGCACGGCAAGCTAGAGAGTGCACGGCAGCCTCTCAGCTTCCAGCTTCCTCCTAGGGTACCACGTGCAAGGAAGCCCAGAACGCAGCCTTAAAAGCATTGAAGAGCCACAATCAGAGGCCCTGGCCGTCCCTTTACCACGACCAAGTGGTCTGTGTGTACCGGCACGAGATGTGATGCAGAGGGGGGCAGACAGCACGTGGACCGCTGCGCCGTCCGCAGTCCCAGCTTCACGGTGGTCAGGAGCTCACACAACACTACAGAATCATGGACGCTGCGCTTATGGACATCATCTGTTTCAAAAACTGAGATCTTTACCTTTTTTTTTTTTTTTTTTAAAGCACCTTGATAATATCCATCAAGTGCATGTCTGAAACAGAAGTAGAACTCAACCTGCATGTGAGGGATGTCCGGGTGGGAGAAGAGCCTAGGTTTCTAGGATCCTAGAGGAGAGGCACAATCTTAGAGCAAGGATTCAAAGTGAGACGCGACGCCGTCACCTGCACCCTCCGCCCGGCGGCACACAGCTGTGGTCCGGGGACGGCAAAGACCCGCCCCGAAGGGAGTAAGTTCTTCTCTGCTCAGTGTCAGCCACTTCTCCAATTCCTGTTTGGGGCATCAGGAACAGTTTTCTTCCCTTCCGCCCTCTGGCCCTCTGGCTTACAGATTTTCAACCGAAATGCGGCCCGTTAACACTCAGCAGGCTTTCAAGCTGGAAGCCTTCCTCAACCCCCGGCCATCAGGCCCTGTCCAACCATGAAGGCTACACCTGGAGTCACCACCTGACAAGCTGTGTAGACTGTTCCTGATGCCTGAGAAGCCCTCTGCTGAGTGTCACCAGAGGGCAGACACACTGGCTGGGCCCTCTGTGGACCACTCCCTAGGGCCCACAGGTGCTCTCACCCCCAGGTGCCAGTCCAGAGCCCAAAGCCACCCCCGGTCCCAAGACAGCTGGGACAGGATGCCCCAGATGCCCTCTGTGACGGGTCCTGCAGGACTGTCCGTGTTGCTCTGATATGCACCTGTTGCTAAAGGACATTTGTCGCTGCGTGAAGCAAGTAATGTTGGTTGCTAGAAGCAGCACAGACTGAACCGTTTTTGTGGAGGAAAGATGCCAGAGCGGAATCACCAATGCTTCCTTCTCACCTGATAAAAGCGAATTCAGACTCTGAAGACAAATTTTCATTTGGCAAAGCGCCGAGAGCACCCCAAACTATGAAAGCACCACAGAGGCTTCTGCCACGAAGGGTCTCCGAACAGGAGGTGGCGCAGCCGTTCTTCGGGCACGAAGCCTTGATCCCAAGGGCGGCTCCTTGGGGTGAAGCACGGACATGTCCTTCCTAGTGCTGTAGTGTCTTTGGGACTGTGAGACCCCCAGCAAAATCCCCACTTGCTCCCTTAGCCAGACTACTTGGAAGTCCAGGGAACTCTAAAAGTTAGACTCTGAGTCAGGATGAGTGCTCTCAAACATCAGACGCCCTTAGGTCTGAGGTTTTACAGAACGCTGTGAGCAAAGCATGTGACGGACGGGGCACACCCAACAGTCGGGGCGTGCCTAAAAAGTCAAAATTCACATGAACCCTGAGTTCAAAGACACTACTAGCTAACGTGGGGCTAGGGAAAAGCAGAAATCATGTTTTCTGTTGAACGAGGCCCTCGGGAGGCCTCCTGATCTGAAGGAAGCCGCGTGACTGAGTCAAGTGTAGGGACATTTTTCTCCCTTTCCCAACTAAACCAGAGGCTGCGACTCATGACGTTATTCTCCCTCATCAAATACACCCCGGGCTTTCTTTCGAACAGGTAAAGGGCATACCTCCTCCCTGCATCATTTTGTAGATTTTGCTCTCAATGTGGAGCTGAGGGTGTTTGGTTTTGACGCATTCAAGCTTGATGGCAACTTCTTCTCCGGCAGCAATGTCCGTACCTTGGCAAAGAAAGAAAAGCGCAAACGTTAATAACCTGGCGTTGACCACCTAATGCAACGCACAACACACTACACACTACACACCCTCCACTGCGCTTTGCACTGTGCAACGCTGTCGGTAGTTGACGAACCCCATGGAGAATCACTATTACTCTCACTCTTTAAGCTGGAAGCCTTCGATATGTATAGAAAAGTCTTACTTCGTATTCCCTCACCCACTTCCATAGGTCCCCACTCTGATCACGTCAATAGGGGACTCAAGACAGGGCAGTGTCCTCCTCTCTGCAAGCTTTCCCATCTTTGTTGCCCTGAACCTTCCAGTCCACCTACTGGTCAGCCCCCGTGTTCACCCACCCAGGGCCAAGCAGTGGGGGAGTTCCAGGGTGACTGTATGTTCCCCGTTTCTCCATGCTGCCTGGACAGGCCTGTGTGGGTGGGTTTGGGCCTTTCTATGAAACACCCACCTGACTTCAGTCCACCCGCCCCGGGTGTTGAGCCACACGCATCCTGGAACAGTCAGGGCGCTTCTCAAGCAGAACGGGTTCCCATAAGGAGACTCCTGCAAACCTCTCCCTTCCCGAAGAACAGGACGTGGCTGTGCGTTTATTACTGACACTGGACCAGAAGGATAGATCCTTTCTCAGAGCCCAAATGAGACCCGTCAACACACGCCTATTATCTATGTTTTGTTAGTTTTATACTAAAACTGGCAAAATATCTGCTAATCCCTCCCAATAACCAGCCCACGGGTTTGCAGGCAAAGTCAGAGTTATTACCTAAAAATGTTCCATCTCTGTTTTACTCCAATAAAGGAACTGCTGATGTGACAACACCCCGCCCCAGACTTCACACACAAATGCTCCTGAGCACTCCTGTGCCCCGAAGCTGTGCCTGTGAACCCTCCTCAAGCTTCAGCTAGAGAGAACGGGAAAGAGTCCTGCGCGGCACCCACCCAGCTTCCCCTACGTTCCTTCCACGGACAGGCGTCCCCCTTAGCTGCAGCCACCTGTGATCTGTTAGCAGATGCTCGTGCTCTGGCCCCACGGTGCGATCGGCAGCGGCCTCGCCAGCTCGCAGGCCCGCACCCCTCCCCTCCCTCCTCTCGTCAGGTCGGCGCGTCACCATCTCACGGCGTCACCACAGAGGGGAGTAAAGCGCAGTAAGGTTACTCTGAGAGACCCAGTCACAGACCTTCCAGTACAGTGCGCGCTGCAACTGCTGTTTTATCATTAGCCGCTGCTGGGAACCTCTCACTGCATGTCATTTATGAACATCACCATGGGTCAGTACGTCTGGGAACACAGGTGGATGCGTAGTGTTCGGTCCCGTCTGCGGTTTCAGGCATCCCCTGGGGTCCCTGGGGGTCATGGAATGTGTCCCCCGTGGATAAGGGGGCCTGATGTATAAACCACTTTCATCCTTCCCAGCAGTACGTTTATCTGTACTGGTTCCAGCAGCTCTACAGACCCAGGACACTTGCTACTCAATGAGATCCTAGTGTTGGACAAAGCCACCTCAGCTGCCTGGTTTCTCTCTCCACAGGTTTGAGGGGAGAAGTGCAGCCTGTTTCATGAGACGCGCACAGAGAAGTGGGCTCACAGATGCACGGCACTCTGAGATTCCCAGGCAAAGGACGAGTACGCTTGGCAAGCACTAAAGCCACGGTCAGCCTGCGGGAGTGCTGCTGTTCCTGTGGCCACTCAACACCCAAGAGCCCCCGAAGTCTCCTCCGGACCGCTGAGACGGCCGCGAGAAGCGCAGGGCTTCTGCTGGGCCTGACTCCAGAACCGTGCGGAGGACCGTCATCTGGTCGCGGCAAGTGACCACCCTAGACCTAAGAACTTCATTTACCGTTCCACACAGACTCTTGTGGGCACTCAGAGAGACGACAGGGAAGACATTTTGTTCTTCCCACCCGCACTTGCGATGATCTATCCAATTACAAGAGAAATGACTTCATCGTCAACGTGCTGTGCAAATGCGAAATGCACTGGGAGTTCCTGTGAGGACCTGGACTCCGAGCTGAACCCGCCAGCCCAGGAGACACAGAGAAACGGATGACTCAGCTTTCTGGTTACATCAGCAACTCTGTTCCCCAAAGCACAAGCAGCGGGGCCTTCAGCGAGAGCCATCTTGCTCCGCCAACTACGTCAGCACTGTCACCCTTGCCACGAAGCAGGTCTTCAATGACAGAACAGCCTGGACCCACACAAACTACCTACCAGACCAGTACCTTCAGAAAGGCAGAGAACATTCTAGCCTCACTCCATTGTGCCTGACAACGCAAACATCTTGCCATCAATCCAGCAATACCGACCCGATGGTCTTGGAGACAAATGACCATGGGCAACTGTGGAGAACAATCTGAATTCCACTCTCCTATCACGGTGTCAGGCTCCCTGCAGGACTGCAACTGCGATACAGCCGGCTTCCCCCAGGATCACAGCAGCAACAGGGCCGGCCTCCCCCAGATCACACCAGTAACAGAGCTAGTCTCCCCCAGGATCACACCTGAAAACAGGGCCAGCCCCCCGCCGCAGGAGCGTAACTGTGAGAGTTGCCAGGTCACATGATCCAAAGAGAGCCGGCTTGGGCTCTGCAGATAGATGTGAGCACAGCAGACACTCCGGGCTGCTTCTTTGGAAGATGTCTGCCCAGTGGGTAGATGTACCAAGCAGCCCAGCTTTAACTCCTGGGCACTCCTTGAGAAGCAAACATCACAGGCAACACCGAGGCCCACCCGTCCATATGGCCCTGCAGCCCTGCCCTACTTCCTGGGGCTGGCCTCACACCTCATACTTCACTACGAGTGCTGCTCCAAGTCCGGTGCTCGAACCACCACCAGCCCACGGCGGGGACCGATACCAGGCAGTGAGAGAGCAGCAAGGAGCTCTGACTGCTGTGACATTTTAATCTTATTCTACAAAAATAATGGTCTGGGAAGAACTGGAAATTACAAAACCTGGTTCTTCAGCATAACTGACTAACAAGCGCTTCTAGACAGGGAACAAGAATCTGAAAGACCCCACTGAGCACTCGGTTTCGGTTTCGGAGTCAGAAGTCAATCCACAGGGTCTGTTTACACTAAGCACTTTTATCTCCCGAACGACCTCAACCCCGGGCTAGCTAAGTAAGGAACCCCACCCAGTCGGGTACAGTTCCTCTCTCCGGGCAACGGTACTAGTCTCTACGTAGACACAGCTTAGTGGTCGTCCTAAGAAAAGTGAAATTACGTCTCTCAAGTTGAGCAAAGTCAGATGGTGAACTACGTGAGCCTAACCCCAGGCCTGACTCTGCCCTGGAACAGCAGCTGTCCTTCCACCCAACACCCACCGAGGACTGTCTTATCAAAGCAAGAGGGAGCGGCCTCTGGGTCGCCAGGCAAAGGTCACTCTCACAGGGCAACGCTGACAAGGCAACTGACGCAGGCTCACAGCCGCTCCTGAGAGCCTCTCCCAGCTCAAGCCACCCCCTAGGAAAGCTTCTCCAGTTCAGGCCACTGGTCTTCTCTCCCCGCGGCCAGGCAGCCGCCACTCCGGAACCCCTACTGTGTGCCGGACATCCTTGTGCGTTGCTCCTGAGGGAAAGGAAAGTCCGTGAGAGGAAAAACATGAAAACCGAGTACGAAGAGGTTACTAAGCTTAAGCTCTCTAAAGGTGTTTATGTGCGTTATGACGTCAGACCGCACAGTCCACCCAGGTAACACGTGGGCAGAGGCGGCCACCCCGATAAATGGAGTGACAGGGTCTGGTAGGGCACAGGCAGGAAGAAAACCTCCATTCCGCCAATCATGAATGACAGAGGCAGGGGATGGGAGGGCCCCGAGGACCCTTCTGCCAGCCTCTAGCAGACCGACGTGGACAGGACAGACGGAACCGCGGGCTCGCAGACACTGGCGCTCCGGCTGAACAGAACAGAGGCTGTGCCACCTGCAGCACGGCCGCTGCACACACTCCCTTCTTCCCTCCGCTCTACCGCTCACAGAGAACGCGCGGTCCACGTGGAGAACACGGCCCTCCCCGTTTTCCACGTTAGGAGGTGTACAAGAGGTACACTGACCCCAAGTGAAAGGGCTCCTGGTGTCCAGCGCCTCACAAAACGTCGCCTCTGGCAGCGAGGGACCGAAGCGCGTGCGAGCTAAAGCTGAGGGAGGCGCAGGGCTGGGAAAGCTTTGCCTTACACCCACCGCCACACCGAGTCCAGGCAACGTCCTGCCTCAGTGTGTGCTGTACAGGACACACGAGCTCCGAAGCCTTCCCAGCCCGTCCTTCCCGAGAGCCTCGGGATCTGGTAGGCTTGGAGGTGGACGGAGGATCAGGACCAAGTTCTGGGGTCCACAGTGGCCCAAGTCCGGTACATAAACTTTCTGAAGCCCGGGCACTGGAGGAATAGTCCCAACGTACTGCCCCTTTAAAAGGGCAACTGCGGGAAGGGCTGACTGGCAGGGCACGGGGCTGCCTGACCGTCTCAGCGCAGCAGGCCCCGGGCAGGCAGGCCAGCACTGGCCCCTCGGTCCACACGGCCCTCAGCAAGTTGAAAGACGGGCCTCCTCGCAGTTTCCAGCCCGTGAACGCACGGGAAGTTCCAGGCGGAAATCCAAGACCCCACACGCCAGGACCACAACGTGGTGAACCGTCCAGAGGAGTCGAGCGCGCTCTGATCCGTCGTGCAGCGACAGCGGAAGTGACTTAAGTTGTAATCGCACCAGGATATGGGACACACAACGATTTCCAAGACAGGACCCAATTCCTTAACTTACGCCTTTACCTACACAGGAAAAACTGGTGTGGATGACTCCCTCCCTCCAGTGGTCTCCGGAGCAGCCAACTCTGACCCTTAACCACAGCAGCTGGTGAGCTTTCCAGCGCAGCCCATTCACGAAACAAGGTCGCCCCTCCTCCCTGGGGCAGCGTTTACCCTGAACCCCCCACTGTGTGGGCCAAGAGCCGCCGCCAGGAAACATCAGTTGTGTCTTAGGTGCGCCTGGAAAGATGGGCCGTGGGGCTGCTGGGAGCGAGGGCATGAGAGGCACAGCCCATCGGTCCTGGGGACAGAGGACAGGTCAGCCTGATCTGCGGACCGAGAGCTACGAGGTGCGGCCGGAGGTCGCAGCGGCGAACACGCAGACGGCTCCCGCAGCAGCGTCAGAAAGCACAGAGCGGGCGAGCACCCGGGCACAGAAAGTCTGAAACAGCCCCTTCCTGATTCCCGTGCAAGGGCGGCTAGTGGGCGGATTTCCAGTGCGGCTCCTGCACCCTGGGTTAAAACTCCAGCCAAAGGGCACCCAGGGGGGCTCAGGTCATGATCCCAGGTCCTGGGATGGGGCCCCGCATCCCGAGCCCTGCTCGGAGGGAGGCCTGCTTCTCCCTCTCCCACTCCCCCTGCTTGTGTTCCCTCTCGCTGTGTCTCTGTCAAATACATCTAAAAAAACAAAAAACTTCAGCCAAAATTTACTGTTCTATAAATAACGCAAACCGTTTACATTCCGCCGGCGGCTCTCCCTGAGCCAGTGCCGCGAGGACGCAGCCCGGACGACCGGAGAGAAAGGGATCTGCAGCGAGCTGGGGTCAGCAGCACGGGTCAGCGGGACGGCGGGCGGAGGGCAGCGCGACCCCGCCGGCTCGCTGCGTGGGGAAGAAGGCGCCGAAAGCCGGGACGGACTCCACAGACGCGCGCGCCTCTGACACGGCACCCAGCACGCCCGGGGCAGGAGGGCAGGCTGGGGCGGGGCCCCCGCCAGGTACGCGGCCCCGCAGAAGGCAGCACAGCAGGTCGACCCCCACCGTGCGCCCGGCCGCCGGGCAGGCCCTCACCCCCGACCTCGGACGCGCGCCGACCCGCAGCGACGCGGAGCTTCCTGCCCCGGGCTCTTCCGACCCACCAGAGCGTCCTGGCGTTCGAGGACAGCCTCGCCAGCACAGCGCTTTGCTACTCCACCCGCCTCCAATTTCACCAGCAGGGCAACGCCGACTTCGGCCGGACTCCCTCAAATCCCACCCGGCTCCTGCCCCGTGCGCAACATGCACTCCGGGACGGCCCGACCCGCCGGGGGACCCGCCCCGCCCCGGCGACCCCGCGCTCGGTCCTGCGGTCCAGCGGCCCGGGGCCCAGACCCGGGGGAGCTGGGGAGCTGGGGCGCCGCGGGCCGCGGAAGCCTCGAGCCGGCGCCCTGGACTGTCCCCGTGCCCACCCCCACGTGCACAGGACGCAGGGGGCCGCACACCCGCCCGGTGGCCTTTGTCTGCCTGCGGGGACACCCAGGCGCGGACACCGGGCGGGCGGGCCCCGGCGGGCAGCCGGGGGCGCGGGCCGAGGCTCAGGGCCACTCCCCGGCGGCCCCGGGCGCGCGTCTGGGCAGGTGCCCCCGGGGGCACGGGCCGGGCCCCACCGAAGGGCCGAAGAGTTCGGCCTCCCCACACCCGCCTGGGGGGCTGCGGGGGCCCGGATCGGGCGGGGCGAAGGGGGGGCGGGCCCGGTCCCAGCCGCAGGCCGGGGAGGGGGTCCCCGGGGCGGCGGCTGGACGACGGCCGAGGGGGTCTGTCCCTGGGTCCCCGGGTTCTCGGAGCGGGGTCCCTGACCCGGGGCCCTGGGGGCGGGGGCTGGGCAGACTCCCGCCCGGGGGGCGGCCCCGGCCCGGGGGGAGGGGCGCCTCACCGAGATAGATGTCTCCGAAGGAGCCGCTGCCGATCTTCCGGCCCAGCCGGTACCTGTTCCCGACTCTGAGCTCCATGGCGGCGGCGGCGGCGGGTCCGGCTCGCTCTTGCCCTCCCGGCCGCTTCCTGGGTCTGAGCTCGGGGAGGCGGCGCCGCTGCTGCCGCTACGGCGGGTCGGGCTACCGGCTCCGCCCCCCTCACGGCCCCGCTTTCACCATCGCTTTCCGGCCGCCCCGCTGCTCCCAGAGCCTCAATACCGGGCGGATGGGACAGTCCGAGCGCCGCCGCCCCTGCTCCGGCCCCCGCCGACCCCGCTCGCCCTCTCCCCGCCGCGGATGGACTCGGATCTTCCGGGCCTAAATCCCCCTTCAGCGGCCTGAAGGAGCCGCCGCCATCGCGCTGTGACGTCACTTCCCCTAGCAACCCGGCGGGGCGGGGCCACGCTGCCCGAGGGGCGGGGCCATGGCTTCGGGCGGCAGGGAGGGGTCTGGGCGGGGCGGGGAGGGGCCAGTGCGCACCCGTCTCCTCTGGACCCCGGGACTCCCAGGCCATCCCCCTTTCTCTCTTTGCCTCGCCGCTGCACCCCGGCCCGAGAGACCCCCCGCCCTGCCCGCTCCCACATGCAGGCTCCACGTGCTGGCGCGGGGGCTTCGTTTGTCCTGGCAGGTGTCCGGGAAGCCGGCGGCTCCCCGCGACTGACTCGGGACGGGCCCCCAGGCAGTGATTTTTGCAAGAGGGAAAGAGGGAGCCGAGCTTGTCTGTCCGTCTAGGTCCTGGCACCCGCAGGACACAAGCTGGGACACAGGGACACAGGTGTGCGGGGCCTCTTGGGCTGCCCGTGGTCTACCGAGCAGCTCCCCTCCAGTCCTGTGTCACCTTCCCTGCTGCGCAGCCGGCTGCTGTCCTCCCACGTCTGACATCTGTCTGGTCGTCTGGTCCCCCGCGCTCAAACCTGGAGCCTGCTGTCGGCCCGAAAGGAGAAGGTGAAGCTACCAGGGCCCCAGTCCCATCTTCCTGGAAACCGAATCAACCTTTTCATCTCGTTTGTATTGGGCCTGAGTGTTCTTCCTTGGGAAAGGAAACAAGAGTGCTAAAGTTGAGAATGACCACCAGCTTCAAAGACCCAGAGTCCTGATTCTGACCACTGGGAAGGAAGTCCTCCAGAGATGCGTCCAAAGCAAGGACTGACCATCATGGCATTGCTTCTCAAGGCCCGTGCCCACCCCATGTGGAAAGGGAGAACCGTCAAGCATCATGTTTTGTTTTTAATATTTAAAAAAAATTTTTTTAAAGATTTTATTTATTTATTTGAGAGAGAGAGAGAGACCATGGGAGGAGAGAGGTCAGCGGGAGAAGCAGACTCCCTGCCGAGCAGGGAGCCCGATACGAGACTCGATCTCAGGACTCCAGGATCATGACCTGAGCCAAAGGCAATCGCTTAACCAAATGAGCCACCCAGGCGCCCCAAGCATCATGTTAAGACACACTCTGAACATCTAGTGGATGCCCACCGCTCTGTGCACAGGGTCCCGGCAGGTGTGGGCGAGACAGCAGCACACGCTGACCTTCCTTGGGGTGGCCAGGAAGAGAGCAGGGGAGTCAGTGCCCTCCCCCCTGCACAAAGCAGGCGGGTTCTCCCCTGGCAGGTCTCCCCTCTCCAGCAGTCATTCTCAGGAGTGCAGCCCCTGCCCCAAAAGGGTTGGGGAGGCTGGTATCAAGTCCTGAGCGGTGTGTAGCAATGCTTAGAGACAGGAGAGGCTGGGGATGCCCCATGGTCATGTGTCAGCCTGGTTTCTCTGTCTCACAGGGTGGGGGGGGGGGATTTTGTCAAACCAGTAAAAATAGGGTGTTGGCAGAATTCCCAGATGAAAAGGGGCCTGTTCCCCCTCCCAGAAAGCCATGAGTACAAACTGGGAACAGAAAGGGGCCTGGAAGTACAGTCCACTAGCCACTCCCTTAGCTGCCCTGGGCTGATCACTGGCCAGCAGTCCACCCTGGGGACTAAGTGTCCTCTCTCAAAAAGAAGCTGCAACTCTTTGGGCCTCCCCCAGGCCCCAGGGTCCTGCCCATGTCACACATTTATGCTTGGACTTGGTCAGGATAATCAGCCGACAGCAGGACCAAAGTCCTTGTTTGTGTTTTACTCCTCCTAATGGGGGAGTACCCGGAAGGAAGAGACTGCACAGGACCCAGGACCGGAGGCACCTTCCTCAAGGAGCCATTCACCAGGGCCTGTGCCAGGCACAGAGGCCTGTTACCCCCGCACCATGCTGCAGGCGGCCTGCCCCAGAGGCTACAGCTGTCCCCTGCACATTCCTTAGTTTCCCGTTTGTGAAGCACCTTGGGGTGTGTGTGGGGGGGGGCTTGCCAAGGCCGCGCTATGACAGATGCTCCCCCACTTGCAGCCTCCAGAGGCCTGGATGCCTCGGAGTGGGGCCGACCTGGCTGATGAACTCTCCAGAGTCCTCTCTGTCCTCACGTGCTCTGCCATTCACTTGTCGTACGGGGCCGAAGTCCATGCCCCAGACCCTTGGAGCGTCGCCGATGAGAGCACCAGGAATAATAGAGCGAGAAGGCTGGCACAGGTGCGCCTGTGGTCTTGTTGGGAACAGCTTGACCCGTGTCCCAGCTCACACTGACCTCAGGCAACACCTGCAACTGCCACTGGCCCGTAGTGGGCCCTCAGCAAACCCGGCTTTGTGAATGACTCACACTCCCGAGCCAGGCCTTTGCCGCTGGGGCGGCCTCCCCCGGCCTCGCCCTGGGTGGGTTTCCCTGCCCCCTTCACGGCTCACTGGCCCCTTCTGGCAAGGGCGCCTGCCCGTGCCGTCTGCTCCCTCGGAAACGCCAGCCCCGGTCTCCCCGGGTGTGTTCCGGACTGGGCTGGGGGCTCCTCCGCCCCTCCCGGGGTCTCTCCCGCCAGACCCTGCCCCGCAGGCCCGCCCCCGCTGCGCCCCACCCCCAGACACGCTCCGCCCCTTGCCGTCCCCCGCGCCGCGCTTCGCGGGCGGCGGGGCCGCGCGTGTCCGCAGACCTTTCCCGCTCCCCCCGGCCCTGCGGTTTCAGTGGACTCTGCCGGACCCACTGTCCCCTCCGCTTCCACCCAAACTGCCTCTGGCCTCCTGGGCAGCCCGGAGGCCTCGGAGGACAGCGGGTCTCGCCGCTCCACCGTCCTCCCGCGGAAGCAGAGCGCGAGCAGGCGAACCCGGAGCGCGTGCGCCGCGCCGTGGGGGGCCGCCCTCGCCCGCCGTCGCGCGTGTGTCTGCGCGTGGCCGGATACGCGTGGCGGGACTCGCTGTTCAACTCGCGCATTCGCGGGGCGCAGTTCAGGGCGTTCGTGAGTTCACGGAGCGCGCGACCGTCCCCGCCGTCCGCTTTACGATTCCATCACCCCGAAAAGAAGCGTGTGCCCACCCCCGGGCCCCGCACCGCTGGAACCACCCGGGCTCCGCGCTCTCGCTCGCCGGTGTGGCGGGGGTTTCTCGACCCTGCGAGTGCACAGTCCCCCTCCCACAGCCGGCCTCGGGCCTGGGCTCCTGTCAGACTCTCCAGTCTCGGGAAGGAGGAGGGCGGTGTGCGCACGTGTCCTTGGAAAGGTACCTGGCCCGGGACTGGGGTCCCTGCCGTGCGGGGTGGGCTCAGAGCCCCTCCCCTCTGGCGGGTGTGCGCTGGGTTCCGGTAGTTTTAGCTCCTCTGACCTGAAAGAAGGTGACGCACTGGTCCTGATTCGCCAGTTCTTTCTCTGCCGCAGGTCGCAGGTCACAGGGCAGGCCCAAGGATCTTAACCCTGGAGCTGATGAACGGGGACTGAATCATCTGCACAAATCATGAGGACCTGCGGCTCCCCTTGGCCAGAGCTTGGTGCAGCTCTCGGTCACTGACAAGAGGCTCACACCTGGAGAGGTCACCCCAGCGGCCACCTCTTCGTCTGGGTCCCATGGGAGCACAGAGGTGAGCAGGCTTCTCGCTTCTGCTCCGGCGTGACAAACCACAGCAACGCGAGGGCGCTATCCCCTCAGCACCATCTTTGCCAGATGCAGAAACTGAGGCGGAGAAACTGAGGCCCAGAGACTGTCCGGTTAAAATTTCTAGGTTTTCTGGGCGGCTGCAATTTAAAATATCCTGTATGATTTTTTTTTTTTTTTTAAGATTTTATCCATTCATTTGACAGAGAGAGACAGAGAGCACCAGTGGGCAGAGGGAGCATCGGTCAGAGGGAGAAGCTGACTTCCTGCTGAGCAAGGAGCCCTGCATGTCCCCAGAGGAAGAGCTGTGGAAGAGGCAGGAGGAGCACCACCCCCTGGCAGGGTAGGGAAGGGTAGGGGAAGGGCAGGGTAGGGGAAGGGTGGTGTGGGACACCCTGAAGCCAGTAAGCCAGAAGGGCCCAGAGAGGCAAGAATGATACACAAAGATGGTACAGAAGCCGATCTCAGGACAGGGAGGCAAAGGGATAAGGGGCCCTCTGCCAGCCCCTCCTGTATCTGCACATGTGCGTGTGTGCACGCCGGCATTCACAGGTGTGTGTGTGCAGAGAACACTGTGTGTGTGTGCATATGTGTGCACCACCAGAGAAGCAGGCACCACACATAGACGTGGGCATGCATGTGTGCACCTGTGAGCTCATGCTGTGCACATGTGTGCACACACGTGCCCATATACCCATGCATGTGGGCACACGTGCTTGCATGCATGCTGGTGTGTAGTGGGAATGACCATCGCTCTGGAACTGGGGAAAGGAAGTGCTAAGTAAAGGCTCTGTGTGGAAAGGACCACTGGGGTGGGGGGGCGGGTTCTAAAAAAACTGGAAGTTGGGGGCAGGGACTGAGGGGAGTAGACTTTCCAGAGGTCTCATTATAGGCAGGGAGGAGGGGAGAAAAGGGGAATAAATGTCTTCTAGAGATTTCATCTTGTTGGCCACAGCTACACGGCCACAGGCACTGTTCGGAAGCGCAAGTCCCATGCAGGAACTGCCCTGCTTAAAACCAGCGCACTCCTGGTGGGAGTGCCAAGCGAGCAGCCGTTTTGGAAAACTGGAAAATGGCTTGGCGTTCCCTCAAAAAGGTGAAGGTCGGAGCACCTGGGTGGCTCAGTGGGTTAAGCCTCTGCCTTCAGCTCGGGTCATGATCTCAGGGTCCTGGGATCGAGCCCCGCATTGGGCTCCCTGCTCAGCGGGGAACCTGTGCCCCCCCCGCCCCGCCTGCCTCTCTGCCTACTTGTGATTTCTGTCTGTCAAATAAATAAATAAAATCTTAAAAAAAAGAAAAAGAAAAGGTGAAGGTAAAGTTTCCGGGTTACCCAGCAATTCCCTGGAGAACTGAAAACATCTGTCCACGCAGCAACATGCCTGCAAGTGTTCATAGCAATGTTCTATTAGGTATAATTACAGTATTCTAGCCCAAAG